ATCCAATGACCATCTGCCAATCTTTCTCATTTCAATGTTTTAAATCGCTCATTAACCTCTTTAAATTATAATTTTGATTATCAGTTTGCTCAAAAGCTATATAAAAATCGATTGATAAAACAAGTTTGCAAGAATTTTCTGACAATTTCCCGAGAAATGTTATGCGAAGTGGCTATAAGCCGGGAACGTTAGTTCGGCCGGGAACGTTATTTACGCAGAACGTTCGTTCAACCGGAACGTTGGGCTACCACGCCGGGAACGTTAGTTCGGCCAGAACGTTACGAGCTACACGCCGGGACGTTGGTTCGACCGGGGACGATCTGAGCTACCGCGCCGGGAACGTTACAGGCTACGCCGGGAACGTTAGTTCGGATGGGTGGGGCAGTATTTTTCCCATTCGTTCGGGCAGCGGAGTTAGACCACTGGGCTACAGGGATCATTTTGAAAGGTTTGCATATTTTTGGCCGTTTTAAAAAACCAGAATAAAAGGCACCAGCACAGCCTCTAGCATATTGCAGCAGACTCCAGCCAGAGGTCGCCGGCGGCCAACTCTGCCTCGACCCAACGAAATAATAATAATACTTTATTCAAACGATAAAGTGAAAGAAATGATAGAGAAATGCACAGTGATACTTAATCATACAATACATACTGAAATCAATAAGCCAGTACTTACGGCAAGAGCACACTAGATATGGAAGCATAAGGTCGAAGGAAAAGGTCGATCGGCCTATCTGCTCCGCGCATTAATCTCTTTAAATTATAAGTTTGATTATCAGGGGTTTGTACAAAACTATATAAAAATCAATTTATAAAACAAGTTTGCAAAATGTTTGACAAATTGCCGAGAAAATGTTATGACATTTCATTTCAGGGAATCGCAAGCTCGAACCCCGAAAAAGGGTTGGCAAATTTTGTGTATTCGAAAAAGCTAAATACGTTTTTTTAAGCTCTTTTTGAGAATTTTCGATTCTTTTTCGACTATAACTAATACCGAAAAGCGTAAAAACGAAATTTTACAACACAATGAGCAATTCCAGTTAACACGGCGTTTTGATACCTGATCACGAGTTTTATTTCTATATTTTAAATAGTTTTCTTAAAATATTTAAACAAATTGCTCCAAAAGCTTTATAAAAATCTACCAAATATTTTAAGAATTTATAAAAGAACTTTTCATTTTCTTAATCATTTTTTTTATTTGTTTTTTAAAATCGTTAGAATCAGAATGAGCAATCAGTTTGGGAATTGGGAAAGTGAATGGGAAATCGGTTATCGCTTTCCAATATTTGGGGAAAAGTAAATGGGAATGGATTATCGCTTTCAATATTTGGGGAAAGGAACAAACGATCCTTTAAATACGGGAAAAGGAATAAATCGATTATCGCTTTCCTATATTTGAATTTGGGAAAGTGATACGGGGTGAGAACTTTTGAGAATCCCTTTGTTAAAAGATTGATTGAGCTCTAAAATTTTGTGTTTTGTCTACAGTAAAATTCAGTTTTGTTTCAAAAAGTTTTCTTGGTTTGAAATGGTTTTGAAGGCTTTTCTAAAAATATTTTCCTTCAATACTTTGGATTCATCCTTTTGGCTTGAAATTTTTAAATTTTCCTTGAAAACACCAAAACTTACCTTCGATTTGCCATGATTTCTAAAAAGTTTATTCGAATCTTAGGCATAGAATTTGAATTTAGATTGCAGTTGATTAATGAACCTTGATTTAACTTGATTAATAGATTCGCTGGAAGCTGGCGCATACTTACAAGGGGATGTCAACTGTTAGCGGTTGGTTGGCTAATTTTAGATGCACTTAGATGATCATTCGCCGCAGAATTTCACAAGCTGAGCGACGCTACCGCTTTCCGTTTTTGCTAAATGGTACTCTGTCAAGGTTATAAGCTTTTAAACCAGTTTGTAAAGAGCTTTAAAAAGCAAAGGTAGACCTTAAAACCGAACATTTCAGCTAAGTAAGCAGTGCACGGGTGGTCGAGTGGTGATAGATTAGGATACAAGGCAATACAGGTTCGGATCCGCCGGCTGACTGTATGTTTTACTTTTTGGGTTTGAAATGGCTTTTGTGTTCCTTATCTCCGTTACACAATCGTACAGCCACCTGTGCACGCCACAAATACGGATAAAAATGGAATGTTTTTGTCAAGAAAAAAAATGTGCTACAAAATAGTGGGTTTGGAGCGGAGAACACACAAAGCTAATTTACGAACCTAAAAAGCAAGACAAAAAAGTCAGCTGATAGACCGGTACCAATTTAGGAAATTCTTGTATGGCTGAATCGACTACCACTCCAGCTATTCCTACACTACTTTCTGTCCAGAAAAGTCCAGTTTAACGTCTGTGTTTGATTTTTCTCGTTGAATGCGTATAACTTTGACAGAGTGGGGTTTAGCAAAAAATGGAAAGCAGTATCATAGTTATTGAGGAACTAAGCGCTCCATGACCAGTTGATAAGCCGTTGTTAATCCACGAACTGTTGCTATCGTTTGCAAAGATGAAAAACAGTATCATGGTTAGCGTGAAAGCCTATCCAGTGGAAATTCCGTTATGAAGCCTTACTGTCTCTCTCTCTAGCTCCTCTTTAACCCAAAGTGGTTGAACTCAAGCAAGATGAATCTAAATTAGAGTATCAATTAGTTCAATCTACCTAGACTTTGTTAGCTTTAAAAGTGACGAGGCGAGTCTACATCCGTTAGCAAAGTGGATGGATCGGGCGTGGATCGGGGCCGAATTGTGCAAACATTTGATGAGGGGTGCATAAAAAAAGAGATGCCATTACGTTCATTTTCAGTCTTTTCCTTCAAAAATCTCTCTAAATCTATCCGAGAATTCTTCACTTTCCTCCGCGTGTTTGCCCTCGTGCAAGCTTCTCTTCGACTCTCCTTTGACTTCTTTTCACTAAAAATTGCAACATTGTGGGATTATTGCCAGCCGACGGCGGAGATTAGTGACTGTAATCTCGTTACCTGAACAAATACACTCTCTCTTTCTCAATAACGAAAGAAAAAAAAAAAACTCTCAACTAGATGACTTCTTTTTTACGAAAAGGTTTGTGTCAGTTTTTTTCTTCTTTATTTTGAATCATTTTCTCTTAATTTTCCTCCCTTATATGTTTTATTTCATATTCAGTTTATTCTAGAACTTTATTCAATTGCTGTTTAATTCACTTTATTCATTTATTCAATTCAATTCAATTCAATTATTTAATTTTTACAAGATTCAAATTCAACTCATAGTCTTTCATTTAAAGAAAACTCTTGATTAATCCGGTCTATCCAAGTGCTATTCGTATCCAGATCTTTCTTGGTCCAAGATTGATCTAAAAATTGAAGTTCGTGCGGGTAACCCCAGGCCTGGTACAGATTAGACATTCAAATTCGAATCTAAACCTAATTCCACTTTCATTTCTTGACCGATTGCTCTGAAATCTTGTCTCACAGATAAACTCGATATTTTCAGCAAAAGTTTAGAAGCCAATAGGTCAAAAACGGTTGAGAAACAAAGGTGGAATTAGGTTTGGAGTTGATAATTTTCCTATAGTAAGATCAAAAATGTTTGTTACTAATCTTTAGTTCATAGAGCTGATACTAGTACCAAAGTCTCTTGTGCTAGTTTATCGATTTTGAATCCTTTAAATTCTACCGTTCAGTTTTGGTAGACTGGAAGAATTCTTACTAATACAGTATGGGAATCAATATAAAGCAAATAACCTTTCATCTTCAGAAGATCGAGGGTTTGATTCTCCTCGCTTTTAAATTCTTTGCCATTCATTTCTTTATTTTGTTGTAAGAGATATTATTATTCGTCTATTATAGAGCTGATACTCGTACCAAAGTCAAAAATATCGATTTCCTATCTGTAAACAAGTTTGCAGAGCAATCGGTCGAGAAATGAAGGTGGAATTGGGTTGGGATTGGAATTTGAATGTTTATTTATTTTGAATCCTTTGGAATTCTATCGTAATAGTGATCTGTGAGAAGAAAACGATTATTAGAATAATTGGTACTTAATCCAAAAGAATTGATATTCCTCAGCGGTGCAATGCCGAAAAAAAAAAGTTTCTTAAAATCAACTTATCAAATGCGATTCAAGTGTCTTTTCTTGAATGATTTGTTCGCTCTCCTCTTTCCCTCTCATTGTCCTCTCATTGTCCCTCTCATCATCAATGTCCCTATCGATGTTTTCCTCTTCCCAATCTTTTGTTTGTCTTCATCTCCTCTTTCTTCATCACAACGATCTCTTTCTCTTCACTTTCTCTTTTCACTTTGTGTTAACACCAAAGATTATCGTTCCCATTTCCGTTTTCTCTTCAGTCCCAACTCTAATAGGCCCAATTTTACACGGTTCGAAAACATTTTTATGTCAAAATCAATGAAACAATGATTTTTGATACCAAATTAGTATTTGGATTATTGTATTGTTTCTTTTCATATGGCCAGTGATCGTTTTTGTGAAATTTGATCCTCTTTCACCTCGTAAGTCCATGAAAAACAATAAAAGGAAGCGAGTCTTTTTAAGCTATTCGGCTTTGTTTTTGCAGAAATTCTTTTTTTTCCTAGTATTTATCATGATCGATTTTAAAAAACTGAGTATATTTTACAAAGATCTGTAATTAATTCTGTTGAAAAAGTTATCGCTTTTAAATTCTAACAAATTTCTATTCAATTTGAATTTATTCTTGAATTCTATTGCATTATTCATTATTTTCATTTGTTTTAGCAATATTTGAATTATATTTCTTTAGAAATCTTTAAAGGCGGATGCTTCCGCGACCGTCGGGTCGGTGCGGACAATCGCCTGTCTATTCGCTTTATTTCTAGCTGTAATTGCTGAAGGTTTGTGAAAGAAAATAGATCAGAATTTGAGATTGTTTGAGATTGTTTAACGAAAATGATGAGTAAACTTGTTTTCAGTAGTCCCAGCTAAGCGCTCTTGTCGACGCCATTTTTGTGGTCAAAGCAAGACACAAATCCTTCCATTAAGGCAAAATGATGGAGTGCAATCGAATGTACTTTGTGAGGTAAAGAATTCGATTTTAGCTTTGTAATAGCTCTATTTTTAGCGATCATAAGTCATCCTTACATTAGCTCAAGTTAAAAATCAGTAACTAATAGGATTTTAGGATTTCTATATCGATTCAATTTTCATTCAATCTTTTAGATGCCTCACTGGAGGAACGGAAATCGTCACTGTGATTCAAAGCGGTCTTTGTCAATCATATCAAGTTCGCGAGAAGAAAACCGTCAGATTTCGGTGAGTTTTAGAACAAATAATAAACTTTATTAGTAATTGTTTGTTGAATTTGATTCAAAAGTGAATGAGTCTTCGTTTTTGGAGTTGATCCAAATCTCTTTCTCTTCCTTTTTCTTTCTCAACAATCAAAGGAATCTCTCAATCCATCTTAACAAAGACATTTTATGCAAATTTTGAGATTTTCTTCTCTAAAGAGGGATTTGTGAGTGAGAATTGGGACACTTTGATGTCAAAGAAAGGGAAAGGAAAGGAGAAGTGATTGGGATAAGCATTTCAAAGTACTTGATTGGATTAAGAGTTGAAAATTGACAAAGAGAGAGAGCTGTTGCAGTTAAATGAGAGCTAAATGAGGAGTTAAATGAGTTGGAATTAAAGTTAAAGTTAAACCTTAAGTTAAAGAACTTGGAAATTCATCGAAAACTCTTGAAAATTGAGGTTATTAGTCAGAATTTGATTCCAATCTGAGAACTAATCTTAGAAAACTTCTGATTTCATCAAAATTCTCTAGAATTCGTGATTTGGATTTGCTGCAAGATATCTTGCGAAGGAACAATTGCGTCAAAATGTCACAATCATTTGGCCACCTGGTTTCAACAATGAGAAGGGGTAAAGTTTCAAAAACTTAGATGAGATTATGAGATTTTTAGAATTGATCTGAAAGTTGCTTCTGTCCTCAACACAGTCACAACATTCTCATTTTCTGATGGTAACTAAACCAGGGAAATTTTCATTATCCATTTTTAGCAATCGCTAATCAAATAGAAACGATTTTGGACGGAGAAGCAGCCGGGATTCTCCATGTTTTCCCTCAAGAACCCAACTCAGAACTGGCGCCGACTATTCAAGCATCGGAAATCAGATGTATTCAGCGAATCAATCCACAACCGTAAGTTAAAACAGCTTAAAAACATTTCTTTAAATGTTTAAGTCAAATTTTATCTGATTAAACTTTGTTTAATTAATCTACTATTTGTAAATTCAATTTGGATCATCGGTAATCGATTTTAAACCTCAAAAAATTGATCTTTCCAATTGAAAAACTAAATTAGCCTTTTAACTAGCTTTTATAGCCTTTATAGCCTTTTTTAAAGCTTCATTTTTAGTGAATGTTTAATTGATTCGGATCGTGGCGTCGAGATCTCATTTGGTGCAAGTGATGAATATTTCGAGTTCGCTTTTCGAACCGATCACACAGCGCAGAGTCTCTTTGAAGTCTATATGACTGAGAATCTCGTCAGTCACTATCGATTGGAGAATGGTAGAAACAAAAAAGTTCATTAAAGCAATCAATTTCTTCAGATTTCTTTATGAGAATCGATGGTTATCCCAGAAATTATGTGGGTATGTTGGCGGATGGACGATGGCATACAGTCAAGTTTCGAATCTCGACGAGGCCGTAGGAAATCGATGGACGATACAAGGTTTTAAAGAAAGGAAATTGAAAGATAAGCTAAAAGAATGTTTTCTATTTCAGTTTCAACCGAATCTCGGCTTAGATGAGAATGAAAGTGATTCGATTAGTTGTAAAAGTCGATGGACAAGTGATCTTGACTCATCCGGTTGATGTGGCTAATGAGTGCATGGAAAGTGATCGATTGCATAAAATTGGGGTAAAGTTTTGAATTTTGAATCGATGGTTTCTAGAAATCTATCTAAAGACTTTGAAAGTTGAAAGTTTTAGACAAAACCTTGATCTCGTGAGTTCTCTTGGGATCAACCGATTTGCACTTGTAAAATTCTTTCCTCAATTTTCCGATCCTCTTCCATCACCAGCTTGTGGACACAGAGAAAATGAAGAACAACAAGGTAATCAAAGATTGTTAGTTCGTTAGTTAGATGAAGAATCTTTAGCTTATCATCTTCTCCGTGTTCCCGATCTTCTCTCTTTTCTTTATTTACCTGATGTTTTGAGTCCATTGAGTATCAAAACGGCGATGACTTTTCGATCGGATGCAGACTCAGGATTATTGATGTTTGGGAGTTGGAAAGAAGAGGAAGAATGGGGAAGATTTCAGGTAAAGAAAAGAAAAAGCTATTAAGATCTGATTTTTCATTTAAGGTGCACTATCATGGCGAGAAAATGACAGCAATGTATTGCACTCAAAGTGAGACTTTCGATGAGAAATGCTCAGCTTGTGCTGTTTACAGAATTGGAGGTCGAATTTGTACAGAATTTTTGCATTCTTGTATCTTCAAATTACAGGTTTTTCATCGGACAACTGGTCAAGAGTTGCTTTCTATAAAGATTTGGATTCCTACTATTTGATGGTTGATCGAGAGTTGTGCGAATTAAAGTTGCTCACTGAGGAGAACGAGTTTGACACATCTGGTTTATAAATTCAAATTGTTAAATTCAAAAAACAATGATTCACAGAGATGTACAAGACTTTACTCATTCGTGGCTCGGTTCTTTTCATCGGTGGAATGTTTCATAAAAGGTGAAACCGGGATTTACAAGGAGGATTTTCGGCAGAAATATTTTTGAGAATACAAGAGAGAAATTGCCGTCATTAAGAGTAAGTTCATTAAAGAATATAATTGATTAAAAGAATGGCTAGGGTTGTGTGAAAGATGTTTTCTCAAATGGTCATCGAGTGAATTTACATGAGGAATTCGAGAGACAAATGACAAAGACACTTGTCGCTCCTCAGAAACGATCATTTGGAGTGATGGTGAGAAGGCAATAACTTTTAAAAACATCTTTAAGTTTAAAAACTTTTTGAAAGCAAAGTCTTAGCTGGCAATGAGTTTGAAAAAGTCTTGTCTTTGATTCACATTGAGTTTCAAATAGTACAGAGTAACCGCGAATTATATCGACAACTAAAAGTATCTGGCAAATGGCTAATTTATTTCAAAAGTGGCAAGTATTATATAGAGAATTGTAGCTCTAATTCTTGGCAATATTTATCTACTAAAAGCTTTCCGATTCAACTTAGACAACTCATTTAACAAGCGCTTGAATGAGCTCTAGCCTCTCTTTGATCCTCTCTTTGATTCTAACTTAAATTTTGGTTATACCAGTTCAACTAAAACAATTAAGTGTAATTCTTATTGTTATTAAATGATGTTAAACGTTATTTTTGCAATAAAGAAATATTCAAAAGCTTTTCTAAACAATTTTTAATAAAGAAAAGCGGCCGAATAACAGATTCGCCGAAGAGATGTCGCGCTCATTCAAGCGCTTGTTAAATGAGTTGTATAATTCGAATCGAAAAGATTTTGGTATCTAAATATTGCCAAGAATTAGAGCTACAATTCTCTATATAATATTTTCCACTTTTGAAATAAATTCGACATTTGCTAGATACTTTCCAAAACATTGTCGCTATAATTCGTCATCCTGTATTTTACGGCCAAGGCTTGCAACTGGAGTATCTTATCTGGACAAGCTAAAGCCTATGATTAGCTTATATTTTGGATTGAGTATTGGCTTATTTTCAACAATTCAGCGTGGCTGTGGCGTTTGCGCAGTTCGCTGTAAAGGAGATGCTCGTTGTCGTCCGATGACAAGCAGTCGAGACCCGGAATTCGCATGCGATTGTGCGGACAATTATCAATATTCAAACTTTGGCACTTGTCGAAAGCCTAGAGGTTTTTAGCTAAAAGGTTTTCTTTACTAGAACGAATTTAGACGGAAGTCTCTCTCTGTCAGCCACCTCTCTAAACGCTTATCGATCAATCTACACAGTGCCGAGAAATTCAGGAGTACTGCAACGAATCTGGCTCAAATTGCGTTTACCAAGTGTAGAATTAAAGGAAAACACACCACTCGTCATGTTTTATTCATATGGACGAATTATGTAAATTAATTTTAATTTCCACTTAAATTCCCTCAAACTTGTTTCAGTTTCCGAGTCTTCTTAGACGTTTATGGGAGTTTGAATGTACAAATGAATCCTGAGGATCCAGGAGTGTTCACAGCAAGTGCTGGAAGTAAGTTATTAATAAAGCAAGCTTTGAAAATCTTTATTCAAACATTTCAGAACAAATCCCGAAAGGCGATGATCGGATTCATTTGGTGAAATTGGAGCGACGAACTCCACTCGGCACTCATCCATCAAGACGTTTCTTTAACTTATATGTAAGTGATAAAAAAGTTTTAAATGTATTAGGGGTTTGCAAAAGAAACTGCGTATTATACGCAACGTTCAACACCTCGAAAATTAATAATAAAAGACTTTATTCCAAAAGGTACTCGCCAAAATTATCAACTATATTTTTCCATTTTTACGTAGACTTCGGATGCCTGATTCGAAAGATTCCGGATCTTGTGACGCAAAATAGTCTTGCACCCAAATTTCGACTTCTTGGTAATTGTTAAACTGTTGATTTGCAAGGAAGTGTTGCATAGACAGGAACAAATGGTAATCTGAGGGAGCGATATCAGGCGAATAGGGCGGATGAGGCACGAGTTTCCAGCCTAATTCTTCTATGGTGTTTTGAGCCAAGTTTGATGTGTGTACCCGGAAATTGTGAGCGAGTAAATGGATTGTCCTTGGATTAACACCTCTTTCTCGTAGAATTGCATCAACTTTCTTCAGCTCTTCGGCGTAGATTTGAGAAATTATAGTATTCGGCTCATTTGAGGGCAAAGTATGGAGTTGGATCCAACTCTACAATCTCCAGCAACTCTGCATTATCGAAGACAACTGGACAATATCCATCTTCCAAACTGCCATCCCCTTCACGAAAACGTCGAAACCATTCCTGGCAAGTCCTTTCACTCAAAATGTTTTCTCTGAATGTTTCACAAAGATTCCGGTGCGACTTCGATGCTGATTTCTTCATTTTGAGGTCATAGAGAAGGCACGCTCGCAACTAAAATTATTTATAATTCAATGGTCAAACAAATGTGAAAATCAGTAAAATAAATAAGCGTTATCAACACAATAGAATAAAATTTAAACTGGGTTAGAGCACTTTCAAATAGAGAAAATATTGTTCCGGAAAGTCATGCGCAGTTTCTTTTGCGAACCCTAATATTATTCAATATTGCCATAACTGTTTTATAACTAAATATTGCCATAACTGTTTCAGATCGATGGCAGCAAGTTCAGCGTTCAAGATCCGGGACTCCCATTGACGAGTGTCGAGTTTGCATTGATCAGTGAGTTCTATAAGTCTTTACAATTACATTTCTTTTCTATTTAATTGAAATTCTAATGTGTTTTTCTATATTTCATTTACTTTTAGATGTTCTAAACGATAAAGAGGCTGGTTGTGTGACTGATTTTGGAGCAGCTTATGAATATGATGAGCACAATGGAGGAATGGTTCAACAGGTAAACAGAAATTCATTTGAGATTAATAATTTGAAATATAACTTGAAGATTTCTTTAAAGAAACAAAATCTTTGTTTAGATTGATCTTAAAGGATTGATGATGCAAGATTTGGGACTCTCGGATGGCAATGATACTTGTGGAGCGGTTGATCCGAGACTTTGGGTGGGTAAATGATTATAGAAAGAGCATTACAAAGCATTAAACTATCAAAATAACAATTTCAACAATAATTTCAACAAAAAAGAATGACTCTTTTAGATCTACGGACCCCCAGAAAGTGAGCCATCGGTCTTCGGAAAGATTCACGATTACACGCCGAATGGTCGACCCGAAGCAGCTCTTTTATGTAAGTTTCTCAAATAAAAAGATCTCATTTTAAGAATAACCGAAAAAGAAAGCAATATTGTTATCTTTTCAGTATCTCCTCAATGGATGATCTACTCAGTTCTCCTGACTTGTTTCCTCGTTCTTTTAATTCTCCTTTGTCTCTGTCTTTATTGTTTCTTGCTCAAGAAAGGTGGAAAGAAAATCGATGATGGTAAGAAAATATTGTGATTAAATAAAAAAAAACGATTCAGATGACCTTTATCCGGATTCAAAAATGAGCCGTCATTTGATCAGAAGACGATCCGATGAATATCCAGTGATTATGAGAAGGCCAACACTGGGTGAGTGTAATGCCACAATACTGGAGAGAATTCAATTCGTTTTCAGAATCAAATCGAGACAGCTATATTTCGGATAGTTTGGACAATTCGGATATTCGGGCTTACGATGACATTCGGACACACAAAGTCAAGATTGACAGGGAATCGGTGGGTCACTTTAGAGAAGTCTTTAGAAGTCTTTAGAAGTCTTTAGAAAAGTCTTTAGAAGTCTTTAGAGAAGTCTTTAGAGAAGATTTCGCTTTTTCCTTCTTCTATGAGATTTTTAAAGTTGTCTAATCCAATTCAGCATATTATAAAATTGATTCACATCATGATTTGCATTGTTTCAGATGATCTCCTTTCTCGATCCAGTGAATGAAGAGAGTCGACTCGCACAAGCAAGAATAGTGAGGAGAAATGTCGATGAGAATGCTCCACTCGTTCATATTCACGATTTTGAGCACTAGTCAGTAATCTATTCCTATTGTTGAAGAGAATAGGCTTACTAGAAATGCTTTTCGATTTACACCTAGCTTTTGAGTCTAGTTTTTCTGCAGTTTTTTTACCCTAAAATTTAGCTACGCTTTCTACATCACACAAAAAGCAGAAAGAAATGTGTGCAAGCGGGTTCGAACCTATGAGATAAAGAACTGAAACCAATAGGCCACGAGCTCACGTTTACAGAGCGGCGCAAAAATTTGACTATCGACGGTCGAAAAGTTTTGGAGGGATTTTGGAGTTGAATATCTTGCGAATCTCCACACGTCATCCCTAAACGATCTAGATATTCGAAATTAGCACAAAAGACAGCAAAAACCTCTGTCTAGACTCAAAAGCCAGATGTAAATCGAAAAGGATCCCTAGTTAAAAGTAGAATCATCCTTTCATCTCCAACATATCTCTTAACTCTTAAGTATTTTCATTCATTTTATGCTATTTTATCGTCTCAGGTATCAAGATTTTCAATTTTCCTTCAGCATATTGAAAGATCAGCATTTAATGCTGTCAATCACTTCTTTTCCAATCAGATCTCATCTTTACAATATAGCCACTATCATAATGAAAAGAAAATTTGTCATAATTGTTTGTTTGTAGATTTTGTTTCATCAATTGATTGCAAAATTTCATTTTAGTACAACAATTGATATCAAATTTTCAGTGAAATGAATTGAATTAGATTTCATAGTTGAAATAGCAAGTTTTCATGACTTCAAACTGGCTCACGACTGAAATTTGGTATCAAAAGTTATCATTGCCTTGGCTACTTGGTGTACTTTGTACTTGAGCGTGAAAATACACCCTTTCTAGTTCACTAGACTCTTTTTTTCTAGAATAAAGGCAGTGTTCTGGAAAGGAGTCTGGAAAGTCCCCATGTTCTTTGGGTGAACACAATCACAAGCAGCCTGACAAACCGATAAAGGGCTTCACTGTGCCAGAAAGAGTGTGTTTCCATTCTCAAGCATAAAGTACACCCATTTACCCTCAAACAGCTTCTTTCTTTTGATTTTCCAATGAATCCCTTGTGCATCAATTCATTCCATTGGGTCACAGCTCTCACCGGTGACTTTAAATCATTTTTCCTTTTCTTCAAAGTAACTCATAAAACTGCCAATTCTCAAAAAACTCAGCTTCTCCAATTGTGATCAGAATTCGCTTTTAAAAAAACATTTCCTCATTTTTCTTGATTTTCCCCCTTTCTTGAACTCAATCAACATTCTGCCAAAGTTTTTTTTTTCATTATTTTCAAATTTTTTACACAATCGATTTGCTTTTGCCTCAAGACTTGTCTTTTTTTTTGCTTTTATTTGTGGAGTTTTTTATAGAATAAAGAACTGAAATAACAGAAATAACAGAATAAATCTTATATAAAATGAAGGAAATTATGTGAAAATCCAAATTCGACCATTTACATCCAACTGGAGGACTTTTTTTTTGTGAAGAACTGATGCACGGAAATCACCAATGCATGGATTCTTCTCTGAAAAAGCTATACGCAAATTGAGAACAAGCTTTTTGTATTCTATTTTCTTCGCATAGAATTGATTTCTTTACTAACTGTAGACTTGGAGTTTTCTTTGGAGGAAACGTTTCCACAGGCCACTTACCGTAAATACTGTAATAGTACCCCACCCCCATAATGACGGTGCGGAGTGTTGCGTAGTCTAGCTTTGAACGAGGTTTTCTCGACACTGGTTTATGCTACAATGCGCGTTTAGGTATCAAAAAATAGCTGAAATTCAGGGCTATTTTTTGATACCAAAGACGCATTTTTTGAAAGTACGGGCGCTTTGAAAAAAATGAAATACTAAAAAACTTTCTGAGACTACGTGACTGTACGAGGGGGGGGGGGGGGGGGGGGTACTATTACAGTATTTACGGTACGATCTTCTCAGATCCACCCCTTCACCCCATCCACTTTCCCACGAGTTTAAGATTTCTCTAATTTTTAATTTTTTAATATTTTAGAACCCTTTTCTAAAAGCTTTTCTTTCATAACTTTTTAGAATAATTTTAATTGAAGGTAAAATGAGATGTTTTTTGGTTAATTTCCCATAATCAGATAAAATAATCAGTGTTAAGAATGATGATAGACATGTAAAAGTCATGTTTTGTAAATAGTTTCCTGAAAAACATTCTTATTTCAACTTCACTAAAGAGATTCATCTCTAAATGTCTAAAGTTTTTTGCTTGTTTCTTTTTCAAGTCCAAATAAAGTATTTCACTTAAAAGAATGTTTTGATTACGTATTCCTTTCAGACTATTTTATTACCTTTAAAGTGCTCTCACCGATAAGAGAATGATACATACAGATGATTGAGAAAAATAATGTATTAGTTGAATTTCTGTTTTATATGAGCAACAAGTTTACTATGATTCCATGTTTGCAATTTTTCGGTATTTTCAGTGGTTTCATAACGGCTATTTTACTCATGTGCTTGTTTTGCTACTATTTTCCGGTTAGTTTAAAGAAAAGTATATTTATTCGACACGAAATAATGAATTGCAAGTTACAAAACAACCCTTACAATTAGTTACCCATATAGTTTAGAAAAAAAACTCATAATGGGAAAAAGAATCAATTTTTCTAGCCGCTGGGAAAGTTTTGACATCTCGACTAAGAGACAAGCCTTCTATCCAGTCTTTAAGTCTTCTATCTTCCAGTCTTCTATCCAGATTTTAAGATAACTAGTAAACATTAGTAAAATAAGTATTAAAGATTAAGATTCTTAAAGGTTACCTTCTTGATAACGATTTAGAGTTACAACAAACAAAATGAGAGTGAACTTTGTGACCTTCAAACAGGATCTTCTCGAAAAACCGATTATTGAGCATTGTTTTATTATTGTAACTTTCCAAAAAGTTTATTCCATGACTAGATAAATTATCTGCAAGTGTTGCTCTCGTTTAATCTGAAAGCTAGATCCAGTAAATGATTGATTATAACTTCATTTTTATGTGTAAATCTACTGTCATCTCATTTTTTTGCAATTCTGAAAATGTTCCAAAAACGATTGTAAACAACAAGTTCAAAAATCAAAGTTTTTCCTTTTTTGCAAAGGTTTACATTATGAAATCTATTGAGAACATGTAAAATTGAATATCGTTTACTTTATTTTATTATCTACAAAGCCAGATTTTGAAATAGAAAAAACTGCAAATAATAAACAACTATCAAGCACCGCTATTCAACTTTAAAAGCAAAAATTTGAACAGAAAATTGAGCTTAAACATCACGAGAGATCAGCTCCATTTGCACGTTGATTTTCAAACTTTTTGTGCATAAAAGAAACGGGTTTTTAATTGAAAATCGCACAATAGTTGGTTTATTTTGGAGAACTACATAAAAAAACATAAAAATTGGAACAAATGTTCAAACGAGAAGCGGGCCATTCGGTAAGCTTTCATTTTCACTTTCGAAATGCTTTTGAAAACTACATTCTTTATTGTTGCTGGTTTGTTTTAGAAGATTTCTTATTATTTCAAAGTTTTTAGTGACTTGCGTGAACGCGATTGGGGACCTTTGGCCACCATGTTATGGTCCCAATGACAATTGTTGTGATTCATGTTCAACTATTCCAAATGGTAATCTTTAAACTAAACAAAAAAATCGATCAGAAATGGTTAAAAGAATTAAATTTTGATGTTTCTGAATCCGGAAAGTTTAGTAATTTGTATGAATTCGATCTGGAAAGGTTAAAAAAGATTTGGATTTGTAAAAAGAGAAAAGGATTTGTATTAGGTACACTACTGGACAATGAAATATCATATTTGAAAAAACACTTTCGCACTTTCGCGCGTCTGTAACTCCCTTGTCTTTACCGTATTTCTAAATATTAATATTACCATTGTGTAGCCATTGAAAAGAGCTTTCAGAAAATGTATAACACTAATGGTTTAAACTCAAAGACAAGGAAGTTACAAACGTGCGAAAGTGACCATTGAAGTGACCAAATTTTTAACGATAGAAAGCTGATATCGATGAATGTTATAAACTATTTGAAAGTTGTAAATCTCCTCTGCAAAATAGGCCAAAACGTGTTTCAATTGATCGAACCATTGAAGAAATTTCGAGGGCGAAATGCGAGTGACCAAAAAAAGGAATCGAGTCACTTTAGGGACAAGTTTAGTGAAAGTGGGGTTTTCAAAAAGTGCCCTTTTTTGGTTACTCGCATTTCGCCCTCAAAATTTCTTCAATGGTTCGATCAATTGAAACACGTTTTAGCCTATTTTGTAGAGAAGATTTACAGCTTTCAAATAGTTTATAACATTCATCGATATCAGCTTTCTATCGTTGGAGAATTTATGGAAATGTTGAAATCCGCATTTCTTATGCATGTACCTAATATTTGAAAGCTCTTAAGAGTTATCATTTATCATTGGACAAATCATTGCCATTGTTTGCTCAATTCTTCTGAATACGTCGATTTCTGATTTCAATTCATGAATTTCCTCATCTCTAGGCGCTTGGTCGAAATGGATTGACTACACTTCTTGTTCAAAAACATGCGGTCTTTTCGGGAGAAAAGTGCAGCGTCGAACGTGTGACTCTTGGTCATTTGGATGTCCATGCAAGTCAGTAATTAGCTAATTAAAGAATTTTTAAGTCAATGAGCATACCAGAACCAAACGATTTCTTACAGCGGTGTCTATTCTCGTGTCGTTCCTTGTGCTCCAACTCCTTGCACAAAAGCTCCAGTCTGTGCCGCCGGATATACAAAGGTGAAAAAAAGCACTTGAATTGCAAATTTTCACATGTTTAGTACAAATCGACAGCTACAAACGCATACCTTTGCGGCAATGTGACAAGCACAACCGATTATGTATACCCAGCGTGCAATGATATATGGGATGGTGAATTTTTGAGCTTTATCTTGATGGTGATTGATGATTGATGATTTCAGGCCCACTCAACTGTTTCCCTTGTCCTGCTGAAGGTGAACAAGTGCTTTCTTTCAAATCTTTACAGTTTTCAGGTGTTTGGTCAGCTTGGTCAAATGTTGGTGCTTGTACAGCAACTTGTGGCCTCTTCGGGAAAGTGAATCAGACAAGAACTTGTGAATCGGCGAGCTATGGATGTGCGTGCACGTGAGTTTTCAAAACAAAAGAATCGAATCGATCGATTTAGAATCGAAAAATAAACGAAAAATTGAGAATTAGGTTATTTTTCGAATCGAAACATACCGAAAAAGGGAAAATTTAATCGTTTTTTCGTAACGATGAGCAAACTTTTGACCAGATAGACATGAAAGACATGTTTCTTTTAGACTAGAAAAGTTTATCATAGCACTTAAAGCTATTTGAAAGTTCTTTATATAGTTCTTTATATAGTTCTTTATATTGTAAAAAGGATTTAAAGATAAGATCATACTGTATTCAAATAAAATCAGAAACTTAGTGGCCCAACCAACCAAGCCTATGCTTGTCCCAAGAAACCTTGTCCAACAGGAGCACCTTGTTCGGGAGGACAAGTTGTGGTACATTTAATAGATTTATAAGTCAATTATGAATTAAAATAGGTGAAAAATCTCGTGACTAATGCGACTCAATGTGGGCTTCAATTGGCTCCAGCTCAAGTTCTTCATCCAGTTGATTGTTCAACGGTTTGATATTTATTTTAAAAGTTAAAGATCAGCTTTACAGACAACCACTTCCACAACGAACACTCCAGCTGGTTTCTTTTCATTTTGCTCTTTTCTCATTGTTTTAGCTGTTTTTAGCTTGTGCTTCTGGTTGTAATCAAAATCTGAACAGTTTTCTGAGAGCTGGAGATGATGGGGATTTATCGTTCAATTACACGTAATGTTTTAAACAAATCGATAGCTATTGTTGATAGCTTGATGTTGATGCTTTTTTGTTAAATTTTGTTTTAGCACAGATGCTTCTGGATGTTTGACAGCGAAATTTGTATGCACGATCACTCCTAACAAAATGATGAGTTTACTATTATTCTTTAAGCTTTTAAGCATATGAGAAAAGTTAAAAGTTAGGCTAAGCCAAGATCAGATTAGAAGCAATGTTTTAGTGCCTTGATAGACTTGACCTTGATCCAGATTTGCCCTAGGATTGTAAACTAGATAAGCTCAGGTTTAGAACCTGATTATAAACCAGATCTTTAACCTAGACCTGGCTTTGCCACAGACATCACTCACAAAAAGTCATCTTTACCGGCCTGGCTTTGGTCTGGCCTGCAATTTGGCTTGCAATTCCTATGGTTTACCATCAAATTTCAGATGTGGTTTGCCGTGTATCGTCCGTACAACGCCACTGCAAATATCATGACCTACAATGATGGTGGAATGCCTGTGAGTTAAAGAGTTAATGTAATCTATGGAAGAAATTCAGATTCTTAAATCAAAGTCGAATGGCGTCTTTCGTTGTGTGATTGGAAATGAATGGCAAGTGGCGGGGGTAAGTAAAATATCTTTTTATCTGAAGTTACCATTTTAGCAACCATTCTCCGAGATTCATTGCAACTCACACGGATACTGATGCAAATTGTTCAGTCAAATTCAATAAAAGTTCTTTGGTGTTCGCTAAACATTGAAATTCTCAATAATCAAGTTCATATTTTGTAGTTTTGTTTACTTCCATTTTAACAAAAATAAAGGATTTTATTCTATATCGAATGCAACTTGAGAAAATTGAGAAAATTGAGAAAAAAAAAGATGCATATCATAATTTTTTTTTGTCAGAATTAGTTCGTGTTTTGTTTGGGTTCACTTTTTGAGCCTGTAAATATATTGGGTCTGCTTTCGCTCATTCATCCGCCTGCGTTTTTGAATAAATCAAAAAAAAATCTCTATAAAGCCTATTTTTTTCATTAATACTTTAGTTCTTTTCTTTTATTTCTATTATTTAATGGCAACCGTTAAAAGTTGTTTTGTATACTCACCGATAAAAACATAGAGAAAAACAGGCTTGAAGAATAGTGCGCTAAAATGCCATTTTTCTGTTGATAAAATGGCACTTTTGGCACAGAGCCAAACGCGGATAGTTGATGCAAGCATCGCCACATTTCTCGCTGCATCGTCAATTTCTATAAAGCATAAGCATAGGCAGAAAAAAAGAGCTGGAATCAATCCATCCAATCCAATCCGAGCACTCGAATTCGCTTAGAATGTCGGCACGTTTGATTCATCTATTCGTGACATGAGGTACACCTTGTGAGTGAATAAAGAGCACAGTAGTTGAAACACTTTGTCAGCTCTCTTTATTCTGTTAAGCTCTTGGATTTTTGCTATTCAAACTATTGCAAAGTGTTTTTATTTTGAAGGTTTTCCTTTTGTAACTCTAAAAACTCTCCTAAACCTGGAAAAAGAAAAAGAAAAACATTTTGCAATGTTTCTAGCTGACTTTTGTACTCTTGTAATGTAAAATTTAATGATACTTATTACAGATTTTACAAAATACATAGAGAATCATTATGATGATGGTTGACTGTCTTGTTGACAAACAAGGATATATGGATCATTGCAATCCACAGCCACCCAGTAGCCGTCTTCATTCATGATTGCACAATTGTTCACCGGATCAACAGGCGGCATCACTCCACCCATCCAGTTTTGATAAGAAGAATTTGTCTAGAAATATCTAATCAGTATTAGTTCATTTTACTAATTAATTTCTCTCTAAACTGTTTTACCAATAGAGTTGGTGAATTGTTGGAGTCCCAGAACCAATTATTATCGACTCGAAATAGACCGATCCAATTTCTTAACCCCTGACTATTAACTAAACAAAAAGAAATAAAGCTCAATGGTGACCACAAACAATTGATATAGCTTTGTGTTGCCTCGTTTGAGATGGGAATCATCCACGAATCTGACTCATGACAATAGCTGCTAGCGTTTTCCCATCCCCTTTTGGAGAGTACAAACTCCACACAACCGATCCCGTCTGCAAAGTACCAGTTTCTCGTGGGACACGCTGAAAAGGTGGCAAATTTTTATCCACAAATTATGACAAACTTGATCGAATGGTACAATGATCGTGCTTTTTAAAAGACTTTAAAAGACTTAGACTTCTCGGATCGGAACTTATAAGTTATTTTACTTGAGTTAGCTTGCAAGTACAGTTACAGGCTTACATCTCCTGTTTGGGGTCGAGCAGACAAAGTGCCGATCTTCGTTGCAGTTCACCGATAACCATTGATCGTCCTTTATATCCAACACGGCACAACTCGAATTTGACTGAGGATGGCCTAGGTTTTTTTTCCGTATTCTAGACAATGTTATAGGTCAGAAAGAGTTTTGTGTTTTGTTTAAATCATTGGCTCCTAGACGTGCTTTGGTCTGTATTGTTTATTTTGAATCGATCCAATCGGAAACTGAACATGTCCCTTGACTGCCCACCCGATTTCCAATTCTTATATTGCAGTGAAGTTCCATCATCATACGTCCAGTTTCCATTTGATGCCTGGACCACTCCAATGTATGCTTGATCATTGACTCCATTTGCTCAAAAGCTCAAGTTTTGAAAAAGATGAAATTCAAAAACCTTGTGCACGTTTCGAAACGAACGTATTATCAAAGCGATCTCGAATTTGAACGGGTCGGCCGTTCAACGTTTGACAAAACTCTTTCGCCGAAGGGTAGCTTGCCTCTGAAATCTGTTAGCTGAACGTTTTTGATGAAACTTTCTCTTGGTTACACGAATGAAAACTTTAAATAACGAGAAAGATTATGAATTGAAGAGAATTATGTATTGTTTGATGGATGAAATTGAAAACTTACTTGTGCTATCAACATGAATACATTCTCCATCATTGTAGACGGATCCATTTGGACAAAAAGAGGGCTCTAAATGACTAAGAAATAGAGTTTTATTCTATTTCTGAGTATCTTAAAAGGGAATTAAATGCACTTATTATTGGGCATTGATGGATCGATCATAAACTCTACTTTACTGTTAAGATTTTAGTTTTTAACTACCTGCCAAACTGCTAGCAAAAAAAAAGAGTTAAAGAGATTGTTCTAAAAGAAATCATTTGAATCGGTTGAATAGAATAAAATGTGTGAATAAAATCAATCAGAAATCAGTTTGGACTTTCTGGACTTCTTTAAAATGCTCATTTCTCTGATAAGAACCGTTTTTTTACCCTAAATCTAATCATTTATGTGGAAAGAAATGACACGAAACATTCCTTTTCCCATCAAAAATCTCTTAAACGATTTAAGACCGATTTAAGACCCGTTCTCGAGAAATTCTCTAAAGCATTTTAATGTATTGTGACTCAGAATATCCAAAAATGTTTTTATGACTTTTTGAATCTAAATGAACACCAAGCAGCTGTTCGAATTTGAATTTTCGGAAAAAGGCCGATAAAAATTGAAATCTATTGAAATCTATTGAAATCTATTCGTTCGTCATCTTTTCCCTGTCACGTCAAGATCTTTGGTGCCGTTTTTCTGAGCGATAAGACTTCGAAGTTCTTTTTAGACGATTTGTAGTGATTCGGAATTCGTGAAAATTTGCATTAGAAATCTTCCTCGTCATCACCGCTTAAAACTGAACTAACGTCAGAGTACGATGAGCGATCGACAAAGAAGAGAATTGGGCATTGTTTTAGAGCAGTTTGAATGAACATTTCATAAGATGAGATGACAAAGAGGAGGAATAAAGTATCCAGATATGAAGAGTTTTATCATTTTAACAAAGCAAAAAAAAGTCGTTGGTGAAGTGGTCAAATCTCGTTTTTCCGTTGACAATTAAACTGAAAATGAAAAGCCCTACTTTAAAGTAACTTCTTAAAACTGAACTAACGTCAGAGTACGATGAGCGATCGACAAAGAAGAGAATTGGGCATTGTTTTAGAGCAGTTTGAATGAACATTTCATAAGATGAGATGACAAAGAGGAGGAATAAAGTATCCAGATATAAGCTCATCTCTAAACTTTATGAAATGTGAAATTCTAGTTTAAAATTATTCAAATTTTTCTTTTAATCATTCTTTCTTGAATTTCTGAAAGACGGTTGTTGTAAAGAGACGAGAATCCTTTCATTTTCACAAATTTGACGATTTCTAGATGATTGGGGAAAAGAGATAAATGGAGGAATAGACAAATGTTGTTAAATCTGATAATAAGATCACAATTTATTCAATTTCTTTGGCAAATTGCGGGAAATGATACGGGATTCTTTTATAAATAACAAGTCAAAGTTTGCGTTTGTTTAAATCTTTTTATATGTTTTAAATATTGTTCTGTGAATTGAATTCTTTCCAAAATTGTAATCTGAAGATCTGAAAATTCTTTATCTGTTTTAATGATTTCTAGATGATTGGGGAAAAGAGATAAATGGAGGAATAGACAAATGTTGTTAAATCTGATAATAAGATCACAATTTATTCAATTTCCTTGCTCAATCCCGGGAAATGATACGGGATTCTTTCATAACAAGTCATAACATAAATAACAAGCCAAAGTTTCCGTTTATTTAAATCTTTTTATATGCTTTAAATATTGTTCTGCAACAGAATTGAATTCTTTCCAAACTTTTAATCTGAAGTTCTGGAAATTCTTTACTATTTGACTGTTTTTCTTTTTATTGAATTAAATTTGACCTCATTTTCTTCCACTTGTAGTTTACTTTGCTCAGTTTTATTGGCTGTTTAAGACTTTATTCAAAAAAAATAGTCATTTCTTGAGGCCAAATACAGTTAAGAAAAAAAAAGCTAAGAACTTGTAATGAATTTGACTATTTGATTGCTTTTTCAACCGACCATCTTCAAAAAAACTTCATAATTGACTTGTCCCTCTCCATTCGTATTCGTTTCATCAAGCATTCCATCAATTTGGTGTTTTGACAACTGCATTCCAGTAACTCCATTCATTGCTTGCATCAATTGAATCGACGAAATGTATCCAATTCGATCCACATCAAACGATTCACACATCTCACGAAGAGCACAAATCGTTGACTCGGGGAATCCGAAGGACATGTTCAGGCTAAATTTCATGAGTTTAGGTTATAGAAGTCAAATTTACAGAAAGCTTAAATGTTTTAACATAAAGATATACTTAAAAAACTTTCAAAAGTCTAAGAGAAAAGAAAGCTAGACGAATAGGAAATGAAGGAAGAGATACGCAAAACAATTGGCAACCATGGAGACATCGATTCTGACGGAAATTTTCTGTTTTTTGATGTTTTCCTAATGAACTTTTTTGAAAAACAAAGAAAAAGAAATCTGAGACTTGTCCTTTAGTTATCGAGGGTAAAATGATCTTTTGGGTCAGGGAATTGTCTACAATTTTGATCAACTTTCTGTCGCATTGTTATGAAATGAAATTTATGAAAGTTTTTCAAACTCTTTAATTGCATAACTTGTCAAAACTTTTGATAGTTATTTACGCTTTCATTTAGCATAGATTCTGATTCCATTTTATGTTTGCATGATTCAATTTTAGCTAAAAAAAATACACACAACTGGCTAAATAGGGAAGTTTTGAGCTGTAGAATATTTTCTTATGCATAGATTTTCATTTAGCATAGATTCTGATTCGGTTTTATTTTGAATGCTTGGATTTTAACCACTAAAAATTCAAGTCGGGCTTGATATTTACACTTTGTGAGCATTTTGCTAAAAACTGGCTTTTGAAACTACTTTTGATTGACTTGATTTAGCAAAAGAAAGCGTTTTTCTCGAAAATCAAAAGAAGAATTATTTGGAAGAACATTAACTTGTTAGAAATTGAATTAAGGTAAAAAGAAGAATCCAACAGAAAAGAGGCCCCTATTTCTTATTTGTCTAATATCAATCATAATAATAAATCAACAAGAAAATCGTCATTCCACCAAATGCTGTAAAAGTAAAGAAAAGTTTAAAGTTTATAGCTAAAACTAAAGCTAAATGACGTTCCTGAAACGAAGATGGAATCAATTTTAACCAAAAAAAGCAGTCACATTGAGAAGAATGATCGTTTTTGCTGAAATTTCCTACAGATCTGCTGATTTTTTTATTCTTGCTATAAATCTCTTTTTTAAAAAGGAACCCTCTTTATGTAATATATCCAATGATAAAGTTTAAGAAACCAAGCGATTTTAAAATAAATACCTTTTAGATAGCCCAGAGGTTTTCGATTTAATGAAGTACTGTGTTGAAACCTTTATTACAACCTCTAAACTAGATTTTAGAGTTTCCAAAGTGAGATCTTTCACTCAAACATTTCATTTTTGATTTCTTTCAAAGTTTCTGATGATTAAGTTCTTTTAAAGCAAGAATTTATATTGTTTAGTCTTTTATAGATTCATTTCATTTTCATTGATTTTCATTGATTTTCATTGATTTTCATTGATTTTCATTGATTTTCATTGATTTTCATTCATTTTCATTCATTTTCTTTTTGTTTTAATGATAATAAACGATTTCTGATTGATTCAATAAGCATAAAAAGCAAATAAATCTCCAATCAATTACACATTTTTATTCATCGAACAAGAGCGATAACACCAAGGTTTACAATATGAACTCTTGCAAGCAAAATCGGAATTTGTCAAATTCGAATTTAATTTATTTCCCTCAAAAACCGGAAACGGATATCCCAATTCGATCAAATCGACAAAATAGATTTGAACGAGTTTTTGAAGAGACGAGCAATTCGAGTAGATCTCTGATCGAATGTGTTCTCTCAATTTGCGTAGTCCAATCGGCATCTCATTCAAATGATCCCCACGTAGACGATCCGTTGCCTGAAACAAGATTTTTTGACTTATGTTAGTCAAAAATTTGATAAAACCATTCGAAAGCTACACTACACCATTTTTACTAGAAGAAAAACTCATACAATTCTTGCGTACAGCTCAGCAACTTGATTTTCGACTAAATATCTCTCAACATCATCACTCAATCCTTTCCCCATTTTGATTATGGTTGAGCGCTTTGAGTTGCAATGCCTAAATCCTTTCACTTTCATCATTATCATTTTATTTTATTTCTTTGCTTTATTCTTCTCACCAAGTTTGCAATCCAAGATGTTGTTCAACAAATTGCGCTCTTTTTCCATTCCATTTTGGCTGGAAATGTTGTCGAAAATCTTGATAAAGTTGATCGATAAACGGATGAACTGATTCTTGTTGGGATTCGGAACAACTCCCTAATCGCCTAGAAAATGGTAAATGATTAAAAACAAAGCAAGATGAGAGCAAATTTTCAAATTTTACAGATATTTTCTCAAATTTATAATAGACTGGTCATCAAATTTATCTACTTTTCCCCATTTCGGTTATACCTCCGCCACTCCACAATTTTAAAAAACGGTACCATGCGGTTAGCGCCTCTCATGCATCAATGAGTCTATTTGTGAATTTAGTCTAGCCTGATGTCAGTTTGGCAGAGGTTTTTGACGTTAAAGATCTCTGCCCAACTCACAACAGTCTCGATGAACTTAGCCTAGCCTGGTGTCAGTTCGGCAGAGGTTTTTGACGTCAGTAACCTGCAAATTATCGATCCGGGTGATAAATTCCAAAATCTTGTCAACCAGCGTCTTGGTACTTTGATTAGCCACTTCAGCAAGGAAAAATTTGTTTGGGTGGCGGGGTTATAACCGAAAAGTACCCCTTTTCCTATAAAAAGCTCGACAAAACTTACAAACAAATCATAATGTACGCGGAAATGAATCTCTCAATGGGCTCTCTTGTGACGAAAAACGTGGGCACTTTCGTTTTCTCATTCTTTTCTGTGACCTTCTCAAAGCATCTTCTGCAATTAAATTCATAAAATTAGACTCTTGAAACTGAACTTTTTCGTCTCATCACTCAAGACTCTTGCCCCATGAATGAGTCGATACAAATCACACATCATCATTCGCATAGACGATGACATATTCTTCGGGATCATACAAAATTTCACACCAAAACTCCCATCATTTGATCGATCCTTATAAATTGAATTTCGTGAAGATTTATAACTTTATAGCTTACTTACATTATTCGTCTTAAATCGATTCTCCCAAATGCCAGACGGTCTTTTTCGGATTTGTTTCGGTGACAGATTAAATCCAATTAGACAAGTCTCACAAAATATCGAATAAATGAAAATTAAGACGGAAATTATTTGCAAAAGGAACATTGGTCAGAGATGCGAATCCTTCCTTTCGCCTTTTAATGGAAGAGGATTTTAAAGTGTGAAGAAAGAAATGAAAGGATAAGAGTCTAAGAGAAGAATGACAAGAGGATTTTGAGAGTCTGAACGTGATCCTTGACTGGATCCTTCACAGAGAAAATCGTGAAATCTTGACAAATCTTTTGTAATCGGTTGTAAGCACGTTTTTCAGGTTTGGAAAACGATGCAAATCAAACTTTGAAAGACAAAAAGATGTCTAAACAACCTTATAAATTGTGCAAGAAACATTCTTTTGTGCACAGTTTTTCTGAATGTTCAATTAATTCTTGATAACTTTACTTTTTTCAGTGACTTTTTTCTGAACGCAAATCCAGTTTGAATTTCTTCAATATTGTAATATCTTGATTAGAGAATCGTAAGATCTTCGAGTTCAAGCGAATCCACGGCATTCATTCAAGATGATCAAGATGTAGGAGAATTTGAAGCCTCAATTGTTTAGCGTTTTTTGACTTTAAATATTTATTACTAACTATCAAATTATCTAATTCCTTGCTGATAAGATGTGCCATTATTAACTCTATTTGAAAGGACTTGAAAGTTGTTAACTTCTTACTGCGAATGTGGCCACTGGGCCGATGCTGTAGAGAGTAACAAGTTCTTTTTGAAAAACTTTTATGCATGGTGTGGAAGAAGATCGTGATAACTGGAAGTCATTCCATCAATTGGAACTCTCTCCTCCGTTCTATCAAAACCGATAGGACGAAAAATCGTTGTTTGTTCAGTCTGATCGATCAAAAACTTCAACGCTTTGATGAAAACATCTTCCTAGAGATTTTCACTAAAACACAATAAACTTTAGCTAACTTTTTTGATGAAGAGAATCTGATGAAGAATCTCGCTCGCTTTCGGTCTGGCTTCACGATCAAAGTTGGCACATCTTGATTAATTATTTGAATTATTGAAACATCGTGATTGATTAATGAGTTATTAATAGTGAAAGACAACATATTGGGTGGATTTGCAAATTTATAGCTTGCAAATGATTGTTCAGTATCCATTTTCTACACCTTTCAATGATCGCCTGTAGTTGTTCTGGACAATTCGGTTTGCTCAATCTTTCGAGTTTTTTGTGTATGATATCCGATAGAAAGTTCACTGTATTGAACATTCCCTTTGAGCCATATTCCGAGAAGACGACCCTGTAACGAGTATTTTCTTTGTTTCATCAAAAGAGTACCTTCTCTCAACGATTTCCCACAAAACAAGTCCCAATCCATAAACATCATTTCGATGGGAGGCTTGCTGAGTAAAAAACATTTCATATATAAGATTAGGCTAACCGGAAAGTCTTATCGTTTTTTTGGGATTGTAACTTCTTAAAAACCAAAGCATAAACATGAACTTTGTTAGGGGAAAAGGGGTTTAGAAACATAAAAACTAATACCTGTGACTCATTCGAGTCTTGTGAGGGACTCATATAACGATGGGTGCCGACACAACTTCCCACACACGTTTTCTCGATGTGCTTGGCTAGACCAAAATCGCCAATTTTCAAGTCGAAACTCATTGTGACAAAAATGCTAGAATAATATCTGTTAACTAAGTATAAATTTGTCGGAAACTTGTCCGGTTTAATGTCTCGATGTACAACGCTCTTCTCTCGATACATATAATGAACAGCATCAAATAATTGCTCGCCCCAAGTAATGACCATTTTCATCGAGTAGACGATCGTTGGATCGAGTAAAACTGGAAATTTGTTTTCTTTTTTTAAATCACTCACGACGAGATAGATCTCCACGTTGACAATGTTCCATAATAATCTCAAATTTCTCATTTCCTTCCAACAATTGCATTTGAATCAACTTCACAACATGAGGGTGCTTCAAAGCTTTTAAAAACTCGAATTCTTGCTTGAAACGATCGAGATATTGTGGATCTTTTGAGGTCAGAATTTTTTTGACAGCTGGTCTAAATGTTGACTATATTGATTTATTAAATAAACTTTTACTCAGGGTATCCTTTCAAAACAACAACTCTTCCGTGTGCTCCATTTCCAATCTCACTTTCCTCAAATGTTGGACCGGTGGGCTTAAAAATTGCGTTTAACTTGAAATTTTTAAATTTACATTTGTGATGTTGAGCATTTCCAAATTCTCATCCATTTGCTTTCCATTAAATGAGCTTCTTGCTGTTAAGTTAGCGTAATTCACGAAAATTCAAACCTTTTCTCCTGAACACAATTTCTTTTCCATACCCAAAGAGCTAAGATTATTATAATCGAAAAACTCATGCACAAGAGAATAATCCATGCAGCAAAAGAGTTTATGGGATTCTGAACCAAATTTTCGAGTAACTTTTGCAGAACAAACCTGATTTGGGTCGAGTACAGGTGATGTTTCAGATTGCTCCATTAACAGCTCTAACCTAAAACTTTTTTCAACCTAAAACTGAGATGAATGTACATCAAAACTTTACCAATTACAGAAGTGAAAGACATCCTTTCCTGCTGTGACGTGGGTAAAATCCGGAAGGCTTTCCCTTTTTTTCAATTCATCGTTCAATTTATGGAAGAGAATCTGACATTTAAGGGATAAGGAGAGATTTAAATTTAAATTTTAAAGTCCGCGACTTACCGTTACTTACCTCATTTTCTTTTGAATCACATGAAAAGCACCCAAACTCGACTTTATTATGAAGAGCGAAAAAGCCAAAAGTCAAATTTTTGAAAACACAGTACAACTCGTCCTCGCTACCTAAATGATTAGCACGAAGTCGATAATTGTAAAAAGAAACCCAAGAAGTTTCCGTGCATCATCATATAAAATTCCATGAATCTCATTCGTTGCCATTAATTCAGAATTTGATTTTTCTTGTTCTAATCAATCTCTTACTAGTGCCGAAAACTCGACGCTCTCCAACTTGACACTTGATGTTTCGTACTCACACCGAAAGCGTTTCTCATCGATTTGCTTTACTTGAAATGGTGTTTTCAAAGTGCCGAAATTGAAGCCATCTCTGAAATTGTTGCTAAACAATGTAAAGCTCATGGCATTCAATCAGACAATATGCAAATAAGTGTCATGGCATCAAACAAGACCTGTGAATGTTTAATCTGAATGCCAATTGGTGTCAAACAAAAAACTTTAACGAATATCAAAGGAACTTCCCATCTTAGCCCCCTTCCAAATCAACGTGTTCAGCATGTTTGTCTGCCACATGATTAGGCTTTAAGATGCAAATCAAAAATGCAAAATTTCTCAACAAATTGATCTTGAAGGGATCAAATTTCGTTTGATACCTATCGACATAAAAATCGAGAATTCCTAGCTCTCCTACATAACTCCTACAAACCTCTATAAAAGTTTCGAGAGTCTATAAAGTTTATAAGAGTTTCGGCACTTCATTTCACAACCTGGCCGAGTAGTAGGCAAACGTCGGCATACAATCAAAAATATCCTTGTGCTGGGTGCCCAAGTTTATCAGAACATTGTTGTCCAACACCGTTTGTACAGCTCTTGTGTCTCTGTATTGGAAAACTGTGAAGATTTAAATGATAACTGAAGTTTTTCTAATCAAAAACGTTTACGTGCACAATCCAAACCATTGCTCATCGTCGACGAAAAGCTTCATCTTTGTAACTAAATATTATACATTTTCTTTTTAAATGCTCGAAAGATTGCCGTCAATTGGTGCGGTTGTCCGACACGGGATGATTATGTTTCTTCTTGAGCCTGTTGTAAGATAAATTTCCTTTCTCTTCGGCTTCAAAAAGAGATTCGAACCTTAAAATTTGGCTTTCCAAAAAAAATTCTTCATACAAGCTTACCTTTAACGAATACATAAAAGGACAAAGGAGAACTGGATCCGAGTTCCGAGAAGTTGCCTGAATCTGCGCACTGGTAGAGGCCTGTATCGGTGGGTTGAAGATCATTGATTGTTAATTGAGTATTCTGAATTTTATTTATTTTTTTGGTACATTTCCCTAGCATACAGAGGTATTTTGTATCGAAAATCGCTAAAATGCAAATCTAAACTACTATAATGATCTTTTGAAGCTCTTCCACCAACCTCTTCAGTTTCCTCAATGTAAAACCTCTTTTGAAACTCATCAAAATCATAGCCATCAACCTCTCGATTAGTATGATTCGGGAAACTCCAACTGAAAGTGAGAATTTAAATTCAATTTCAGAAATAAACCGACCTTGTGTTAATGGGACAAGTGATCGTTAGATTCTGTCCGGCTTTGGTGGAAATCTCAACGATTTCCCTAAATAGAAATGGATGCAAATGAAATAAATGGTGAACGATATAATATTCCCTTCAACTCCAACAGAATAGTCGCTCACTTCGACCGCGGTTGTGACTCCCAGATCAGTCGCTCCAAGTGTTGTTGTTCTGTTTCACGATTTCGGCTCAATCCGTGATTTCTTCGAAACAAGAAAATTAAACAGAAAAGTATTTTCTTCCTCATAAAATTGACAAAGGAAATCAGAAAAGTTTCAGGGAAAGTGCGTCGTTTTTTTTTCTTTGTTTCTCCCCTCCTTTTACACCGACGTGATAGAGTAGCACAGGTGACGAGATTTATTGCTCGAGGACTCGCTTCTTCTTTTTCTCTTTCTGTCAAATAACAATTGTTTCGAAGGATTTTGGTTTACTTTTGGTTTACCAAAGTTACTTGATTCTAATGTCACTAGCATGGATCATTCATGAATTTTATGTGCTTTATGAGATTTGTCGCAATAGCCTAAAGTGACCCGGGGATTCAGCTCCGGCTGACTATGAGTTTTGGTCTTCAAAACTTAAATGCAACCTTCTCTTTTTCAAAAGTTAATCCCAAGAGATTATCGGAAATTAGGAGTCTCTTTCAAAAAGTTCACCGAACAGAATTTCGGTTATTTTAAGATCTTCAATAAGTTCGACCGGCTAGAGAGTCTGGTTTCAATAAAATCGATTCCTTATAGGAAAGGTTTGGGATAAGATCAGCTTGAATCAACTTAACTAGTTTCAACAAAATGCTCTTCTCTCATAGAAATCCACCGGCCTTGTCCCTAGTCACCAAGATTGTTTCCAATGGACAATTTCAAAGGTAAAGTCTGCGTAGAAACCCAGTAGTCAGGGTAAATTTTCGCAAAGATTAAAACACGCTAAAACACATTTGTTCAGAAAACAGGTAAAAGCTTTTTTATTTTATTTTCTTCTCTTTTTGGCATGCGAGGTGTCTATCTCTCATTAAGATGCATCTTTTTCAAAACAGAAACAAACAAACTGCTAACTGAAATTTTTGAATCTTTACTTCTCCTTTAAAGTAACTTTTCTTCATCACTTCATTTCTTCTTGCAAACACCATATGGAGCTACGAGTTTCCCACTTCTCCAAGATTCCAATATTCCCCACGAATAGCGAAAACAACCGACCACATCCTCCACGTTTATTATCTAAAAGTCTACATAGGCGACTTAACTGATGTAAAGTTATGAAGCTAATTTTGCAATCATTTACTCCCATCAATATCAATATCAATACTCGTTTAGTCTGATCTAAAGCTAGCATAGTTCTGCTATTAAAAGCTTTTTTGCTTTTCGTTCTATGTAAATAAAATCGAATTTTCCGGTTGAATTGAGCCATAAAGCTAAAAACATGTAAAATACAAAGCTCTAGTTAAAATCTAATAATGCTTTCAACCTTGCTTTTAGTCGATTCGCCTAGTTTATTCACGACATACCACCAGATTCGCAGGTCCATATTCGTTGGTACACGAAAGCCCAGCATAGTCGTTTGCACTTCCATCCGTCCACGTAAATGGACCCCAGTCGAATGTCTGCAAATGAATTATGTTACCTTTGGAGGAAAGAACTAAGGTATCCAGAAGTCCATTGTATCAAAAACATTTTCTAGTTATTTATTTGCCTTTTAGAGAGAAGCGCTGCTGATCATATGAAATGCACAACTACATAGAATTCTAAGCCTAACAAACTAAAAATCATGTAAATCGGCCCATGGGGAGCCGAGAAATCGCGCGTAGAGACGGATGGACAAACACTTCCCTTTTATATATAGTAGATTTTTAAATAAATGAGCACAACGGCTGTCTAAGCCTGTCCTGGCTTGATTTTTGCTTGTGGTGAAAAAAGATAGAGCAGTTGTCGACCACCAGCCCTTTGAGAAGCAAAAGCACTGTTTTACTGAGGTAACTTAATTATTAGTGTTGGGAGATGCTAAATCAATATTCGACCACGACCAACCCGTCGATGACCGCCGGTCAAATACATTGCTGCAGCGGCTTCGTAGTGATAAGCCTCGCTTGACGGACAGCACAACCCTGAAGCTAGTATTTCTCATTGGCCAGTTCTCGTTTAACCCACTGGTAACAAAAGTGTTTTCGGCTTCACTATGAATCGACACAAGATGGGCGCCGAGCGATTGACAATACGCCTCTCCGTCATCAAAAGACACGTTGTAAATGACCTGAGAGCATTACAAATACTGAGGCTGAGGCTGGATGGGGAAAATGACCAACCAGATACTGATAGCCGGTCTCCGGGAAATATTGCCACCCCTTCAAACAATTGTAGAGCGGTTGAAATTGCGCTGAATCATTTCCCAATTAACGTTGAAATGCACACAAACGGGACGAGCAATTGAGTGAAGAGGGTTGAGTGGGCAATGGGGGTGAGAGTGACGGCATCGGTCGACTCACACAGTAGTATGTTTTGTACTTGTCTGCTGCACAGTTGTCACGTTTCCACGTCCCATCAACGGCTGACATGACAAGACAGTCGCCTGTGTCATCTGAAAGACTAAGATCATTTGAAGAGCAGTGATGTTAATGGATCTTAACGGTGATGAAAGAACAGTTTGATCTATTTTAAGAGCAGATAACTCAATTCTGTTTAGGATGAATTCATTTCTAAGCTCCTCATCGATTCTAATCGATGTTCGAAATCGTTGAAAGTAAAAGAGGCTTTGAATAACAAGGTTGGATATACGTATCGATAGCTTGTCTCAACACTAAAATCGGACTGTTCAAAAGCTCTACTCTAGGGTGTTCAAAAAAAGCCAGTTTCCCCTAATTTCAAAAAATTTCTAATGGCATAAAATGAAAACTTTTTAGTGGCATCGTGGTGCATAAGAACATTAGGATAACTACAAATTTAAACCAAACACTTTATTGATCAGCGTTTCCTTGGAAAAACCGGACACTTCTTTAAAAAAAAAGCGAGTTGGTCGTTGTGGTGCCAAAGTGAATATTTTGGGCTGGAAATTTTTTGATATTTTTTTCACTTTTTCCCGATTTCATGACTCCCCAAGTACATGAAATTTCTAACCCACCATGGCCACCACCACCATGAGACTTTTGCCATAAAATGAAAACTTTATTTATCTACATTATATAATAATCTGTTGTACATAAGTGATTTTCAACTAGCCTTTTTTAAGGAGTATCCCATTTTTCCAAAGAAACTCTGATCAATAAAGTGCATGGTGTAAATTTGTAGTTATCCTAATAAAGTTTTAATTTTATGGAAAAATCTCTCATGATGGCTCAGAAATTTCATGCATAGGGAGTCATAAAATCAGGAAAAAGGGAAAAAATATTCACTTTGGCACCACAACGACCACCGGGAGCCATTAGAAATTTTCTGGAAAATTAAGGGCAACTGCCTTTTTTTTTCGAACACCCTGTAGTTTTGCGCTGTTTAGTTCCCTGCCCATACTCGACGCTTGAAATCGCTGATAATCGAAAGTGCTTCCATCCGACCAGGCCCACGAATCGTTCTGTCCCATCCGAGCACCCAGCAAGAAGTCCTCTACGGGAAAAGATGCATCTAAATGACGTTTATCGCATCAAGAGTTTAAAAACACCGCGTTTTAAATTTTTTATAGAGAAAATCTTCGATTACGTTGTTGAATGCTGGTCCACACGGCGTTCTCGAAGGCGTTGTGGATCGAGATAAATTCGCCTCCGTCATCACGACAAGTTGAGAGTGCGTACGACCAGGTTGCTGAAAAGGAAACATTTTCGAACTGATACCATTAGAACAGAGCTGGTCGTCTAACTACTTTCTAATTAACTATTAGGTTGGCAACTTAATAATGACGCGTTTATGTAACAAATCATTTATTTTAAAAAAACACAAAAGAAGAGCCTTCAATTCAAAAGGTATTCTCCATTAGTATCTATGACTTCTTCCCATCTTCTGCGCAAATCCCGGATCTCATCCTCGAAGAACTTGGGAGTTTTTGAGGTGAAGTAGTCATTCACTGCTTTTATGATCCGAGCATGATCATCGAACTTTTCTCCCTTCAAAAAGTGCTTCAGCGACCCGAAACAAAAAGTAATCTGAAGGAGCCAGATCAGGTGAATAAGACGCGTGGGGCAAAACTTTCCAGCCAAGTTCCACGATTTTCTTATAAGTGATCTTTGCAGTGTGAGATTTTGGGTTCTCGCGTAAAAATCTGACTCTCTCCGGTTTGAGCCCCAATTTCTTCAAAGACTCGTTAACTCTCATTAATTGCTTCGAATAAAGATCAGCATCGACGATTTGGCCAGGTTTAGCACTTCATAATGCACCAATCCCTTGAAGTACCACCAGCAACAGAGCATTATCTTCTTCCCATGGATATCAGGTTTGGGAGTGGTTTGAGGGGTCTGCCCAGCAGATAGCCATTGATTTTTGCGTTTAACGTTCTCGTAGTTGATCCACGTTTCGTCAGAAGTGAAAAAGTCGTTCGATTTACATTTTTGTAGCAAAATTGAGGCGACATTGACACGGGCCATTTTGTTGCTTTGGGTCAATTCGTGAGGAACTCATTTTCCAACACGATTCTTTTTCCCAAGTGTGTAAATAGTTTTCGATTGTCGTATGGGATACTTAAAATATTTCTGCCAACTCACGAACGGTGAGTGTTGGGCAATCTTCAATTAAGGCGAGCAAGTCATCGTCGACCACTTCTGGAGGATGTCCTTGGTGTGGCTCGTCTACGAGGCTTCCATCGCCGCCTTGGAATCTTTGAAACCATCGTTGACATTGCCGAATGTGTATACTTTCCTCTCCAAAACAGTGATGATCGTGCGATAAGATTCAGCTGGAGATTTTCCTTGTTTAAAATCGTAGAACAATACAGCTCGAATACGGAATTTTTTGTCCTCCATTTTTTGCCAAAAAGCGAATGGTGAAATTTGTAGCACCAAATGCTATTTATGCAGACATCTTTTACTTTGTATATATGCAAAAAGAGGGAAGAAACGGTGCTTGAAATTACAAAAAACATGTTAAGTAGTGACGCGTCATTATTAAGTTGCCAACCTAATAGAACTAATTTCAATTACTGGAGGTAATTGAAATAATGTCTTGAAATCATCTCTTTTTCACTATGTTTCTGATGATATTTGTGAAGTGATTTCATAGCGTTCTCCTAGGTTTCAATTGGCAAACTTTAGAGTTTCCCTATTTCTTCTATGAGCTTTGTAAATTCCCAACTTTTTGCTGTCCATTCATTGAGACAAATGTCGAGATCGGCGAGATATTGGTAATGGTTAGGACATTGTGGATCTTGACTCAGCAGAAGTCTCAAAATAGCAAGAAAATCAAAAGCCTCATTTGATCTGTTTTCCGATAATGGACTTGCGTTGGAGTTTTCCTTCCGATTGCTAATTTTAAACAGATTGATCCAAACCGGCACGAAATGACCAAGTTGAAAGGTTAGTGCCAGAGAAAGAAACCTTTTAGATATGTGATTTCAGAAAGAGCACCAGTTAAGACAGAAACTTTTTAAGCTGATGTAAGCACAATAAAAGCAAGTCAACTCATGACACTAACTAGGGATGCACACAGATTGACCCTAGTAAATCTGTGTGCATCCCTAGTAAGGAAAGCACACCAAAGACCACCACAAGAAGCACAAGAAAACCAGCAGCGAAATGACATGAACCGAGAAGAGAATGAATTTCTCTCTCAAGAAAATTCCTCTTGTTACGAGCGCACAAAATAGTGTAACAAAGACAAAAATACCACATAATTAGGAGTACAGTGTTGGTGATAACAAAAGGGTATGTAATAGGAAACAGTTTCTAGCCCTTGTCAAATCCTTTTTCTTTTAAACCACCCACGAAAAAGGATTCATGCGGAGTCTTATCGCTCAGAAAAACGGCACCAAAGATCTTGACGTGACAGGGAAAAGATGACGAACGAATAGATTTCAATAGATTTCAATTTTTACCTGCTTTTTTCCAAAAATTCAAATTCGAACAGCTGCTTGACTTGTTTAGTGTTCATTTAGTCATAAAAAGTCATAAAAACAAGAACTAGATTTAATAGTAACAAAACTAGAAATAAATACTCACGGTTTGAATGTGAAAACTGAAGACGGCTTTAACTTAATCACCGTCAGACACTCCTTTATACTATAACTCTAATAATGGTTTAGTAATATATGAATAAAACAATATTGAAAATAATAAGGCAAAGAAATAAAACTTTAAATCTTGAATGCGTGGGTGAACAACGAAACAAAAACTTTGCTTTATCGATTTTTTAAGACGAAAATCATGAAATTAAATAAGTTCAACAAAATTAAATCCATCACCTTTTCCCTAAGCAAACGCGTAAAACATTTCATACATTTCCACCAAGAAGCTCCCTCACCGGGGAGCGCTTGGGGGATCGGGGGGGGGCTAGTTTACTAGTGCTGTAGTTTGTTACTCTGATTTTTCATGATCCCTCATCCAAGTCATCAAGTCCGCAAGGTTCATAGCGCATAAGATCTCCCACCAAGATTACAACAAGTTTTACCTTCAAGTTTTGTTTGTTTTGTTTTCAACAAGTTTTGCAGTCTCAAAACCTTTTGTCATCTTGGGGGGAGGTCTTATGCGTTATAAACCCTGTTTAACGGACATTCTTTTTTACTTCCTCGTCCTCCTTCCGGCTGGCTTCTGACTCTAAAACTCGGAGAAACTACCCTTTCTCTCTTCCCATCCTCCGCAATCCTCCGCTATCTGATATATATCACGTCACCAAGAACATCAAGCTGTACGCAACGCACGGTATGTCTTTTCTATTTCTATTCAATCGCTCATAAGACTTCCCCCCAAGATGACAACTGGTTCTTCCAACCGCTCAGGTGACAACCTTGTTGTCATCTTGGGGGGAGGTCTTATGCGCTATTTTCCCTTATCGATATATACAAGCAATACTTGGATAAGTGAGATGTGCGTACCTTGCAGGTGCATTATCACAGCTAAATCTCTCGCCTTCTGGGAAGCAAACTTTGACTAAGTACTAGCCGAAGCGGATCTAAACTACACCCCCCAGGATGACAACATCATCAGTGTTCGCCCTCTTCCGGTGAAACTCCGTGAATCGGGATAATACACTGCATGTGGATTGATTTTTGGAAAGGTAGCGGATGGCGACACCCCGCGACCTTGGAGGGAGGATCCGAAAGGTGATACAGCGAAAAATCGATTGGTAAACGAATATTTGGGATTAGAATTATTTATTGCGAAAATAAAAGTATTGATAAAAGTAAATGATTGGGGTTTCGCGCCGCGTCTCCAACAACACCCTGACGGAGACCAGAAGTTGCTCAAAATCGCCCCGGGCGTCACCAAGGAACTCAAGCTCCACGCGACAAAGGGTATGTCTCTTTCATTTCTATTAAATAGCACATAAGACCTCCCCCCAAGATGACAACAGGTTCTTCCAACCGCTAAAGGGGTGAAACCTTGTTGTCATCTTGGGGGAAGGACTTATGCGCTATTTTCCCTTATCGATCTATTTTCTGAATTTAGTTGAGCCGGGTGTTTACTCGCTCAAATTCTACGATTGGGTCAAGGGATTGATTGTTCATTCTTTTCCTTCAATCAAATCTGCCTTTTCATTTCCCCATCCATATGACGACGAATTGAAGCAGGTTACTCAAGAGGATCCAGGTTCAAATCTACAAGCTTACCGTAATCTGGATAACTCAATAGATTGATTGGAACTAACTCTCTTGACTTTGAGTTACAAATGGGTTTGTTCTCGATTAAAATTTTTATTCTGTAGTATTCAAAAATAAAAGAAACTAGCCGCTTTGATTTCAATCATCAATGCGTTCAACGAATCTTTGATACTCTTCTGGCTCTGAAAATATAGTCGATTACAGAAAATTTGTTTGAAAAGCAAACCATTAATCATCTCGATTTCTCGTTTACTCCCAGGGTTCATAGCGTTCATAGCGCTTTAGCATTCATAGCGACCCCAAGACCTTCTCCCCAAGATTACAAAAGGGTTTGAGACGGCACAGGTAAAACTCGTTGTCATCTTGGGGGGAGGTCTTATGCGCTATGAATCCTGTCCTTCTAGTTTTTTTCAGTCACTTGTTGTGATTGAGGTTTTGAAACATTTTGCAATAAGTTGCATTAGAAACCTTCCTCGTCCTCTTCTGGCTGGCCGAACCGATCCAATCGATCCGGATACCAATTTCAAAAGAACCCACCGGTATCACAACTAAATGAACTGTGGGATAGAAGAGATTAAAAACGGCAAAAGATAGCATCTAGTAGCGATAATTACCCATTATAACCAACTTATTATAACTTATTATAGTGATTATAACCAACTACCAGTAATTTAGGAAATTTTTTGACAGAGAGCCTCTCGGGCTAAACAAAATTGCAACAAAATACAAAAAGCTATCATGATGCTGTAAAAATCTCTAACTTTTATATCAAATTTGGTCTCCACTCTTTGGTTTTTTCATGTACCGGAACAGAACTGAAAATGAATTTTCTTTTCTATTCACCTATCTTTTTAGGTATATTTCTTGTTATCATAAAAATAATCCTCTTTTTCCCGTCGATCTCTCATGTAATTCCCTTCCTTGGGTAGACGTTTATCGATTCTGATCTGGTACTTAAGAACCTTTACGGGTTCTTTCACTCTCAAAGTCACAAAGTATACCAGGATTACTTTTCTCAAAAAACGAGCCGTCCCAGCATGAATAGTAGAGAAAATCATATCGGTTGGACAGTTTAAACGATGCCCATCTTCTCCTTATTCTTTCTCTTCTACATAACTGCCACACATTCGTTGATAACGGTTTTCAATTTAACCACTCAATTTCCATCTTATGCTTTGCATGGAGTTAATTTGGATAAATGGAAGGTAAATAATTAGAAAGAATCAAAAAAGATTTTCCTCAATCACTAGCTGAGCACGGCTTTCTTATATAACCCTTCAACTGGTGCTTATTTTTATGTCTAATTCAAGTTGTTTCCTATGTTCAGTTTTCAGCTCTAAATTAGAATCATAATTGAGTAATTGTGCTCAGCACTTTAGAGTATTCAAGTGAACGGTTGTGTCGATTGTGATTTCCTTGTCGATTTCTCTTTTCGCGTGTGCAACGAGCTGCCGAATGGACAAGAAGAAGTGAGTGATTTGAGGAGGGACACGAAAATGAGATCCTTTCTCCCATTTAGCACTACACCGATTTGAACATTGTCATCTGCAAAGATCCATATCCTTTCACAATCAACGGAAAACCACCATTGAATGCCCGTTGTGAATGGCGGTTGCTGTTTGGTTGACAACAAATTTATCAAACAAACCTTTAGAGCCTTAATTGCTTATCCGCTGTACACAAACACCTGGGATAATCTCTATTCTTGCTCATATCGTCTAAACGGAGAGGAACGTCTCATCGTGAGAGCTGTCACGCAAAACGTCTCTCAAAACGCTTTCGCCTTCTCATTTCGTGTTCGGCAATGGGTTAATGGTAGGAGAAAGGAGAGAGATGAAGAGCCTATTAGGTTGGCCCAGTCTTTAGACACTTTTTTTCTACTAGTGTTTATAAATGACAAATTCATCGATTGACCTATGGTTTCCTTCATTAGAAAGGCCTACTATTTTTCTATAAAGTAATGTCCAAATCTTATGAAAATGTTTTGTTTTTGGTTTTTTATGGGGGCGCGAAGTTGGGTAAAAAAGGTGACAACCCGAAAATGCAATTTAGACGATTTGTCCACGGAAACCTACCGTAAATACTGTAATTGTACCCCACCCCTCTAATAGTACCCCCCCTCTAATAGTACCCCACCCTAGAGGGGGAGGGAAAAAATAATACCCCACCCCTCTAATAGTACCCCACCCCCAACTAACGCGTAATTACAAACAACTCTTTTAAAGCGGAAAATTTTCATGTATTTTCAGAAATCCTTTGTATTTTTAATTTTATCCCATAAATTTGTTGTTTTTAAATTTGGGGTGGCTACTTTGCGCCAAATTTTTTGCGCAGCTCGCCATAACTTTCTTCTAAGTGGGCCAATCTTTATGATTGTAGATCTCAACAAGTGCAACAAAGTATTAGGTTGGCAAGTTATAAACGATCGTTTTTGGGTAATGTGTTTTCTGAAAAAAACGGCTTATCCAATCAAAAAACGGTTTGCTTCATTCAAAAGCTTTATCCTTAATCTACAAAATGGCTTTTTGAATTTTTGAAAAATGCTTTATTTTAGAACTTTTTCAGGCATTTTAATGTAAGAGTTGAAAATCGTGGTTTCTAGCATTCATGAGCTATTATATTTTTGAGCTATTTTTGAGTGATTGTATACTTTTTAAAATAAAACGCTTCATCGATTACATAGTTTCTCAAAATTTCAGAACAATCCAATCTTTTGGGAAACTACATAGTTTTATTTTAAAAAGTATGCAATCACTCAAAAATATATTAGCTCATGAATGCTAGAAACCAAGATTTTGAGCTCTTACTGAAATTTCTTTCAAAAGAACCCATGGCTGGATGGAGTCGTTCTTCAGGCGCCACCAACTTTCTTTGAGGGCACCAACAACAACTTGTCAAAAGCTGCCGAGAAGGTCATCGTCGCGCACATTCTGAGGCTGAACAAGACAATCAAAGAAGGCGATTACAAGCACATTGTTGCTTGCGATGAGACGGCGGTTTGGCTGGATGCTTCGACGAGCAAGTGCATCGAAGCGGTTGGAGCCAAAGAAGTTGGTGTTAGAGATCAGAGACGGAAATCGGACAGAGACGGAAGTCGAGGACCTCTTGGGGCCGCTCGCATCGACGGGATTTCAAGGACATCGAGGAATTGATGATCAAGAAAATGATGAATTCATTGATTCGGATGTTTCTATTGATTTCGCTTGTTAGTTGTTTTTGTTTTGTTTTGCTGTTAAATTTTCAAATGGTTAAAACCAATAAAAACTAAAGGAAAAGTTTGCTTTTGAAAAAATTATTTGAATGTATCCTGATTTGGTAACTTGAATAGTGGTGTAAAATAGTGACCCACCCTCTAATAGTGCCCCACCCTCTAATAGTACCCCACCCTAGAGGGGGAGGGAAAAAATAGTACCCCATGGGGTCCAATTACAGTATTTACGGTATATGCTTTTAATCACTATTAGATTAGATTTTTTATGAAACACACGTTTTTCACTTTTGAATTTGCTTGAAAGTCGATTCAACTCGTCTTAAAAAGATCGAAGAATGAATAATAAACGTTTTTTATTCTATTTTATTTAGAGCCAATTGTAGGTTTGGTAATTTTGCTGTCATTTATAAACCCTAGTAGAAAAAAAGCTGCCTAAAGACTTATGAGCCTACCTAATACAATATTACGAAACCAAGCTTTATGCTCACCAGTTAGACATTTAACTAGAGGTAATCGGGGGTGATTCAATTTCCGATCTGACGTTTTGATATTAAAAATAAATACTATTGAAATTTGGATAACAGACCTGTTTTTTCGATAAGCACACTGCTAATTTTCATATGCAAATTTTTCTTTGCCATTTTCTCAATACAAAGTGATCAAGTGTTGATTTTAATTTAGAGTCGATCCCAATGTTCGTTCTACCGGTCAGTGGAAACGAGTACTTTTTAGTCGAAAAAAGTACGATGGTTACTCTCGTCGCCGATCCGACTCTAGCATCGTTTGTCGAATTTCACTAGAAAAAAACCTGGTTGATTTTCTTTCATAAAGAAGTCCGCTCGTGAATACAACGCTTATTCTGCAGATGGAAGGTCGATTCGACGATGAGTCCGAGGACGGGATCCCGCTGTATGAGGTGAGATCAAGAATCAACTGTTTTGGCTTATAATGCAACGGTCTCGACTCGACCATTCAGAATCAATACGAAACTCAATCCATCTTGTTTTACGGTGAGCACGATACCCTAACGATTAGCCTCAATGTTGGTCAAATAATCCTCAACGCATCGTGCAATTTTTCAGCAACTTTTTTCATACTCACATTGATTAATTTCTATTATTTTGGTATTTCTTGCCCATGAAAAGATCTACAAATTTGTATTAAAGCCATAAGAATTGACCAACGGAGACATTAAAGTTGCTAAAGAACTTTAATTGCCGCTGAATCAATTGGAATTTCTGGCTAAACTTGAGCGTTTCTAGAAAAATCATTAATCGATGATTGAAACAAGGCTTAATTCCCTAGCCATTAGGCTGACATCACATGCTATTGGCCTTTCACCTATTCGCTTTTTGCCGGATCCGATCCGGGTCTGCGATGGCGAGAATCTCTCGACTTTTTTCTCGATCAGTCAGTTCTCAAAAATAGATTTTCCAAAGATCTTCAGATCGGTAATCTTTTCAACATCCACCGTCATCACTGTTTTCGGCAATGACTACTGTATTTTTGCGGCTCTTACTAGTCTGTGAATTGGCTTTTCCATTGTTTTTCTTGATTTCAGTGCAAGCTGGCACGGAATCCATCCTCAATCATCTCCCAACTTATCTTACATCATACAGTTATCCATGGCCTTTCGATAATCCAACTGATTACCCACAATGTCAACGGGCTCGAGCTGATTTCTCGTCGTTAATTGTGAGGATTTTGAACAAACCGGGTCTTTTGGTCTAGATGTCTATAGAAGCACGTAGTTAACCCCTTTATACTCAACTATGCCGTAGATTAACTGAGTTTTTAAAATTTTATTTAATACTGAAAAGAATTTGTGGATAAAAGAGACGCGACACGTGTTTTACCGTTATGCTCCTATAGACATGCAGCCGAAAATTCCCAGGTTTACTCTGTCATTCTGCGGAATAGTTGAGTATAAAGGGTTTTCCATTATACTCCTATAGACGTCTAGACCAAAAATACCATTCCCACGATTGGGACACGAGTGAATTTTAGACAAAAACCGAGCGCCGCATCGCCATTGATGTGATCAAATTGGAAAACGGTACTCTGAAACTGTTTTATGGCACAAATCCATCAAACGAAAAGGGATTTTGCATGAATCCGATAATCGAATCAAAAAGCATCGAGTTTGTGGCAGAGATTAGCAGAGATTAGCAAAAATGATATCATTTCAGTCTCGTCGATCAACAAACAGTCGCCGTCTCAGCGGAATGCTTTCATGTGAGATCGTTTAAAAAGCAACAATTGGATTGGAAAATATTGTAGCTCGAGTTTTGTCCCCTTCAAAATGGCACAAAAGATCGTTTTGGCTTTGTGGTGAAGGCGAGTCGAGCGCCGGTCGATCCGAAACTCGTCGAATGCAAGCTGACCTACACGTTGAGCACCGAGAACCCACAAGTTCTCCTCCACGTCAGAAATATCTACTTCCAAGAGGGTTCGTTTATTTCTTCGTCTTTTGGTACTTGTGTTCTAGTGGGCTAAGGCTAAGGCTTCGGCTTAGTTAAAGTTAAATTCACATTTAACTGCTTGCAAATAGGCCCAGATGACTGTCATTGTGATAATTCTTAAAGAAACTTCAGCGATTTGTCCGAAAAATGTGTTAACTGGATGAGCGTCTTTAAAATGTAAGCAGAGATGTTTCCAATGCAAATTTTGTGCCCACCAAATGTCTAAACACTTTTTTGAAATTATATTTTAAAAGTGACTGGTACGAAGCCAATTTGTGTGGAGAGGAAATGTGGAAATGCTTCGAGTTGTCCGATTATCATTGATATTTCGTTTGCTTGTTACATTGAGGATAAGGTGTCAGAAAAGTGCCACTCTTATTTGTTTTTCTCTCTTTCTAGAGCCGTTGCATCAACTCATCCCCATACGAAATCAACGGTGAACGTCCAGAAATCAAAGATTGGGAGATTCGGTGACAAATCTTTCTTTTTATTTCACTGTTTCTTTCAGGTACACATCTCGACGTGTATTTTTCTGCTGCAGGCTCGTCTCATCAAAGAAAGTCGCGTCTATTTGAATTCGGATGCCGATTTTTCGGGCCCTTTCTATGGGGGCTACTCATTTCGATTGCCCAACACAACGCTCGGTTTGTTTACTCCAAAGCGTTTACAGAGAAGAATTTTTGTCCTCCATTCTAAAAGGCACTACTACCGTAACCCGCGCGATTTTAGTGATAAATTTAGTGAGAAAATCTAGTGATATGGCCAATTTGAACAGGATCAAAGTTACAAAAAACTACGAAATTTCGGTTGTGATCGGATTGGACCGAATGCTCATGTCTAGTGATTTCCCCTTCTTTCAGATGAGACGAATTTCTTCTTCTTGCCCGTCACCACGTCGTTTGATATGCGTGAATTCGGCTTTCGATTCGCCGAGTCGCCACGCGGAACGTGGTTTTCGATGGCTTTAGTATTCGAGACAGTCCTGCAACTGAGAAAATTTCGCGGAGTAAGCAGATATGGGATTCGGTCAAATCTCGGTTCAATATTTGAAGAGTTCCGGCGACGATTGGATAGATAGCGAGTTAGCTTCTTTAAAATAACAACTTATTTTTTGAATTTGATTCAATTCTCTTTTAGCATCAACACGACACTTTCCAATGTGCAAGAGGTTAAGGTAAAAGGGAAAACAGTGAAAAAATTGATTGTGAAATACTTCAGCTTCAATGTCACATTATGTCCAAATGGGAGAAATACAAGAAATGTTTCGTGAAGATTCATTTTGTTCGTTCTTTCCACAATCGATTCGACGATCCATCACCGGTAACCCAAAATCCATCAAATCAAGTTGGGAGATGCCCCAATCCCATCTCTTTTTTTACATTTGCTCTTTCACTAGACATCTTTTTCTTTCTCAACACTAGCTGGTAGTTTTTTTTAATTTTTCTACTCAAAACATTTGATCGTTTGTAGGCTGTAAGCTTCAGTGATTCATATTTCGTTATTGATAAAATGTCGCTTTCTTTCCCATTTTGTTTAACTTTTATAGATACGTGACTACTGTGATATCCATTCATGAAATTAGTTAATCTGTCTTGGCAAACTACACAGTTGAAGTAACTACAAGTTACTTGTTTGAGTGATGAGAATAAACACTTTTTGCAAACGATTGAACCAATTTATGAAAAAACTCTCAAACAAAAACGCTTTCTAAAACTAAACTCAACTTTTTGCTCCTTTTCCTGTCTTGATCACAAAGTTTTTATATTCTTCTACAGTTTTATTGATCCAACGATAAACATTTCAAAAAGAAGCACTATAACACGTCTCACAAACATGGAGTTGATAATTTACATTCAACAGAATCCTATTTGATTCGATTTGATTCATTTCCGATTCGAAACCATGTCTTGAACAGCCTCACGCGCGGTTGCACGCTACTAACAAAACTCAAGATATCCAAAAACTAAGGGTGGCCGCCCGCATAAACATGGGAACCTGGGAACTTTTTGAGAACACAAATTACTATCGTTATTCAGGAGTCCAGTTGATCAATCAACGTCCACAAAAGGCTACCTTTATATCAGAAGCGAGCAGTTGACGACCGGTATGCAAAAGTTTTAAAAGAGAAACTGATTAAACTTTTTCAGAATCAAAATTTCCCACTTGTGGAATGGGAAGCACAAACTTTTTGGAAGATTTTCTCGGAAAAGAACAAGAATCTCTCCGATGAATTGGAATCAGATTGTGATCGTTGGAAACGGACAAACGGTGAGACACTCCAACGAGAGTAGGTCCTCTAATTTTCTTTGAAGAGGCAAAAATTGAAGAATTTATAAAGTTGCTTGAGGAATATTTAAAGGGGTACTCCGGCTCAAGAAAGCTCAGTGTTAAAGTGGGCGCCTTTTTTTTCGCGTCTTCTTAAGTTTGATTTTCAACTTTTAAAAATTATTCTTTAAGAATGTAATGTTTTCTATTAAAAAAACAAAAAATATTTAGGATTGCTGTTAAATTTGAGAAAATACATGCAAAAGAAAAGAACACGAATGCTAAGATGCAATTGGATGGAATCTTTATCTACTCTTTGCCCAAATAACCACGTTTTAGGGAGGAACGGAAAGCAAAAAACCGCATTTTTGTTCATTTCTCAATTGGATGGTCGAATAGAGCTCCAAACTTTTCGTATGTAGGACCATAAGTCAACTTTTGTGTGAAAGTCTTTTCCTCGTAGCTTTGTCTTCACGTAAGCCCATAAATCCTCAATAACGTTTAAATCAGGCGACATTGGGGGCACATTGACCAACAAAAAAATTATTAAGGGCAAACCATCCAGGGAGATGAGCTTTTCCTCCATTTGAGATATTCTCCGTGCGACCCATCATGAGTTTGTTCTTGTGGACCGGCGAATTGTCCTGGTAGAGAAACCATCCAGGAGCCATGTGATCCTGAGCAAATGGAAGTAGACATCTTTCTAGTATTTCCATATACTGGCGAGCATTCATGGTTGACTGGACGAGGACGAGCGGACCTGCCACATTTTCTGTCATCGCCCCTAGAGAAAGACAAATTAATGCATTTATTAGAAATAAGGCTTACCAAAAGACATCATTGATCCTCTGCCAGCTCGCATTGTAGGTCGCACATATTTAAGGAGTATTAGCTTTCCAATGGGTCGTCTGATCAAGTGGTTGCCTTTTGGAGAAAAGATATCCACTTTTGTTTCATCGAGAAAAATCACGTTGGTCCAATCCTGCTTTGTCCAACTTTGGTACGTCCTGGCGAATAGAAGCCGTTGTTTCCTGTGGCCAGCGGTCATTAAAGGCTTTCGTACAGCCCTCCGGCTACACAGTCCTGCTTGAGTCGATCATCGAGAAACGGTCCATCGAGAGATATCCTTGTTTGCAACATCCTTGATCAGCCGAGCTCCCTCAGTTGATGTCATGTTCGGATCCTTCTTGGAAACCATCACAAGTATTCGATCCTCTTTTGCTGTTGTTCTTCTTGGCCGTCCTTTCTTCTCTCTTCGGTGCATAAGTCCAGTTGTTTTTGCTTTTGAAACAATGCGAGAAACGGTCGAAGGATCGCATTTGAAGAGATCGGAGACAACGGCTCGAGAAATTCCTTTTTTTTTCTTGCTTTCATGATTTTTTTTCTCTTTCGGGAGTCGTCAAGTAGGTACCTGGCATCTGAAAAAAACAAAAATTAGTGTAAATTAATAAATTTGAAAACAATAAAAATGAGAAACATAGAATGTTGCAAGACTTTGCAAAAAATACCCGATTTTTAGGGTATTTTTTAGTAGTTTTGTCATTTATTTTGTTTCACGCTGAACTTCAAATTTGTTTTTGTAAATAAAGTGTACATGTATTATTCTAATTAAAAACAAAAAAACCCTACGAACGGGTGACATTTTCTATAAAAAAATCTCATCGATTTTTTTGAAAAAGTCATCTTGCAAGACTTTTGCTCGGTATTGTATTTTCGAACAAATTTTAAGAGTTTTCGCGTTCTTAACTTTTGCCTTTTATATTTTCATCAGACAAAATTTTCTTTTTAGGATGGAGGATCGATTTGCTGAAACCTTCACGCAATATCAATCTCAAAGAAAGAATATTTTGATACCATCTGCTGACAAATACAATGAAATCGTTGTGAAAATCAAAGAATTCAGCGAGGGAAACGATAAGAAGAAAAAATCACGCGATGATGTGAACTTGCTAAATCGTTTCTCTCTTCGATACGAACAGGACCAGGCGAATCTCTACAGTCACGGAAGCGGACAAAACAATCAACCAAAGCGAGTGGTCAAGAAGGAGGAGCTCTTCAATCTACTGATGGATACTCACAAACGACTAGGACACGCTGGACGCGATATTATGTGGAAGGAACTTCGCGATTATCATGGAATTTCAAAGGAGATTATTGAAATATTTGTCAAGCTTTGTGATGAATGCGAGCTGAAGAAGGGTATGCCCAAGAAAGGAATTGTTATCAAACCAATTGTGACAAAACAACAAAATGAGCGCTGTCAAATCGATTTGGTTGACCTTCAATCAGTGCCCGACGGTGACTACAAGTTTTTGATGATCTACCAGGATCACCTCACCAAATTTGTAATCCTTCGCGCATTAAAATCTAAAACGGCGTTTGAAGTGGTGAATCACTTGATGGAGATATTTGGAACCTTCGGAGCTCCAACGATTTTGCAGTCGGATAATGGGCGGGAATTTGCCAACAAAATGGTAAGATTTTTTAAAATTATTTTATTACATTTATCTATTGCAGTTTTTTCAATACCTTTTGTTTTTTAGGTCAAAGAATTAGTGAATCGTTGGTCAGGGTGTCAAATTGTGCACGGGCGACCACGACACTCGCAATCACAAGGATCCGTTGAAAGAGCAAATCAAGACGTCGAGGTTAGTTAGTGGTGCGGAATGTACCTTTTTTAGCTAAAAACAATATTGCATTTAGAGAATCCTTTGCACTCAACTACGTGAAGAAAAATCTACAAGATGGGCCCGAATTCTTCCAGTTGTGCAATCGATGAAGAATCGGCGATTTCATCGAGGGATCGGACGTTCGCCATTTGAAGCAATGTTTGGTCGGAAGATGACACTCGGCTTTGAAAAAGGAGCCACCAAAAAGGGGAAAACGAAAAGGAGAAAAAAATATAAAAAAAAAAAACTTTTTAATTAAATTTTTCTTTTGTTAGGCGAAAAACGAAAATTTGGCGACTGGAGTGAATCGATTCAAGCCGCAATCACAGAAAATCCAACTTTTTTTCCGGACACAAGTGACGAAGCGGACGAGGAGTTCGAGAAGGCAATGGGTAAGTTATAGTATTAATGCTTTATTGTAAAGTTAGTTTAATATTTGACTTAGAGTTAGAAAAGCGAGAGGAAAATATTCTGCAACACCGAGAGGGAGCCCTACAATGCCAAAAAATGCAGGCCTCAAAGATGCTGGAAGCTTCAAAAAATAGATATGGTTTGTTTTAATGGTTTTAAATGTAATCTATTTTGTTAGATTTGGACCAGTTGAAGTGGGAAGAACAGTCCGACTGCCGATTGATTCTGTCGATCGTCCGAAGATCGGGCATTCATCGCTTTTTGGGGTCGTTCTGGAATCAAATGAGGGATTTTATCAGATTGGCACTAAAAACGGAATTCTTCAACAAAAGTAAGTTTTAAATTCTATATGATAGTTATAATTATAGTTTATTTTAGGTTAACAAGGAATCAATTCGAACCGGCCAATAATAATTTCATCACCGCTGAAGAAGTGCCACATGTTGAGACGTCGTTTCGAGCCGCTGTTGGAGCCGAGTCCTTGACTGGATCGCAAGGTGTGTCTATTTTAATCTAGTTCAGCGATATTAAGTCAAATTCATTTCAAAATTAATACTATTTTTTTATTTTCGGCCATAAGCATTGCGACTGCACAAATGGATGTTTGAATGGACGGTGTTCCTGTCGAAAAGCCAATGTCCTCTGTAATAGCCGATGCCACCATAGCAATTCCTGCTTGAACAAGGGATAATTTTGTAAACCTTTGTTAATCTTTTGGCTTGTTAATTTTGTTATTGTTATTGTTGTTATGTTTTTCGTTATTGTTATATGTTTTCGTTTACATTCAATAAACGTGGTTAAAACGTCAGGAGCTACCTTGACAAGAACAGCACTAAACAATTAAATATCAACATAATAATTTGCATTTGACGGCAAATTTCTAGAAAAAGCTACTTTCATTCATAATCGGCTACGGCATATAAATAAACGCGATTCTTGAAAGTAAACTTTTAGGCCATACCCCTTTAAAGAATCACCCGGCTTTTTTAGATCAAATTTATCATACTGTTCCAACATCCACTAATCATTGTGATCAACTCAACGAAATGGGTCACTATTGCCTAAAATGTTTTTCGACTTTCAACAAATCGAGTTTCCCAACCGTTCCAGCCAATCTTTTGCCTCCATCTGTTTTCATTGAAGAGATTGTTTTCTGAAAAAGAGTTTATGTTATTCCTTTTTTTTCTTTTCCTAGTTTAATATAGGGAACGGGGAACCCGGAGAGTATTCGAGTTTTTCTAGTAACGATTCCTAGTCACGGTGTCTCTTGTACCACTTACGGATTCGAATGAAGCGACAAAAGGCAACAACTACTAAGAAAAAAGTGATTGGTAACGAGTAATTGATGTATCTTTTGGAGGCTGTGTAATAGCGGCCATCGAAGAAGACGGCAAAGATGCTGAAATGGGATAGAAAATCAAACAAAATGCTAATGATGGCTGCTTGTCTTTCACTGTTTTCAATTTCAATAAACTCAAAGAGAATAAATCAAAGTATAAACGAAAAATGAACCTAAAACTGATTCTAACTCAGCTTCGGCTTGTTTTCATTGTTTGGTTTCGATTGATAGATAAAAATCAAGGTGACTCATACCGATTTACAGACAAACATCCTTCAACCATAATCATCCATCGAAGAAAGATCTCATAAGTGGTTGTGTAGCCAAAATTGAGAAGATTTGGAGTTGAAATGTTGAGAGTTCTGTTGTCGGGCAGTCTATAGCCTGGGGTTGAATCGTAACAGAAAGATGATCTAGGGGAATCTTGTAAATCCAATCACTTCAACTCACTTCTGAATGCAATAAATCATTGGGATTCTGAGTAGAACTTGAATGATACGAATGAGAGACAAGAGAATCATTAACAGTTTCACTGACTGAGCAATTGAGCCTTTCTTTTGGAGTAAAAAGAGGAGAAACGAGTTGAAGAAGATGATGAGAAAAGTCGTCTAAACGTTGTGTTGATAGCTGATGATTTGTTTTTTAAGCTCACCGTTGACATGATCATCGTTACGGTTAACATTTCCATTTTTTGGTAGAGAAAAAAATCAAAGAAGCAAAATAAAATACGGTCAATGGTAGATAAAAAGCTCCTTTTCTTAGATTTTTCTTTGAAAATTGCCGCTGTGAGACCAAACTCGAGAAATTACAAGTTCTTTCTAGCGCCGTGTACCTCAAAAATCACAAAAAAGTTACCGATAATTAGATCTTTTCAGTCCTTTTTATTTTTGATTCACTAGGAGAGCTTTTGGCTTTGAAACATCAATTCTCTGTTTTGTAAAATGCAGCCAACAAGTTGTAAACAGTTTAAGAAGTAAACACAAATAAAGCTTCAGTCGGAGCCATCTTTACATGCTATTTGTATACCAAAGATGGACCCTTGCTGGCTGTATTGAAACGATGAACGACTCAAGCCGTATTTGGTGGCTAAACAAGCCAAAGCCACTCGTCTCAATGATTTCTATACTCCAATCATTTTTCAAATACTTCTTCCAGTGAATGATATTTATAAGCATTCAATATTGAAATTTCAGGCAGCTATCATCGAATTGATGACAATAAAATCTACAATAAAAAATGAAGAAATCATCGGTTTTTCAATGATTTCAATGAATTTTCAAGTGCTCTCACCGTTCTCTTTAACAATCACTACCACCAAAGCTCTCTCAAATATTTTCTTCTCTTCATCACAGCAGTGACAATCTTTCCATCAATTTATTTCAAACTTATCAATAGATACGATAAGCCTTCTAAGTTCTTTTTCTTCTTTGCAATCAACTCCTTCAGTTGGTATGAAAGTGAAGCTCTTCATTGGCTACTCTTATTATCCGAATGTTTATTATGAATCAACGCAAGAGAAACTTTACGAGACAATTTGGGAGTATTTTGCTTGGAGAATTCGTGTCTTGGTCACTTTGTTGACAGGAGTTTTGGCTTTGATGACAGCTGTAAAAACGTGGAGAATGGTGCATTAATTGACTTGTACAATAGAAAACAAATAAGAAAATCGTTCTTTATTCTTTAATTCCAGGAAAGTGCTGACAAATCTGATCAAAAAGCCAACAAGTTGCTCTTTCCATTGACTGTAGCGGCAAGTCTCTGTACTTTTTATTCAATTCAATCTACCGATTCATTGGATGGACAGTTGCTCCGGCCTTTCAAGTTCCAAATCAAATGCTCTTTCGATGTTTGTTTTGTAAATTTGAAAATCTATGGGAATTTACAGCCTGCTAATGACCACCTCGCTGCTTGTTGGTGCATGGAAGAATCGGGGAAGGCTTTGAAAACCAACGATTCCATTTTCCAGTCCCCTTTACGAACAATAGAACTGTTCTTAACTTTTTGTAGACATTAACGAGAGATAAATTAAAAGTTTTTTTGTTGTATCATAACATACTGTATCCTTTTTGAGCGACGCCTCAAAATTTGGGTGAATTTTCGTTGATTTCATAAATGAATTCCCCGTTTTTCAACACGTTGCCCATAAAAGTTGAAGGGAATCATTGTGAGACTCGAGTTCCAGATTTCGTCTTTCCATTTACTAAAGAGTATTGCGCTAAAGTGCTGTTTTTCTATAGTCAAAATGGCACTTTAGGGCACTTCTCTATTTGCTTTATAACTCGACTTCCAGTAATCAGATAGACTTAATTTTGGTTATAAAATGATCCTTATGAAATTTGGTTATAAAAAGCTACAATTTCTTTTGTGTACTCATGTGTAAGAACATAGAGAAAATTTGTATCTAAGTTGAACAATCAAGAACTACCTGCAAAAGTTGGTCAACTTGCACGATCTATAATTCGATTAAAGTGCCGTTTTTCTATACCATGCTTTATTTTACTCTATGACTCGACTCCCTCGTTTTTCTTGCACCCATGAATACAAATGTCTCTGATGTACATATCAGATAATGTAGATCTTACTTGATGTACATCATGTGAGATGTAGATCAAATTTAATTACATTGTAATATATGGTAATATTCTGTGTATATGTTAATTGTTTCGATGCGCTAAAGTGCCATTTTAACTATACAAAAATGACATTTTAGCGCACTACTCTTCAAGGCTGTTTTTCTCTATGTTTTTATCGATGGGTATACAAAATAACTTTTGACGGCTGACTTTAAATAATAGAAATAAAAGTTTATTCAATTGCAAAATAATATGGGCGAATTAAAGTTTTAATGAAAAAAATAGGCTTATGGAAATTTAAAAAAAAAATTTATTTAAAGACGAAGGCGGATGAATCAGGGATAGCAGACTCAATATATTTACAGACTCAAAAAAGTGAAACCAAACAAACACTAACTGATTGTGACAAAAAAAAATTAGTGATGCAAAGACAAACCTAAATGCCAAGAGACCGCTATGAGGCCACTAGACTCACTAACAAAGTGGTTCAACTTTTGGGCTAATTCTCACGAATGCCACGAAAGCCGATGATCAGAATGATCAACGGCCAAAAGTTTAACCACCTACACACGAACCGAAACCCAGAAAGAAAAACGTTCAAACTGTTGAAATATTGAAAAAAAATATTGAACATAATAAGGCAAAGAAATAAAGATTTAAATCTTTGAATGCGTGGGTGAACAACGAAAAAAACACTTTGCTTCATCAATTAATTGAAATCGAAAAACGAAAATCGTGAAATTAAATAAGTTCAACAAAATTAAATCTATCACCTTTTCCCTAAGCAAACGCGTAAAGCATTTCATACATTTCCTCCAAGAAACTCCCTCACCGGGGAGTGCTTGGGAGGGATCGGGGGGCTAGTTTACTAGCCCCCTCCCCCCAAGTGCTGCAGTTTTTTACTCTGATTTTTCATGATCCTCATCCAATGCATTTTTTTAATATGTGCTTATTTGTATGTGGGTGTGATTGCGCCCCGAATCGATTCACTTTAATCGATGATTTTCACATCTTGATCAGGAACCTAAGCCCTAATTAAAAAAGAAGAAATAGAAAACGTACATCTTGTTCGTTGTCGTCGATGCTTCGCTCGGCATTCGATAGTGCAATTCGATGCCATCGATGTCACTGTTAAATGCGTAAAGTAAGCGAATTGCTGAACATAAATTACTGGGATTTTTCTTGGATTGATTCGAAAGATGAGATTTCACCTTTTCAACTATAAACAACTATTTATTTCGCCACCCATAAAAAATAATGTCCGTTAAACAGGGTTCATAGCACATAAGACCTCCCCCCAAGATGACAGCAAGTTTGTTCTCAGCTATCAATAAAATCTGAAAGCAAGTTTTGAGCAAGTCTTTTTGAGTGAAATTCGAAAGCTATTGAAATAATCCAAAGACTTAATCAGAAATCACAAAAAAAACGAATATTTAGAGTTTCACTGGAGTTCTTTTTCAAGTCCACAAGGTTCATAGCGCATAAGACCTCCCCCCAAGATGACAACAATTTTTATCTGTGCCGTCTCAAAACCTTTTGTCATCTTGGGGAGGGGGGCTTATGCGCTATGAACCCTGTTTAACGGACATTCTTTTTTATGGGTGGTGAAATAAATAGTTGTTTATAAAATCGATTGCCACACAGTAAATTTTCTGCGTTTCTTCTTTCTCTGGGATCATAGGCCGATCTTTCAATCCCTGGCACACCAAGTTTAATTAAGTCGAAGCAATGACCAGACCAAATCACGCCCCCTAAGATGACAACAGCAACAGTGTTTGTCAGAAATCTAACGGTTTAATTCTCTCTTTGCTCAGGCTCAGACAATTTGGGATGGCTATTGGTGCGTTTCTGGTTTAGCCCATAGAAACGGCATTCAACACCTGAGAGAAATCGCAGAAATGTCGATATTTTGGCGATAATTGTTATGCTTTAGACAAAATTCTCATCCAAATTTACACTTATTTCTAAAAAAACCGGTAAATCTATTAAGATTTTACATTTGTTTTTGGGAAAATGAAAGCCTTCCCTTTTTCCCTATAACCTACCACATGTACTGCTATTTATTTGTACTTTGCTTCTGTGTGGGCGAACTCTGATATTCTCAAACTCCAACAACTTCCGAGTAGTTTACGGTTTTTATAATTACACCTAAAACTAAGTATTTGTCTTTAAATCATTCTCAAGGTCATACCGCTTTTGAGAACATTTTTGATCTCACGAAATTCCATTTTCGTGAAAAAACCTTTCTTTTAATTAAAATTTAGAAATTTTTGCGTAAAGCTTTCAAAAAAAAATGATTTTATAAACAACTACCAGTAAATTAGGAAAAAATTGGACAGAGAGCCGACAGGGCTGAACAAAATGGCAACAAAATACAAAAAGCTATCATGATGCTGTAAAAATCACTAAGTTTTATATCAAATTTGGTCTCAACTCTTTAGTTTTTTCATGTCCCGGAACATAACTGAAAATGAATTTTCTTTTCTATTCACATATCTTTTTTAGGTATATTTCTTGTTATCATAAAAATAATCCTCCTTTTCCCGTCGATTTCTCGTGTAATTCCCTTCCTTTGTCCCATCGATTCTGCATCTAGCACATAAGAACCTTTACGATTTTTTTCACTCTCAAAGTCACAAAGCATACCAGGGTTTCTTTTCTCAAAAAAAAAGAGTCGTCCCAGCATAAATAGTTGAGAAAATCATATCGGTTCGACGTTTTAAACGATGCCTATTTTCTCCTTATTCCTTCTCTTCTACATAACTGCCACACAATCGTTAAAAACGGTTTTCAATTTAACTACTCAATTTCCATCTTATGCTTTGCATGGAGTTAATTTGGATAAATGGAAGGTAAATAATTTGAGAGAATCAAAAAAGATTTTCCTCAATCACTAGCTGAGCACGTCTTTCTTAGATAACCCTTCAACTGGTGCTTATTTTTATGTCTAATTCAAGTTGTTTCCTATGTTCAGTTTTAATCTCTAAATTAGAATCATAATTGAGTAATTGTGCTCAGCACTTTAGAGTATTCAAGTGAACGGTTGTGTCGATTGTGATTTCCTTGTCGATTTCTCTTTTCGCGTGTGCAACGAGGTGCCGAATGGACAAGAAGGAGTGAGTGATTTGAGGAGGGACACGAAAATGAGATCCTTTTCCCCCATTTAGCACTACACCGATTTGAACATTGTCATCTGCAAAGATCCATATCCATTCACAATCAACGGAAAACCACCATTGAATCCCCATTGTGAATGGCGGTTGCTCTTTGGTTGACAACAAACTTATCAAACAAACCTTTAGAGCTTTAATTCTTGATCCGATGGGCTTCAACACCACTTGGGATGATCTCTATTCTTGCTCATATCGTCTAAACGGAGAGAAACGTCTCATCGTGAGAGCTGTCTCGCAAAAAGTCTCTCAAAATGGTTTCGCCTTCTCATTTCGTGTTCGGCAATGGGTTAATGGTAGGGGAAAGGAGAGAGATGAAGAACCTATTAGGTTGGCCCGGTCTTTAGACACTTTTTTTCTACTAGGGTTTATAAATGACAAATTCATCAATTGATCTACGGTTTCCTTCATTAGAAAGGCCTACTATTTTTCTATAAAATAATGTTCAAATCTTATGAAAATGTTTTGTCTTTGGTTTTTTATGGGGGCGCGAAGTTGGGTAAAAAATGTGACAGCCCGAAAACGCAATTTAAACGCTTTGGTCCACAGAAACCTATGTTGTTTTCAATAACTAAAAGATAAAGCGCAAAAAGTTAGGTATATAGCCGAATTTTCAGAATCGTCTGTTCAGCCAATTTCTTCGTAGAGGTTTTTATAGATTTTTTTAATGAAAAACACGTTTTTCACTTTTGAATTTGCTTGAAAGTGGATTCAAATCGTCTTAAAAAAATCGAAGAATGAATAATAAACGTTTTCTATTCTATTTTATTTAGAGCCATTGTAGGTTTGGTAATTTTGTCATTTATACCCCTAGTGGAAAAAAACTGTCTAAAGACTTATGAGCCAATCTATTGGGTTGGGGAGAATGAGTCGGCGCCGAAAATGAAAAAAATGTCTAAAACTTCTATTCGACTTCGTCAAATAATATGCGTTTGATACTCATAGAATGGTTAACTAATTCTCTACAAAATGACATTTAAAAGAAAATTCAAACAGCGCCTCCGCTCAAGAAAAAGCCATTTTTTCACAAAAACTACAAACTGTGATCTAGAAAAAACCATTAGTGGGATCTTCCTGCAAATTTGGCAACTTAAGTAATTGAATGTGCTCTATCTTTTTTATATTAACACCAAAGAAGGTTTATGTGAAAGAAACTGTTCAAATGATGAGTCGGACTCTTTGCCATTTTAACCAGCTACGTTTGGAAGTTCATAAACTCCACGAAAGAAAAGCTTTGTGGAATCTCTCAAAAGTGATTTTGTAGAGAAATAGTGGATCCTTTTGATGAAACCAAACGTATGTTTAAAGAAGGCTTTATGTGTGCAAAAAGTCCCTTTAAAGTTTGGCGCCGACTCATTCTCCCCAACCCAATAATACAATATTACGAAACCAAGCTTTATGCTCACCAGTTAAACATTTAACTAGAGGAAATCGGGGGTGATTCAATTTCCGATCTGACGTTTTGATATTAAAAATAAATACTATTGAAATTTGGATAACAGACCTGTTTTTTTGATAAGCACACTGCTAATTTTCATATGCTAATTTTTCTTTGCCATTTTCCCAAAACAAAATGTTCAAGTGTTGATTTTACTTTAGAGTCGATCCCAATGTTCGTTCTACCGGTCAGTGGAGGCGAGTACTTTTTAGTCAAAAAAAAGTACGATGGTTACTCTCGTCCCCGATCCGATTCTAGCACCGTTTGTCGAATTTCACTAGAAAAAAAACCTGGTTTGTTTTCTTTCATAAAGAAGTCCGCTCGGGAATACAGCGCTTTATCTGGAGCTGCAAGGTCGAGTCGAAGATGATTACGTGAATGCGATGCCGCTGTATGAGGTGAGAATAAGAATCAACTGTTTTGGCTTATAATGCAATGGTCTCGACTCGACCATTAAGAATCAATACAGAAACTCTATACATCTTGTTTTACGGTGAGCACGATACCCTAACGATTCGCCTCAATGTTGGTCAAATAATCCTCAACGCAGCGGGCAATTTTTCAGCAACTTTTTTCGTACTCACATCTGATTATTCTCTATTATTTTGGTATTTATTGCCCATGAAAAGATCTATGAAATTTGAAAAGATCCATGAAATTTGTATTAAAGCCATAAGAATTGACCAACGGAGACGTGAGTTAGGCCAAGTTGCTAAAGAGCTTTAGTTGCGGCTGAATCAATTGGAATTTTTCGCTCAACCTGCGCGTTTTTAGAAAAAGCATTAATCGACGATCGAAACATGGCTTAATTCCCTAACCATTAGGTGGACATCACATGCAATCCGCCCTTCACCTATTCGTTTTTTTCCGGATCCGATCCGGGTCTGCGATGGCGAGAGTCTCTCGACTTTTCTCTCGATCAGTCAGTTCTCAAAAATAGATTTTCAAAAGTTCTTCAGACCGACAATCTATTCAACATCCACCGTCATCACTCTTCTCGGCAATGACTACTGTACTTTTACGGCTGTTATGGGTCTGTGAATTGGCTTTTCCATTGTTTTTCTTGATTTCAGCGCAAACTGAGGCGGATTCGGTCTACAATCATCTTCCAACTTATCTTACATCATACAGTTATCCATGGCCTTTCGATAATCCAACCGATTACCCACAATGTCAACAGGCTCGAGCCGATTTCTCGCCGTTAGTTGTGGGGATTTTAAACAAACAGGGTCTTTTGGTCTAGATGTCTATAGGAGCACGTAGTAGACCCCTTTATACTCAACTATTCCGTAGATTGACTGAGTTTTTAAAATTTTATTTAATAGTGAAAAGAACTTGTGGATAAAAGAGACGCCACACGTGTTTTACCGTTATGCTCCTCTGGACATGCAGCCCAATATTCCCAGGTTTACTCTGTCATTCTGCGGAATAGTTGAGTATAAAGGGTTTTTCATTATACTCCTATAAACGTCTAGACCAAAAATACCATTCCCACGATTGTACACGAATGAATTTTAGCCAAAAACCGAGCGCCGCATCGCCATTGATGTGATCGAATTGGAAAACGGTACTCTGAAATTGTTTTATGGCTCAAATCCACCAAACGACAAGGGATTTTGCATAAATCCGATAATCGAATCAAAAAGCATCGAGTTTGTGGCAGAGATTAGCAAAAATGAGATCATTTCAGTCTCGTCGATCAACAAAAAGTCGCCGTTTCAGCGGAATGCTTTCATGTGAGATCGTTTAAAAAGCAATAATTGGATTGGGAGATATTGTAGCTCGAGTTTTGTCCCCTTCAAAATGGCACAAAAGATCGTTTTGGTTTTGTGGTGAAGGCGAGTGGAGCGCCAGTCGATCCGAAACTCGTCGAATGCAAGCTGACCTACACGTTGAGCACCGAGAACCCACAAGTTCTCCTCAACGTCGAAAATATCCTCCTTCAAGAGGGTTCGTTTATTTCTTCGTCTTTTGGTACTTATGTTCTAGTGGGCTAAGACTTAGGCTTAGGCTTAGTTAAAGTTAAATCAACATTTAACTGCTTGCAAATAGGCCCAGATGAATGTCATTTTGATAATTCTTAAAGAAAATTCAGCGATTTGTCCTGAAAGTGTGTTAACTTGATGAGCGTCTTTAAAATGTAAGCAGAGATGTTTCTAATGCAAATTTTGTGCCCACCAAATGTCCAAACACTTTTTTGAAATCATATTTAAAAAGCGACTGGTGTGAAGCCAATTTGTGTGGAGAGGAAATGTGCAAATGCTTCGAGTTGTCCGATCATCATTGATATTTCGTTTTCTTGTTACATTGAGGATGAGGTATCAGAAAAGTGCCACCCTTATTTGTTTTTCTCTTTTTCTAGAGCCGTTGCATCAACTCATCCCCATACGAAATCAACGGTGAACGTCCAGAAATCAAAGATTGGGAGATTCGGTGACAAATCTTTGTTTTTGTTTTGACTGTATCTTTCAGGTACACCTCTCGACGTGTATATTTTCTGCTACAGGCTCGTCTCATCAAAGAAAGTCGCGTCTATTTGGGTTCGGATGCCGATCTTTCGGCCACTTTCTATGGGGGCTACTCATTTCGAGTGCCCAACACAACGCTCGGTTTGTTTACTCAACAGCGTTTACAGAGAACAATTTTTGTCCTCCATTCTAAAATGCCCTAGCGTAACCCGCGTAATTTTTCGAAAAATAGTGCATTTTAGAATGATGGACAAAAATTGTTCTCTTAAAAAATTGTTCTCTTTCTCTAAACGCTTTTGAGTGTTTGTTTTCGTTTTGATTAGTGTGTGACTTTGAAATGATAAACTCACACCGGTTTGAATCCGACCAGCACCACAAAGTTCAAGACCGATTGCTGACAAAAGAATGAGAAGATCTAGTGATAAATTATGACCAGTTTGAACAGGATCAAAGTTACAAAAAACTACGAAATTTCGGTTGTGATCGAATTGGACCGAATGATCATGTCTAGTGATTTCCCCTTCCTTTCAGATGAGACGAATTTCTTCTTCTTGCCCGTCAACGATTTGCTTCACATGCGTGAATTCGGCTTTCGATTCGCCGAGTCGCCACGCGGAACGTGGTTTTTGATGGTTTTAGAATTCGACAAAGTCCTGCAACTGAGAAAATTTCGCGGAGTAAGCAGATTTAACGTTTAGTTCCTCTGGAGAACGCTGGAGATTTGACAGAGAAAGCCAAGCTATGGTCCTAAGTTATTTATTGCTTTCCACGATATGCAAGTAGTGTTAACAAAACATTGAACGATGATCATAAAGAGTACTGGAGCAATGACCTCCCGTTTACTGCAGACATTTTCTGGTTTTCAACGAAAACCCACAAAAACTGTCTTTTAGGATCACGGGAATCGCTCGTGCGAGTATCAAATAGTCAACGGGCCACCCAGTAACTTCCTTGGCCATCCCGAGCTTCTATTGAACACGTATCGGTAAGTCTTTCAATTCTTCGGGTAACGTCTCAAACAGAGTGTTCTCCTTTCTAAAAGACACCTAATTTCTAGAACAACACTAATCAAAGAATTAGTTTTAATTGAAGCGCTGCCTGACTGAGTATTGTGATTCCTCATCAATTGATACTAAAATTGAGCTGTTTGAATCATTGAGAATTAGACGAAGAGGTTTTTAGCCACTTTAGAAAAGAGCACCCAAATTTCAATGTGTCTTTAGTGATACCGATGTCTTTCAAGAGCAATCTCTCACATCTCCATCCTACAGTATCTACATACCACCTGGATGTGCTCCAAGTATCGCTTTCAGCACATATTCCAGTAAATTTTGACATTGCTTTGCTTGTTTCATATCTTTCTCGTACAGTGGGCACCGACCCGCCGCTGACTTCGTAATTGTGGTGGGACGGTCTTTCTCGTGGTTCTCGAGGATCAAACGAGTATCCCGTTGTACCGAATAGACGCTGCCTATTTTTGCGGTCAAGTGTATTTTTTTTTATCTTTCTTTTCTTTACCTGTAGACATTTGCACTTAACGGTCCCGGCTCAGATTCGTATCGAAGTCGGAAAATTTGTGCCGGTTCGATTTGGTAGCAAACTCTACAAGGCATCTGGTAGCAAGATTGTGTGAAAACCATCAAACTTATTGTATTAAATTTTGAAGATAAGATAATAAGATAATTTTTATTGTATTAAATTTCTCTTGTTATGGTAGCAAACAGATGAAACTTGTTAACAAAAGCTGGAACGAGTGCACATGAATTAATCACAATGCACTGAGTGCTCCACAAACGTCATGTTGTTTTTCCATTTCGATTAAAAGGGAACATATTCTGTTTGTTTTCAGATATTTTTCCCGTCAACATATCGTTTCAAACAAACTCTATTGGATTCGGTCAAATCTCGGTTCAATATTTGAAGAGTTCCGGCGACGATTGGATAGATAGCGAGTTAGCTTCTTTAAAATAACAACTTATTTTTTGAATTTGATTCAATTCTCTTTTAGCGTCAACACGACACTTTTCAATGTGCAAGAGGTTAAGGTAAAAGGCAAAACAGTGAAAAAATTGATTGTGAAATACTTCAGCTTCAATGTCACATTATGTCCAAATGGGAGAAATACAAGAGATGCTTCGTGAAGATTCATTTTGTTCGTTCTTTCCACAATCGATTCGACGATCCATCACCGGTAACCCAAAATCCATCAAATCAAGCTGAGAGATGCGCCAATCCCATCTCTTTTTTTACATTTATTCTTTCACTAGACATCTTTTTCTTTTTCAACGCTAGCTGGTAGCTTTTTTCAATCTTTCAATTCAAAACAGTTGATCGTTTGTAGGCTGTAAACTCCAGTGATTCCTATTTCGTTATTGATAACATGTCGCTTTCTTTCCCATTCTGTTTAACTTTTATAGATACGTGACTACTGTGATACCCATTCATGAAATTAGTTAGTCTGTCTTTGAAACTACACAGTTGAAATAAGTGACTTGTTTGAGTGATGAGAATAAACACTTTTTGCCAAAGATGTGCAAACGAGTTGGTTCAACTTATGAAAAAAACTAAAAGTTTTCGAGCTCTAAAGATATTTATTCAACAAAAGTATTATAAATATAATCAAAATCGAAAAAGAACTAATATTTTGCATTTTGACCTTTTCATCAATAATAGCTTCAACTCGCCGAGGCATTGATTCAATAAGCTTTTTGATAACTCCTGCATCAATTTTTGCCCACTCTCTCTTGTAATTTCCGGTACAAATCACCAGAATCTTTTCGCTTTATATCCTTGGCATTGTTTCTTCAAGTAATTCCATATATGTTCAATAGGATTTGCATCGGGACTCTGAGCAGGCCATTGAAGAACGGACACGCGATTTCGATTGAACAAAGTTTTGGTCCGTTGGACTGTGTGTTTGGGGTCGCGACTTTGTTGAAAAGTCCATCCGTTAGGCAAATTTTGCTTAACACAAGGCAACATATAATTTTCCATGATATCCACATACTTTTCGGCCTTTTATGCGCATGAGTGGACCAACTTCCGAACCCGAAAAACATTCCCAACAAAGAACACACGGGACGTTGAGGCGTACAATATTCCAACAGTTAAACACGGGGGAGGCTCGGTACTTCTTTGGGAATGTTTATATTAATAATTTGTTTGATATTAAAGGATTTCCTGATACAGTGGTCCACAAAAGTAATGCCCCATTGCCACCAACAGTATGTTTTGTAAGGAAATCTGGCAAAATCGACCTTTCAGAAAAAGAGTAGGGTATTTCTACCGACCCATAAGACTCGACTTTTCAAGAATATAAGATTTATCCGTATACATTACATACAAATTAAAGAATAAAACAAAAACAATAAGCTACTTGGAAATTAGCTCCACAAATGTAATGCCCCATTTGCAAAGAATTAATACCATTTTTTAAAATCAATACTTGGTTGGTCCTCCTTTTGCTTTTATTACTTCATTGAGTCGATTCGGCATGGAATCCACGAGATTCTTCAAAAGACTTTGGGGGATGGTGGCCCAGAGACTTTGAATGTAAACCCATAAGGCAGCCTTCGAATCGAATTTCTTTTCCTTGAGTCGCGACTTCACAAATGACCAGAGATGCTCGATAACATTGATATCCGGTGAGTAGGGAGGCGGATTGATCCATTTGACTCGACTTGCCGCAAACCAGCCCGGAAGTCGTGCTCGTGTACCACTGTATCTCAGTGTCGAGAATATTATTTGCCCTGATTTTGGTGTCATTCGAAAGCCTAAAGTTGAGCGAATTTTTTGGTTAAAAAAAGTTTTTAAAAATATCCATTCTACACGTTTCTACAAGGGTTTGTAGTCTGGCCTTGTATTTTGTGGCGCCCATGTCTATGCTTGAGTACGGCTTGGTAACTTTCCACCCTAAAATTCTAAAATACGCCTAAGCTACCGTGCTCGGGTCCCTTTTCCCCCTATAAAAGGAAGTTCCATCTCTTCAATAATTCTTCAATAAGGTTTCGACCCAGAATTTGGATGTTTGAAACAGTGACACGTTGCTTTTTTTATTCAAATCTCAAAGGTTCATTTCAGAAATGTCCTTCACAAACTCTCTACAAGCCAACTCCTTGTGGTCATACATCGGTAGGCTAATTTTATTTCGAGGCGTTTTGTTATCTGAAAATTTTTAGAGAAAATGAATTTCGATGAATGCGGAAAGTTGATCAAGAATTTTTTGATGGAACTACTTGAAGTGGAGCGATTCGCGAGTCTTCATCGACAACGTCGTGGAAAGATTGATGCGGAGAATTTCAACAATTGGTCCGGTCTCTACACAGGACGCTCGTCAATGCAAGAGCAACTGATGAAAAGTTGGGTATTTTATGTAAAAAGTGCTTTTACGGGAAACAGAAAATCTTGCGGAAATTTTAACTTTTGATGAGATAAAAATTTGGAATAATGAGCTTACAAACCTTTCGGAGCCTTGTAGCTTCTAGCAAAGGAAATCAGAAATTACGAATAGTTTCTTTGACATGAATGAAGTTTTTTAGTTAACGAGCTACCACAATATCATGCCATTCTGATCAAGGCAATTGGCCGAGCAGACACCGAATACTTGAAGAATAAATACGAGGAGACGATCAGCGATGTCAATCTGTTCAACTATTGGAGTGGTCGATTTGATGAGGTTAAACTCGCCGTATAACAATTGGGGTGTTTGAAGCGTTGGTCTTATTAAACTTTTGTTGAATTTTTGAAGTTACCCAAATTAAGATGACACTCATCAACTTTAGAAGATGGACAATCTCCATCAGATGATCCACATCTTCACTTCGATATGTTCATAATGACCGCTCTTATTGGCTTTAGTTGGGATCTTTTTGAACAAATGAGGTAATCGAAAAAAAGGGGGCGGAGTAGCCGTAAATATTCAATTTACAGGACAAGACGTGGAGAGAAAATCGAGGACAAGAGGCGACGAGCTTGGTGGGTTTTTATTTTTTGCTTATTTTTCATTCATTTCACTTTGAGAACGCAAATTACTATTGTCATTCAGGAGTCCAGTTGATCAACCAACGTCCACAAAAGGTTACCTTTATAGCAGAAGCGAGCAGTTGACGACCGGTATGCAAAAGTTGGAATGGGAATCACAAACTTTTTGGAAGATTTTCTCGGAAAAGAAACGTCGAAGCAACTGAACAAGAAGCTCTCCGATGAATTGGAATCAGATTGTGATCGCTGGAAACGGACAAACGATGCGGCACAATTGATCATGCATCAACTCCACAAAACTCTCTGTTCGTCATTTTATTACTAATAAGAAGCTGGGTCTTACATAATTAAAAGTCATTACTTGTAATCAGAGTCTAAAAATGTTAAAAATTCTTTTCATTTCGAGTTTCTCCCAATGAAGTGTCATGCTCGGAGATCGACCGTTATTTTCTATCAACCAATCGATGAGCTGACCGGTGACATCTCTCATTTCGTTCTATGGACTGACCGTTTGGAAAGCGTTCATCAAGCAATACATCTTTGTGGTTTGTGGTATGCTATAATTTGTGATGTTTATAATGCATGATAAAAATGTTGTTGTTCCAAGCTGTCGCTGTTATTCTTCTTGGCCGTCCTTTCTTCTCTCTTCGGTGCATTGTTTTTGTTTTTGTTTTTGCTGTTGTTTTTGCTTTTGAAACAATGCGAGAAACGGTCGATGGATCGCATTTGAAGAGATCGGAGACAACGGCTCGAGAAATTCCTTTTTTTTCTTGCTTTCATGATTTTTTCTCTTTCGGGAGTCGTCAAGTAGGTACATTTTACTACTGATAAGAAGCTGAGCCTTACATAATTAAAAGCCATTAGTTGTAATCAGAGTCTAAAAATGTTGTAATTCTTTTCATTTCCAGTTTCTCCCAATGAAGTATCATGCTCGGAGATCGACCGTTATTTGGCTCATTTATTTGACGAAACTCTTCTCAAACTTTTCTATCAACGAGTCGATGTGCTGACCGGTGACATCTCTCAATTCGTTCTATGGACTGACCGTTTCGAAAGCGTTCATCAAGCAATACATCTTTGTAATTTGTGGTATGCTAATCTTTGTGATGTTTATAATGCATGATTAAAACCTTCCAGAAATTCTCTCGTCCAAAAACTTTAACGAGAGTAGGTCTTCTCATTTTCTTTGAAGAGGCAAAAATTGAAGAATTTATAAAATTGCTTGAGGAATATTTAAAGGGGTACTTTGGCTCAAGGAAAATCAGTGTTAAATTGGGCGCCTTTTTTTCACGTCTTCCTAAGTCTGAATTTCAAGTTTTAAAAATTGGTGAAGTTTCTCTCTTCGATACGAACAGGACCAGGCGAATCTCTACAGTCACGGAAGCGGATTGATGATTGATGAATCAAGGTTGATGAATGCGAGCTGAAGAAAGAAAGGAATTGTTAAAAAACCAATTGTGACAAAAGAACAAAATGAGCGATGGTTGACCGATTTGGTTCGATTTGGTTCGATTTGGTTCGATTCGATCGATTTGGTTGACCTTCAATCGGTGCCCGACGGTGACTACAAGTTTTTGATGATTTACCAGGATCATCTCACAAAATTTGTAATCCCTCGTGCATTAAAATCTAAAACAGCGTTTGAGGTGGTGAATCACTTGATGGAGATGTTTGGAACTTTTGCAGTTTTGCAATGGGCGCGAATTGGCCAACAAAATGGTAAGATTTTTTAATTATTTTATTACATTTATCTATTTTTTTCAATAACTTTTGTCTTTTAGGTTAAAGAATTAGTGGATCGTTGGTCAAGGTGTCAAATTGTGCACGGAGGACCACGACACTCACAATCACAAGGACCCGTTGAGAGAGCAAATCAGGATGTTGAGGTTAGTTAGTTGTGCGGAATGAACATTTTTAGCTAAAAATAATATTGCATTTAGAGAATCCTTTGCACTCAACTACGTGAAGAGAAATCTACAAGGTGGACCCGAATTCTTTCAGTTGTCCAATCGATGAAGAATCGGCGATTTCATCGAGGGATCGGACGTTCGCCATTTGAAGCAATGTTTGGTCGGAAGATGACACTCGGCTTTGAAAAAGGAAAAAGGAAAAAGAAAAATTTGACGACTGGAGTGAATCGATTCGAGCCGCAATCCCAGAAAATCCAACTTTTTTTCCGGACACAAGTGACGAAGCGGACGAGGAGTTCGAGAAGGCAATGGGTAAGTCATAGTATTAATGCTTTATTGTAAAGTTAGTTTAATATTAGACTTAGAGTTAGAAAAGCGAGATGAAAATATTCTGCAACACCGAGAGGGAGCCCTACAATGCCAAAAAATGCAGGCCTTAAAGATGCTGGAAGCTTCAAAAAATAGGTATGGTTTGTTTTAATGGTTTTAAACGTAATCTATTTTGTTAGATTTGGACCAGTTGAAGTGGGAAGAACAGTCCGACTGCCGATCGGTTCTGTCGATCGTCCGAAGATCGGTCATTCATCGCTTTTTGGGGTAGTTCTGGAATCAAATGTGGGATTTTTTCAGATTGGCACTAACAACGGAATTCTTCAACAAAAGTAAGTTTTTAAATTTTATATGATAGTTATAATTATATTTTATTTTATATTAACAAGGAATCAATTCAAACCGGCCAATAATAATTTCATCACCGCTGAAGAAGTGCCACATGTTGAGACGTCGTTTCGAGCCGCTGTTGGAGCTGAGTCTTTGACTGGATCGCAAGGTGTGTCTATTTTAGTCTAGTTCACCGATATTAAGTCAAATTCATTTCAAAATGAATACTATTTTTTATTTTCGGCCATAAACATTGCAACTGCACAAATGGATGTTTGAATGGACGGTGTTCCTGTCGAAAAGCCAATGTCCTCTGTAATAGCCGATGTCACCATAGCAATTCCTGCTTGAACAAGGGATAATTTTGTAAAGCTTTGTTAATCTTTTGGCTTGTTAATTTTGTTATTGTTATTGTTGTTATGTTTGTCGTTATTGTTTAACTCTAGATCTAATTGTAACACAACTAGAAATAAATACTCACGGTTTGAACTTCACAAGATGGAGAAGGTTTGCGCCATAATGAACGCACAGACGGTCTATTGGTTGCACTCGATTTTATAAACAACTATTTATTTCACCACCCATAAAAAAGGATGTCCGTGAAACAGGGTTCATAGCGCATAAGACCTCCCCCCAAGATGACAACAATTTTTACCTGTGCCGTCTCAGAACCTTTTGTCATCTTGGGACGAGGTCTTATGTTTAGTTTTTTTTTGGTGACTAGTTGTGATTTGAATGAAATGTGATTTCCGAGTTTTGCGCTGTTTAGTTCCCTGCCCATACTCGATGCTTGAAATCGCTGATAATCGAAGGTGCTCCCATCCGACCAGGCCCACGAATCGACCAGGCCTTTTTTCATCTTGGGGGGAGGTCTTATGCGCTATGAACCCTGTTCAACGGGCATTCTTTTTTATGGGTGGTGAAATAAATAGTTGTTTATAGTTGAAAAGGTGAAATCTCATCTTTTGTATCAATCCAAGACAAGTCCTAGTAATTTATGTTCAGAATGTATGCCGTACGGGGGCACAGTTAGCTCCCTCCCGAATGGAATGTGCAAGAGAGCGGTGAAAAATGAGACTGCACAAGGAAGATACTCGAGAATCGTCGGAATAAGAGTCTGAGGAAATTGGGGCACTCGAGAAGATGAAAGTCTGGTCACCCGTATCAGCAGAGCACTGAAGAGTTCCATTTGGAGTTTTCGCGACTTTTCGCTTAATGGCGTGTTTGGAAACCAACTTGTTATGCCACAATCACTATGTATAGGTGGATCTTCCAGCAAGAAATCCTCTGCAGGAAAAGATGCATCTAAATGACGTTTATTATTAAGAGTTTAAAAAACCCTGTTTTAAGTGTTTTATAGAGAAAATCTTCGATTACGTTGTTGAATGTTGGCCCAAACGGCGTTCTCGAAGGCGTTGTGAATCGAGATAAATTCGCCTCCGTCATCACGACAAGTTGAGAGTGCGTACGACCAGGTTGCTGAAAAGGAAACATTTTCGAACTGATACCATTAGAAGAGAGCTGGTCGTCTAACTACTTTCTGATTAACTAGAACTAATTTCAATTACTGGAGGTAATTGAAATAATCTCCTTTTCACTATGTTGCTGATGATATTTGTGAAGTGAATGAAAAGATTTAATAGCGTTCTCCTAGGTTTCAATTGGCAAACTTTAGAGTTTCCTATTCCTTCTGTGAGCTTTTCTTCCCAACTTTTTGCTGTCCATTCATTGAGACAAATGTCGAGATCGGCGGGATATTGGTAATGGTTAGGACATTGTGGATCTTGAGTCAGCAGAAGTCTCAAAATAGCGAAGAAAATCGAAAGCCTCATTTGATCTGTTTTCGGAGAATGGACTTGCGTTGGAGTTTTCCTTCCGATTGCTAATTTTAAACAGATTGATTAGAACCGGCACGAAATGACCAAGTTGAAAGGTTAGTGCCAGAGAAAGAAACCTTTTAGATATGTGATTTAAGAAAGAGCACCAGTTAAGACAGAAACTTTTTAAGCTGATGTAAGCACAATAAAAAAAAAGTCAACTCATGACACTAACTAGGGATGCACACACATTGACCCTAATAAATCTGTGTGCATCCCTAGTAAGAAAAGCACACCAAAGACCACTACAGCATAAGAAGCACAAGAAAACCAGCAGCGAAGTGACACGAATCGAGAAGAGAATGAATTTCTCTCTCGAGAACATTCCTCTTGTTACGCGCGCACAAAATGATGTAACAAAGACAAAAATACCACATAATTAGGGGTAGTGTTAGCGATAACAAAAGGGTACGAAATAGGCAACAGTTTCTAGCCCTTGTCAAATCCTTTTTCTTTTAAACCACCCACGAAAAAGGAGTCATTCGGCGTCTTATCGCTCAGAAAAACGGCACCAAAGATCTTGACGTGACAAGGAAAAGATGACGAAAAGATGAAAAAAGGCCTGGTCGATTCGTGGGCCTGGTCGGATGGGAGCACCTTCGATTATCAGCGATTTCAAGCATCGAGTATGGGCAGGGAACTAAACAGCGCAAAACTCGGAAATCACATTTCATTCAAATCACAACTAGTCACCAAAAAAAACTAAACATAAGACCTCGTCCCAAGATGACAAAAGGTTCTGAGACGGCACAGGTAAAAATTGTTGTCATCTTGGGGGGAGGTCTTATGCGCTATGAACCCTGTTTAACGGACATTCTTTTTTATGGGTGGTGAAATGAATAGTTGTTTATAAAATCGATTGTCACAGTAAATTTTATGCGTTCTTTCTTTCATCTAAATTAACCTAGTCTTCCTAAGGTTGGATTTAAGAAAATGCGCGCCCTCCGCCCAAGTGCTGCAGTTTTTTACTCTGATTTTTCATGATTCGATGAAAAATGGTATTTTTCTTATAAGCTGTTTACCGTAACTCGCCAAGGGCTAGTTCGTGGTTAATTGTGTTTAAAAAATTTTCATTCTGGACATTTTTCCATAGCGTAATTTAGTTTATAGCGAAGTTGTGTTGTGTTCTTAATTTTGTTTTACTCGATGCATTTCTCTGCCAAGATTTTTAAATCTTAGGCAATGGCAGACGATGCGAATGTGCAAGAAAGTTTGACTCAACTGGAGCAACATCTGGAGCAGAAGCTGACGGCGAAGATCCTGGCGAAGTCGACACTCGGTCCGAAGCTAAAATCCAAATCGTTTGCTACACAAGTCGAACTCAACTTGAAGATCATCAATCTACTAGAGGGCGGCGAATGCCAGAGAAGCAATTCGGTGCCTGCAAGAAAGAAACACGTTGTTGGTGACCGCCGACGATGATCCAAAGGCGTTTGAATTGGCAGAAGCAGTGGAGGAGATTTAAACTATTACGAGAGCTGATGGTGACAAAGGGCTGGCAGGAATCCTTCTAGCAAGCAAGCTCCTGAGCAACAACGGTCCGGCATCGAAGAAGAGACGTTTTGGCGAGCGGTCCTTTCTTGAACGGAGCGGAGCTTTTGCCAGTCCTCCGTCCCGCAATTTCAATGGTAACAACGATGTGCTTCGAGCCATCAAAGAACTCAAACAAACAATGCAACTCAATTCGTCGCGATATGGATATGGTGCTGTCAGCAGCCGGCCACAAGGACATCCAATCCAATGCTATGCGTGCAATCAGTATGGTCACACCCGCTATCAATGCCGTGCCAGAAGCAGCAAACAGTGGTGAGCGTGTTCATTTTAACTTTACTGCCTCAATAGGCTTTTGGAAAATGTTCACAATTTTGGTTAGATGTAATTTCAAAAGGCTATCAAATTCATTTTCATACATCTTTGGTCAAAAAAAGTCTGGGAAGAGAACAGGTCTAGTGTGTTTAGGCATCATAATTTTGTGGGAAAAGAGGTGAATAGTTTAGTAGAGCGGGGAACTATTCTAGGTCGAGGTTCAACAACTCGAGTGAGTGTCGCCTCTTCTGGTAGCGGAAAATTTAACAAAATTGAGATTAATTCTGGACTTATTCTATCTCAATCAGTTTTTGCACAAAACCAACTTTCGATTAGAAGATTTGTAATCAGTGAGAGATGTTCTACCACCCGATGGGTACATGCTAAAGTTTGATTTCAAAGCGGGTTATCATCACATAAAAATACACCCGAAGTCACAAAAATTTCTGGGCTTTAAGTGGCAAGAAATTCATTCTGTGGCTATTCCCAAAAATACAAAAAGCTATCATGATGCTGTAAAAATCTCTAACCTTTATATCAAATTATCAACTCTTTAGTTTTTTGATGTACCGGAACTGAACTGAAAATGAATTTTCTTTTCTATTCACCTATCTTTTTTAGGTATATTTCGTGTTATCATAAAAATAATCCTCCTTTTCCCGTCGATTTCTCATTTAATTCCCTTCCTTGAGTTTATCGATTCTGATCTGGCACTTAAGAACCTTTACGGGTTTTTTCCCTCTCAAAGTCACAAAGTATACCAGGGTTTCTTTTCTCAAAAAAAGAGCCGTCCCAGCATAAATAGTAGAGAAAATCATATCGGTCAGACGGTTCAAACGATGCCCATTTTCTTCTTATTCTTTCTCTTCTACATAACTGCCACACAATCGTTAGTAACTGTTTTCGATTTAACCACTCAATTTCCATCTTATGCTTTGCATGGAGTTAATTTGAATAAATGGAAGGTAAATAATTTGAGAGAATCAAAAAAGACTTTCCTCAATCAATAGCTGAGCACGGCTTTCTTATATAACTCTTCAACTGGTGTTTATTTTTTTGTTTAATTCAAGTTGTTTCCTAAGTTCGGTCTTAATCTCTAAATTAGAATCATAATTGATTAATTGTGATCAGCACTTTAGAGCATTCAAGTGAACGGTTGTGTCGATTGTGATTTCCTTGTCGACTTCTCTTTTCGCGTGTGCAACGAGGTGCCGAATGGACAAGAAGAAGTGAGTGATTTGAGGCGAGACACGAAAATGAGATCCTTTTCCACCATTTAGCACTACACCGATTCGAACATTGTCATCTGCAAAGATCCATATCCATTCACAATCAACGGAAAACCACCATTGAATCCCCATTGTGAATGGCGGTTGCTGTTTGGTTGACAACAAATTTATCAAACAAACTTTTAGAGCTTTAATTATTTATCCGGTGGACTCAAACACCTGGGATAATCTCTATTCTTGCTCATATCGTCTAAACGGAGAGGAACTTCTCATCGTGAGAGCTGTCTCGCAAAGAGTCTCTCGAAACGGTTTCGCCTTCTCATTTCGTGTTCGGCAATGGGTTAATGGTAGGGGAAAGAGATGAAGAACTTATTAGGTTGGCCCAGTCTTTAGATACTTTTTTTCTACTAGTGTTTATAAATGACAAATTCACCGATTGACCTACGGTTTCCTTCATTAGAAAGGCCTTTTCTATAAAATAATGTTCAAATCTTATGAAAATATTTTGTTTTTGGCTTTTTATGGGGGCGCGAAGTTGGGTGAAAGAGACGACAACCCGAAAAACGCAAAAACGCAAGAGATAAAGCGCAAAAAGTTAGGTATATAGCTGAATTTTCAGAATCATCTGTTCAGTCAATTTCTTCGTAGAGATTTTTGATAGATTTTTTTTACGAAAAACACATTTTTCACTTTTGAATTTGCTTGAAAGTGGATTCAAATTGTCTTAAAAAGATCGAAGAATGAATAATAAACGTTTTCTATTCTATTTTATTTAGAGCCAATTGTAGGTTTGATAATTTTGTTGTCATTTATAAACGCTAGTAGAAAAAAAAAAGTGTGTAAAGACTTAGGAGCCTACCTAATACAATATTACCAAACCAAACTCTATGCTCACCAGTTAGACATTTAACTAGGGGGAATCGGGGGTGATTCAATTTCTGATCTGATGTTTTCCTATTAAAAATAAATACTATTGAAATTTGGATAATAGGCCCGTTTTTTTGATAAGCACACTGCTAATTTTCAAGTGTTGTGTTCAAGTCTTGATTTTACTTTAGAGTCGATCCCAATGTTCGTTCTACCGGTCAGTGGAAGCGAGTACTTTTTAGGTCGAAAAAATACGATGGTTACTCTCGTCGCCAATCCGAGTCTAGCACCGTTTGTCGAATTTCACTAGAAAAAACCTGGTTTCTTTTCTTTCATAAAGAGGTTCGCTCGTGAATACAGCGCTTGTTCTCGAGCTGCAAGGTCGATTCGACGGTGTGGCGGAGGAAGCGCTCCCGCTGTATGAGGTGAGATCAAGAATCAACTGTTTTGGGTTATAATGCAACGGTCTCGACTCGACCATTCAGAATCAATACGAAACTCAATACATTTTGTTTTACGGTGAGCACGATACCCTAACGATTAGCTTCAATGTTGGTCAAATAATCCTCAACGCATCGTGCAATTTTTCAGCAACTTTTTTGCATACTCACAGCTCCATTGATTAATTTCTATCATTTTGGTATTTATTGCCCATGAAAAGCTCTAAAAATTTGTATTAAACCCATAAGAATTGACCAACGGAGACGTGAGTTAGGCCAAGTTGCTAAAGAACTTTAGTTGCGGCTGAATCAATTGGAATTTCTGGCTAAACTTGAGCGTTTTTAGAAAAATCATTAATCGATGATTGAAACATGGCTTAATTCCCTAACCATTAGGTGGACATCACATGCAATTGGCCTTTCACCTATTCGCTTTTTGCCGGATCCGATCCGGGTCTACGATGGCGAGAGTCTCTCGACTTTTCTCTCGATCAGTCAGTTCTCAAAAAATAGATTTTCCAAAGATCTTCAGACAGACAATCTATTTAAAATCCACCGTCTTCACTCTTCTCGGCAATGACTACTGTACTTTTACGGCTATTATGGGTCTGTGAATTGGCTTTTCCATTGTTTTTTTTTGATTTCAGGGGAAGCTAGCACGGAAGATATCTTCAATCATCTTCCAACTTATCTTACATCATACAGTTATCCATGGCCTTTCGATAATCCAACTGATTACCCACAATGTCAACGGGCTCGAGCCGATTTCTCGTCGTTGATTGTGGGGATTTTAAACAAACAGGGTCTTTTGGTCTAGATGTATATAGGAGCACGTAGTTGACCCCTTTATACTCAACTATTCCGTAGGTTGACCGAGTTTTTAAAATTTTATTTAATAGTGAAAAGAACTTGTGAAAAAGTTGTGGATAAAAGAGACGTGTTTTACCGTTATGCTCCTATAGACATGTAGCCGAAAATTCCCAGGTTTACTCTGTCATTCTGCGGAATAGTTGAGCATAAAGGGTTTTCCATTATACTCCTATAGACGTCTAGACCAAAAATACCATTCCCACGATTGTGCACGAGTGAATTTTAGTCAATAACCGAGCGCCGCATCGCCATTGATGTGATCAAATTGGAAAACGGTACTCTGAAACTGTTTTATGGCACAGATCCAAATGAAAAGGGATTTTGCATAAATCCGGAAATCGAATCAAAAAGCATCGAGTTTGTGGCAGAGATTAGCAGAGTTTAACAAAAATGAGATCATTTCAGTCTCGTCGATCAACAAAAAGTCGCCGTTTCAGCGGAATGCTTTCATGTGAGATCGTTTAAAAAGCAATAATTGGATTGGAAAATATTGTAGCTCGAGTTTTGTCCCCTTCAAAATGGCACAAAAGATCGTTTTGGTTTTGTGGTGAAGGCGAGTGGAGCGCCGGTCGATCCGAAACTCGTCGAATGCAAGCTGACACACACGTTGAGCACCGAGAACCCACAAGTTCTCCTCCACGTCGAAAATATCTACATCCAAGAGGGTGCGTTTATTTCTTCGTCTTTTGGTACTGGTGTTCTAGTGGGCTAAGGCTTAGGCTTAGGCTTCGGCTTAGTTAAAGTTAAATCAACATTTAACTGCTTGCAAATAGGCCCAGATGAATGTCATTTTGATAATTCTTAAAGAAAATTCAGCGATTTGTCCTGAAAGTGTGTTAACTTGATGAGCGTCTTTAAAATGTAAGCAGAGATGTTTCTAATGCAAATTTTGTGCCCACCAAATGTCCAAACACTTTTTTGAAATCATATTTAAAAAGCGACTGGTGTGAAGCCAATTTGTGTGGAGAGGAAATGTGGAAATGCTTCGAGTTGTCCGATCATCATTGATCTTTCGTTTGCTTGTTACATTGAGGATAAGGTATCAGAAAAGTGCCACTCTTATTTGTTTTCCTCTTTTTCTAGAGCCATTGCATCAACTCATCCCCATACACAATCAACGGTGAACGTCCAGAAATCAAAGATTGGGAGATTCGGTGACCATTCTTTGTTTTTCATTTGACTTTTTCTTTCAGGTACACATCTCGACGTGTATTTTTTCTACTACAGGCTCGTCTGATCAAAGAAAGTCGCGTCTATTTGGGTTCGAATCCCGATTTTTCGGGCTCTTTCTATGGGGGCTACTCATTTCGATTGCCCAACACAACGCTCGGTTTGTTTACTCAACGGCGTTTACAGAGAACAATTTTTGTCCTCCATTGTCCTACAAAAATTGTTCTCTGTAAACGCTTTTGAGTGTTTGTTTTCGTTTTGGCTAGTGTTTTTTTTTCGATCTGTCTTCGCACTCAGGTGTTCCTATTTCCGCAGATCACAACCTGCTTCCACATTTCTCTATCTCTTGCTATTGTCATCCAGTGTTTCCTATCTTGATTGTTCCTGGTTCGAAATCTTCGACGTGCTTGTGCTGGTGGTGGTTGCACTCTAGCCATCCTTTCTCCGACCGTCTCTGCCACTCTTGTGCTCCACCTCATTGCTAGTCTTCCGATGGGCCTCTTCTGGCCTCGTGGTATCCACTCTGTGATCCGTATCATCCATCTGTCAGCTGTTCTTCTGCCTACGTGACCGGCCCATCTGAGTCTTTTTCTCTCAATCACTTCCACTGGATCTCTGAGTCCCGAGAGCTGGCGCATATCCGTACTTCTTAGGTCTTGGTCGAGTTGCGTCTTCCTATTGTACCCGAGGAGGTTCCTTTCAAGGGCTCGATGCGTCGTTCTCAGGGCTCGTTGAGTGATCTGTGTCGTGGCCCATGTCTCTGTCCCGTAGCAGAGTGCCGGGAGGACGGTGCTGTCGAAGAGGTGTGCCCGAGTTCTCTGGCGACTTTTGAGTATCTTTGTGACTTCTTTGATGCTTCCTGGTGCTGTCTAAGCCGCTCGTCTTCTTCTGGCGACTTCTGGTCTTAGGTCTCCCTCCATGTTGATGCTTCTTCCGAGGTAGGTGTAGGAGGTGACTTCTTCTAGCGGTTGACCTTCCAGCTTGATCTCTCCAGGTGGGCACCATGCATTCCTCATGCTCTGAGTCTTTTTCTTGTTCATCTCGAGGCCAATCTTCTTCCTGACTCGGTCGAGGTCTTCTAGCATCCGTTGGGCTTCTTCTGGTGTCTTGGCGCAGGGCACGATGTCGTCTACGAAGCGTAGGTTGATGATGTTCCTGCCGTCTACCGGAATGCCGTAGTCTTCCCACTCGAGGTCTTTCATGGCATACTGGAGAACTGTGGTGAAGAGCTTGGGCGAGATGGTGTCTCCTTGGCGAACCCCGCGCTTGATCGGGATATGAACTTCCCTCTCGAGCATCTTGATGGTGGTGGTAACCTCTGTGTAGCAGTCTTGTATGGCGTGGATATATCCGAGGTCAATCCCTGCGTCGAGAAGGGCTTGCGTCAACGCGCCGTGTTCCACTGAGTCGAATGGCTTCTTGTAGTCGATGAACACCAGGAGGAGTGGCATTCGGAATTCTCGTGTTTTTTCGATCAGTTGGGTGACGGCTTGCATGTCGTTTTGGCTAGTGTGTGACTTTGAAATGATACACTCACACCGGTTTGAATCCGAACAGCACCACAAAGTTCAAGATCGATTGCTGACAAAAAAATGAGATGATCTAATGATAAATTCTGGCCAGTTTGAACAGGATTAAAGTTACAAAAAACTACGAAATTTCGGTTGTGATCGAGTTGGACCGAATACTCATGTCTAGTAATTTCCCTTTCCTTCAGATGAGACGAATTTCTTCTTCTTGCCCGTCAACAATTTGCTTCACATGCGTGAATTCGGCTTTCGATTCGACGAGTCGCCACGCGGAACCTGGTTTTCGATGGTTTTAGCATTCGACAAAATCCTGCAACTGAGGAAATTTCGCGGAGTAAGCAGATTTAACGTTTAGTTCCTCTGGAGAACAGAGGAAATTTGACAGAGAAAGCCAAGCTATGGTCTTAAGTTATTTATTGCTTTCCACGATATGCAAGTAGTGTTAACAAAACATTGAACGATGATCATAAAGAGTACTGGAGCAATGACCTCCTGTTTACTGCAGACGTTTTCAACAAAAGCCTGGAGAAACTGTCTTTTAGGATCACGGGAATCGCTCGTGCGAGTATCAAATAGTGAACGGGCCACCCAGTAACTTCCTTAGCCATCCCGAGCTTCTATTGAACACGTATCGGTAAGTTTTTCAATTTTTCGGCTAACGTCTCAAACAGAGTGTTCTCCTCAAAAGACACATAATTTCTAGAACAGCAGTAATCAAAGAATTGAAGCTGACTGAGCATTGTGATTCCTCATCGATTGATACTAAAATTGAGCCATTTGAATTATTGAGAATTAGATGAAGAGGCTTTTAGCCGATTTAGAAAAGAGCATCCACATTTCATGAGTCTTTAGTGATACCGATGTCTTTCAAGATCAAGCTCTCACATCTCCATCCTACAGTATCTACATACCACCTGGATGTGCTCCAAGTATTGCTCTCATGACATATTCCTGTAAATCTTGACAGCACTTTGCTTGTTTCATATCTTTCTCGTACAGTAGGCACCGACGCGACCCCGAGACTTCGTAATTGTGGTGGGACGGTGTTTCTCGTGGTTCTCGAGGATCAAACGAGTGTCCCGTTGTACCAAATAGACGCTGACTATTTTTGCGGTCAAGTTTATCCTTTTTATCTTTCTTCTCTTCAACTGTAGACATTTGCACTTAACCGAGTCCCGGCCCAGATTCGGATCGAAGTCGGAAAATTTGTTCGATTTGATTCGGTTTGATTTGGTACCAAACTTTACAAGGCATCCGGTAGCAAGATTGTGTGAAAACCATCAAACTTATGGTATTAAATTTTGAAGATAAGATAATAAGATAATTTTTATTGTATGAAATTTCTCTTGTTATGGTAGCAGACAGATGAGACTTGATAACAACAGCTGCAACGAGTGCACATGGCTTAATCACAATGCACCCACTGAGTGCTCAACAAACGTCATGTTGTTTTTCCTTCTCGATTAAAAGGGAACATATTCTGTTTGTTTTCAGATCTTTTCCCCGTCAACATATCGTTTCAAACAAACTCTATGGGATTCGGTCAAATCTCGGTTCAATATTTGAAGAATTTCGGCGACGATTGGATAGATAGCGAGTTAGCTTCTTTAAAATAACAACTTATTTTTTGAATTTGATTCAATTCTCTTTTAGCGTCAACACGACCCTTTCCAATGTGCAAGAGGTTAAGGTAAAAGGGAAAACAGTGAAAAAATTGATTGTGAAATACTTCAGCTTCAATGTCACATTATGTCCAAATGGGAGAAATACAAGAGATGCTTCGTGAAGATTCATTTTGTTCGTTCTTTTGACAATCGATTCGACGATCAATCACCGGTAACCCAAAATCCATTAAATCAAGCTGGGAGATGCGCCAATCTCATCTCTTTTTTTGCATTTACTCTTTCACTAGACATCTTTTTCTTTTTCAACACTAGCTGGTAGATTTTTAAAATTTTTCAACTCAAAACATTTGATCGTTTAAGCTGTAAGCTTTAGGTGTAAGCTCCAGTGATTCATATTTCGTTATTGATAACATGTCGTTTTTTTCCCATTCTGTTTAACTTTTATAGATACGTGGCTACTGTGATACCCATTTATGAAATTAGTTAATCTGTCTTTGAAACTACACAGTTGAAATAAGTGACTTGTTTGAGTGATGAGAATAAACACTTTTTGCAAACGATTGAACCAACTTATGAAAAGGACTCTCAAACAAAAACATTTTCTAAAACTAAGCTCAACTTTTCACTCATTTTCCTGATTTGGCCACAAAGTTTTTATATTCTTCTTTATGTTTTTATATTTTCCTGTCTTTATCACAAAGTTTTTGTATTCTTCTACAGTTTTATTGATCCAACGATAAACATTTCAAAAAGAAGCATTATAACACGTCTCACAAACATGGAGTTGATAATTTACATTCAACAGAATCCTATTTGATTCGATTTGATTCATTTCCGATTCGAAAACATGTCTTGAACAGCCTCACGCGCGGTTGCACGCTACTAACAAAACTCAAGATATCCAAAAACTAAGGGTGGCCGCCCGTATAAACATGGGAACCTGGGAACTTTTTGAGAACACAAATTACTATCGTTATTCAGGAGTCCAGTTGATCAATCAACGTCCACAAAAGGCTACCTTTATATCAGAAGCGAGCAGTTGACGACCGGTATGCAAAAGTTTTTAAAGAGAAACTGATTAAACGTCTTCAGAATCAAAATTTGCCACTTGTGGAATGGGAATCACAAACTTTTTAGAAGATTTTTGAAGAACAAGAAGCTCTCCGATGAATTGGAATCAGATTGTGATCGCTGGAAACGGACAAACGGTGAGGCACAATTGATCATGCATCAACTCCACAAAACTCTCTGTTCGTCATTTTATTACTAATAAGAAGCTGGGCCTTACATAATTAAAAGTCATTAGTTGTAATCAGAGTCTAAAAATGTTAGAAATTCTTTTCATTTCCAGTTTCTCCCAATGAATTGTCATGCTCGGAGATCGACCGTTATTTTCTATCAACGAGTCGATGTGCTGACCGGTGGCATCTCTCAATTCGTTCTATGGACTGACCGTTTCGAAAGCGTTCATCAAGCAATACATCTTTGTAATTTGTGGTATGCTAATCTTTGTGATGTTTATAATGCATGATTAAAACCTTCCAGAAATTCTCTCGTCCAAAAACTTTAACGAGAGTAGGTCCTCTCATTTTCTTTGAAGAGGCAAAAATTGAAGAATTTATGAAATTGCTTGAGGAATATTTAAAGGGGTGCTCCGGCCCAAGGAAGCTCAGTGTTAAATTGGGCGCCTTTTTTTTCACGTCTTCTCAAGTCTGATTTTCAACTTTTAAAAATTATTCTTTAAGATGTAATGTTTTCTATTCAAAAACAAAAAACATTTTTGTTCATTTCTCAATTGGATCGTCGAATTGAGCTCCAAACTTTTCGTATGTAGGACCATAAGTCAACTTTTGTGTGAAAGTCTTTTCCTCGTAATAACGTCTTCACGTAAGCCCATAAATTTTCAATAACGTTTAAATCAGGCGACATAGGGGGCACATTGACGAACAGAACATTATTAAGGGCAAAACATCCAGGGAGATGAGCTTTTCCTCCATTTGAGAGATTCACCGTGCGGCCCATCATGAGCTTGCTCTTGTGGACCGGCGAATTGTCCTGGTAGATAAACCATCAAGGAGCCATGTGATCCTGAGCAAATGGAAGTAGATATCCTTCTAGTATTTCCATATACTGGCGAGTATTCATGGTTGACTGGACGAGGACTAGCAGACCTGCCACATTTTTTGTCATCGCCCCTAGAAAAAGACAAATTAATGCATGTATTAGAAACAAGGCTTACCAAAACACATGATTGATCCTCCGCCAGCTCGCATTGTAGGTCGCACATATTTAAGGAGTATTCGCTTTCCAATGGGTCGTCTGATCAAGTGGTTGCCTTTTGGAGAAAAGATATCCACTTTTGTTTCGTCGAGAAAAATCGCGTTGGTCCAATCCTGCTTTGTCCAACTTTGGTACGTCCTGGCGAATAGAAGCCGTTGTTTCCTGTGGCCAGCGGTCATCAAAGGCTTGCGTACAGCCCTCCGGCTATACAGTCCTGCTTGAGTCGATCGTCGAGAAACGGTCCATCGAGAGATATCCTTGTTTGCAACATCCTTTATCAGCCGAGCTCCCTCAGTTGATGTCATGTTCGGATCCTTCTTGGGAGCCATCACAAGTATTCGATCTTCTTTTGCTGTTGTTCTTCTTGGCCGTCCTTTCTTCTCTCTTCGGTGCATAAGTCCAGTTGTTTTTACTTTTGAAACAATGCGAGAAACGGTCGAAGGATCGCATTTGAAGAGATCGGAGACAACGGCTCGAGAAATTCCTTTTTTTCTTGCTTTCAATGTACCCAAATCATAAACAATACAAAACGCTCATTTATTTCCGGACAACCTAATATATGTCGCAGCCGATTATGAATCAAATGATTTCGCTAGCGAAAATCATAATCGACTAGCCGATTATGAATAAAAGTAGCTTTTCCGAGAAATTTGTCGTCAAATCCAAATTATTTTTTATGTTGTAGTTGGTAAAACCCCAATTCCCCCAGTTCGAGTACGGATCGGCAACTTTCCCATTTCGACCCAGAAGTAAAATGTTTTGAACCGTAAGACGCTACTAGTTACCACTTGTTAATCATGCTTTATACTTTCGAACAAAGTTTAAGAGTTTTCACGTTTTAAACTTTTATCTTTATATTTTCATCGGACTAAATTTTCTTTTTAGGATGGAGGATCGATTTGCTGAAACCTTCACGCAATATCAATCTCAAAGAAAGAAGATTTTGGTACCGTCTGCTTACAAATACAATGAAATCGTTATGAAAATCAAAGAATTCAGCGAGGGAAACGATGAGAAGAAAAAAAATCACACGATGATGTCAACTTGCTAAATCGTTTCTCTCTTCGATACGAACAGGACCAGGCGAATCTCTACAGTCACAGAATTGGACAAAACAATCAACCAAAGCGAGTGGTCAAGAAGGAGGAACTCTTCAATCTACTGATGGATACTCACAAACGACTAGGACACGCTGGACGCGATATTATGTGGAAGGAACTTCGCGACTATCATGGAATATCAAAGGAGATTATTGAAATTTTGGCCAAGCTTTGTAATGAATGCGAGCTGAAGAAGGGTATACCCAAGAAAGGAATTGTTATCAAATCAATTGTGACAAGAACAAAATGAGCGATGCCAAATCGATTTGGTTGACCTTCAATCGGTGCCCGACGGTGACTACAAGTTTTTGATGATTTACCAGGATCATCTCACAAGATTTGTAATCCTTCGTGCATTAAAATCTATAACAGGTGGTGAATCACTTGATGGAGATATTTGGGACTTTTGGAGCGCCAACGATTTTGCAGTCGGACAATGGGCGCGAATTTGCCAACAAAATGGTAAGATTTTTTAAATTATTTTATTACATTTATCTATTTTTTCAATAACTTTTGTCTTTTAGGTTAAAGAATTAGTGGATCGTTGGTCAGGGGTGTCAAATTGTGCACGGAGGACCACGACACTCGCAATCACAAGGACCCGTTGAAAGAGCAAATCAGGATGTTGAGGTTAGTTAGTTGTGCGGAATGAACATTTTTTAGCTAAAAACAATATTGCATTTAGAGAATCCTTTGCACTCAACTACGTGAAGAGAAATCTACAAGGTGGGCCTGAATTCTTCCAGTTGTGCAATCGATGAAGAATCGGCGATTTCATCGAGGGATCGGACGTTCGCCATTTGAAGCAATGTTTGGTCGGAAGATGACACTCGGCTTTGAAAAACAAAAATTTGACGACTACAGTGAATCGAGCCGCAATCACAGAAAATCCAACTTTTTTTTCCGGACACAAGTGACGAAGCGGACGAGGAGTTCGAGAAGGCAATGGGTAAGTCATACTATTAATGCTTTATTGTAAAGTTAGTTTAATATTTGATACCTTACACTATTTTGGGAAAATCCCAATAGTAAAGTTAAACTCAATTTGGTTTTTCTCCTTTCTCCGTTCTTGTTGTGGGATAAAAGACTGGAGAATTCCGAGATCACAGACTCCTCCCATTCGGTATGTTTGTGATCAAAAAATCTTTTGCTGATTCTGATGATGAAGTGTTCATCGAAAAACTGGTTTCTAATTGAAATTGAGCAGAAAAAGCTGAAAACACTCAACAACTTCTACAAATCGATCAAGGAAATCGATTCGGAGGTTGGAAATTTCAAATGAAAATTATTTAAATTTGAAGCTTCAGCTCTCAAAACTGGCCATTTGTGAGTTTACCGACAAAAATGGAATTGAAACGGGTAATGCCAAAAGATTCGATAAATTTTCAGGCTTTTTCCGTGCTTGTGTCGATTTTCGATGTCATCCGATGAGCAAGTAAGATTTCGTAAAATAACAAAACTCACATTAATACATTAATTTTTAGTGATGATAAAGCAGAAGCAAAAGTCGACTTTACCCTGTGTTTCCAAAAAGTGTTTCAAGGTTCGTTTCGTAGCCAATCTACATGTATAGTCATTGACCTGAGCTCTCCTCCTGGGCAATCTCGGCTCATCGGTCACATCGACTCGTTTCATTTATGATGAGGCCACCGTTTTTTTGAATTTCTAAATCGAGAATCGGGTTCTTTTTACAAGATTTAGAAACTAGCTTAACTGGAGCACAAAAAAATCAAAATTGTTCAAAGGTTTGGCTAAACGGAAATTGAATGAGTCTCTGAGTAACCCAGTTGTGAGAGTGAGTGGAATTTCGAGCTCGTTCACTAAGATTGCGAGGCGGAGAACGAGAAACAATGAAAATGAAATCACTTTGCTGTACAAAATTTGATTTCAAATTCAATTTCTTGCTTGTAAATGGTATTTTATGCTTAACTGATGTGGCTTTTAAAATGTTATATTTTCAATAAAGTAAACATAGTAAACTGCTTGTCAAGCGTTGGTTGGCGAGAGATCGTTCAAAAATTAAGCAAAATTCAATCATTTTCAAGCATAAAAACCTCAAATAAGCTTAGTGAGAGGGCTCAGTCGCTGATTCATTTAGAAATCATTTAGAATCAATAAAATGAATACAATTCTACTCATAGCACAATGAATAACCTATTCAGATATGTCCCCTACAAAAAGTCTAATAATTAAACGATTTCTTTCATTGAAAAAACAAAAAAATGCCAACACTTTGTGTCAAAAATAAAGCAAAGCACAATATGTTCCCCAAGTACACTCTTTTCCCATTCGAAAATCTTCTAAAGTCCATCCAGTTTCGATTTCCAAGATAACTTCTCTCCAACAGCTTCTTTACGAGTTTTTGTCGACTCTCACCGATAACTGATTACAGCTATCAATCAGGGGAATGTTTTGAACGAATTGAACTCAGAATTCTTTACTCGAGAATCAGTCCTCTTTTTTATGCAAGTCATTGATTCAATTCAGGAATGAAACTTGAAATCGAGCTGTTGAAGAACCCGGCCGTTTATCATGAAGGAGAGAAAATAGAGGCCATTCTCGTCGTTCAGGTAGAATTGATATAGAAATTCTTGATGGTTTTTCCTTTTCTTATAAGCCTGTTACAGATACTATTCAATTTATTTTCAATTTTATTCGTTTAAAATCAAAAATTTTAGACAAAAGAGCCGATGAAGATTAAGGGGATCACGGCGAAATGTGAAGGATTGGTCAAGACACATTGGGAGATACGAGAAGAGAAGGGACAATTTCAGTAAGAGCCATTAAATCGGAACAAAAACTCATTTATAAAGCTCACTTCAGGAAAGAACACCAAAAATCGAAACCGATTGGCTCGGTGTCTATCGATGAAAAGTGGGTTTATCTTAAGCTTTTTTTAACATGATTTAATCTTTTCAGGGAAAAGAAAAAATCCGGCGGCTTCCTCGGGAACACAAAATTCGGTGTTGGCCCGATAAAATTGAGTCCAAATCAAGTGATGGCCGGGGGAAAACTCGCCAAGAAAGGCTATGATATGGTGAATGGAAAAGAGAAAGACAACGTGAAAGAAATGGATGATGGGCAAGTGATCGAGATATTCAATGGAGAAATACAAGTGATGAAAGAGAAGAAGCTGTTGATGGGAAAAGGAGAATTGCCGCTTGGCGAGAAGAGGATCCCGTTCAGGTAACTCTTGTGTAGTTCAAAACTCCAGAAAAAACTTTCGCCTCAAATTTTTACTAGTAAAAACGTTCCATTCTTAGGTGTTGTTTGGGCTTTTGTCCTTAGAAAAGCTAATCTCCACTCTTTCAGTTTTTATCTACCCGATCGCTGTTTGCCCTCATTCGACGAGGCGCCACCAAAAATTCTAATTTCGGCGCCAAAACTCGGAAAGATTACTTATTCAATAACAGTGGAAATTGAGGGATTGGGATTGCTGAAGAAGGGTTTATCAATGATAAAAATGGGAAATACGACAAATAAGGTATAGGGGAAGGGAAAGTGTAGATTTATATCGATTCAGGAATTCCTCGTCGCACCAATTGTCGATTTGGGATTGAGAAAAGAGCTGAATGAGGGGCTGAGTGAGGAGAAATGTCTGAGTTTTAGTGGTGGAGGGTTGTTGAAGAAGAAAAATAAAGGAGAAGAGATGGTGGTTAGGGTGAGTGAACACTTGAAAAAAGTTGTCAACGGTTGCTAAAAGCCAAACAGAATCCAAATTCAATTCCAGGCCTCAATCCCTCGTCAGGGTTTCATTTCCGATGAGAACCTCGTTATCGATCTTTTCATCAACAATCAATCAAACAAAGTTATCGATCAAGTTCTCATTTTTGTTCATAGCTAAGAAAAACATGCTTTAGCTTGAGGTCTCCCTTGAAAAACACTCAGAATATGTGGCTTTTCTGAAGAAAGGCAAAGAATTCTCAATCGATGATCGTTTCTTGGGTGATGGGCCGAAAGGGGACTTCCATCAAATGCACAAATCATATACGTCGACATTCAAGACACAAGCTGTATGTTATTAGTCTTGTTTAAGTTTATCTTAACAAGCCTTTGTTTAGTCAATTTGTATCAAAGAAAACTCTCATGGGTCTCTTTCCATTCCATTTCTCTTCCCCAAAAGTATGGCCTCTTTTGAGTGTGCAATCATTCGATTTAGCTATTCTCTAAAGGTAAGTTGTCAAGTTTTATCGAAAAACTTCTTTTCAGATCAAAGTGTTCTCAAGTAAACAACAAAACAGCTCAATCATTTTCGATTTCCCCATAGTTATGGGGAGTAAACAAGAAATCGAGCTGAGCATCCCTAATGGTTTGCTTTTAAAACAAATTTTCTGTAATCGACTATATTTTCAGAGCCAGAAGAAGAGTATCAAGGATTCGTTGAACGTCTTTAGCACTGATGATTTAAATGAAAGCGGATAGTTTCTTTTATTTTTGAATACTACAGAATAAAGTTTTTAATCGAAAACAAACCCATTTGTAACGCGAAGTCAAGAGAGTTATTTCTAATCAAGCTAGTGAGTTATCCAGATTACGGTAAGATTGTAGATTTAGACCTGGATTCTCTTAAGTAATCTGCCTCAATTCCTCAACATATGGATGGAGAAATGAAAAGGCGGATTTGAGTGTAGGAAAAGAATGAACTTCTCTTTTCTTTGTCAATCAAATCCTCTTTCCCTTGAACACAAAGAGTTGAGTTGATTCGACCATCAGCTCCCTTTTCAACTCAATACCTTTCAATGATTTTCTAGGTTTAAATTCTTATGGAAAAAAAACTGAAAGCATGCTTAAATTTGTACGCATTTTATCAAGATAAATCCAATTCAATAATTTAAGTCTAAAATGACATTCTAAAAGTGCCTCGGTCAGCAGAACCAGGCATCCCGAAAAACGCAAATTTCTCTACTCATCAAAAGGTGGGGTTTGCGGTAGGTTGTGAGCTTGTTTTAACAAGGAATTTGCACAGATTTGATTGGGATTTGGTTTTATTACAAATCAAAAGTCTTATGAAAAGGGTTTTCCCTTGAAAAAAGCTTTTCGAAAGACTCCTTACATTCAAAACCACGAAAAATGGCAGCATGTTTCCGGATACTTGGCGTGGATTCAGCCCGAAGTGCTTTAAGAGCTAAAAATTAACTTTGAACGAGAAATCTTTAGTATCTAATGATGCCGAAAATTAGAGCTTTCGAATGGTATATAATACATCTTACTTTCTGTGGAAAGTTTTTTCGGTATCAAAGGTTTTCTAAAAAGAAGTCACCATAATTGTTGAAAACTCTGTAGATTACGCCTTAAATAATTTTAAAAAGAGGAGAAAACGGAAAACTGGGTTGTTTTTTTGATTCATTCCTTCAGAGCTTTCAGAGCTCTTATAAAAATGATTTATTTACAGCAATGAAAGATGGTTGAAGGTGTTTACGAGCAACCACAGCAATTCTTCACCCAAGCCCAGTAGACATCGGTGCGAGTATCCGAGCAGCCGTAGGGTCCTGTAAAATGTTTTTATTTATAAATTTTTACTAGAAGTTAGTAAATTCTAGCGTTTAACAGAGATCATTCAATGAAAGCGACAAATCTTTTCAGCCTTTCCCATAAATCTCATTGTATACTTTTCTTTTGTAATCCTTATGTTTAAAAATATTAGGTTGGCGGGAAAATAATGCGAATTTTTTTGACCCAAATTTTTATTTTAAAAAAAAACAATAAATAAAGAGGATTTATATAAAAGGTATTCTCCATTATTATTTAGGACATTATGTCATCTTTTGCTCAATTCAATAATTCCTTCTTCAAAGAACTGGGGACTTTTTAACGAAAAATAGTTGGTGACCGCATTTTCGACTTCCCGGAAATCGTTGAACAGCTGATCGGGGATGAACTGCTTTAGAGACCTGAATAAGTGATAGTCTGATGGGGTCAAGTCAGGGCTGTATGGGGCGTGAGGTAGAAGCTTCCAACCCAGCTCTTCGATTTGTTGGAGGATCATCTTTGCCATGTGCGGTTTTGCATTATCACGCAAAAATCGAATTTTTGAAGTGTCATGTCGAGATTTCGGTAAAGCTTGATTCACACGCTCTAACTGCTCACTGTAAAGTTCAGATATGACAGTTTGAGCAGTTCAAAATAAACCAATCCACGATAGTTCCACCATACGCACAATATCAACTTCCTTCCATGCAGACCAGGTTTTGACATGACAACCGGGACTTGCTTTGGTGATGGCCATTGGTGCTTGCGCTTAACGTTATCATATAATATCCACGTTTCATCAGAAGTAATAATCGATTTCCAAAAATCATGTGCTTTTGATTTTTGAATCAAAATTGAACAAGTGTTCATACGGGAAATTTTGTGATTAAAGGTCAGTTCATGTGGGACCCATTTTCCGCATCTATTTCACTTTCCAATCAAATGTGAATGCTCTTCAATGGTGCTATGATCAATATTGAACATTTCCGACAACTCCCGAGTGATGCAAGTGGGATCTTCTTCGATAATTTGCAAAAGTTGAGACTCATCCAGCTTTTGAGGACGTCCTTCGTGACGCTCATCTTCTAGGCTCTCGTTTCCATTTCGAAATCGCAAAAACCATCGATAACATTGGCTTTCGCTAATACTACCTTCGCCATAGGCCTTTGAAATAGAATTATGCGATTCACGGGCAGATTTTCCAAGCTTAAAGTCATAGAGTAAAGCAGCTCGAATAAGGAATTTTTGTTCCGTCATTTTTTGATAACAAATGAACAAATCTTTTCAAATAATATTATGATTGTGTAAGCAAACACACTCTGCTTCTCTGTTACTATCGCGGTTTTCTCTGTTTGTCGGCCATTACTTTCCCAAGAGCACAAGTTAAAAATTCGCATTATTTTCCCGCCAACCTAATAATTGCCTAGCAGTATTTCTCTTAAATTGATTCAAAAATTCACCTCCATTGTGAATCCTGGAGAGCTGTTGACAGTCACCGTAGTTAAAGGTTGAGCACAAAGAGCGATAGCGGACGAAATAATTCTGCACACAGGTCAGCGCACAATTGTAGTCATCGGAACATCTAAACTTGAAAGTTGAAAAGTTCCTTCTTCTCAAACCTCTTCCAAGCATCCTCATCCGATTCCCCATTTCTCTGCCCGGGCTTTCCACAGTCTTGATAATAGGGGAGCTTGATCTGGAAACAATCTATTAGTCTAGTTCTTTTTTTTAACCTGAAAGTATCCACACGACAACGATCCCAAATCCATTTCACAGCCAATCGGAGCACAACCCGATTCATGTTGACAGATACAGTCGATGCATGAGGCAGCTGATGTACCGCCTGAAAACAAGTATTCATCAGTTTCATAGTTAGATTTTATTGTCACTAGTCAAATCTTACAATCTTGTTATCCAAAAAATATTTAATCTAAAGTTTTAAGTCTTGTGAATAAACAGAAATTTCAAACAAACCGATCAAAAACAAAACGAAAAGCAGAAGCGAGAGCATAACTTGTGTGCGTTGAAAGGTTGAATGTTCTCTGTTGACCCTGTCTCTTTTATAACAATCCCTTATCTACTGCATTTTTTTGAACCACAAGCCACGCTGTGTCCAATGTTACAAAGATCGCCTTTATCTGGGGGAAATATTTGATTTATCTTATTCAGTGTATTTGAGATTAGAAGAAATTCATCTTTTATATATAATAAGAACTTGTTATAGTGCCCTTGACTATAAATAGCTGTTATGGTGCTATTCTAATCGTCGCAAATGAGAGAATTTCTTTGAATCAGTTCAGATCATGTGACAAAGAAGTGACAAATCAACTAATCAAAGCTTTTATTAATTAATAATTCTTCTCAAAAGTACTGTCAATAAGGTGAGATTCTATATATGAACGTAAGAGACATTTTTTGGTTCTTTTAAAAAGTTTTTACACGCAACTGTTGTTAAACAATCAAATCAGATTTTCAAATATTTGGAAACAGATCTGAAAGGTTTTTAAATTTGAGTGCGAGTTTCTCTTTTCTTTTATCGTTAAAATTAGAGATGTTGTCTCATAAAGCTGGTCAGAAAAACGATCAGATTGTTCTATTTTGGTGGGCCGAATATTTCCTTTTCACAAGTACACTTGATGGTTTTCAAGTACACAAAGAGCTTACCGTCATCCGAAGTGTCATAGTTCAGCCCGATTGATGATCTTTTTTATGAAGCTTACAGAAAAATAATTGATTCTGTCGAGCAAATGTCAATATAAATGCAAAATTTTTCATTTTTCTCTTAGTGCAAACTAGAAAATGAGACTGTGTTTGCTGTTTGTAATCTTATTTCTATATTACTTATCTTCCCGATCCGATTTCTGTTGTCCATGACTTTAACACCTACATAACACAAGAGAAATATTTTAGACAGTATATATGAGATGAATGTAATAAATGTTGTTTAGTTTACTGAAAATATAATAAATAAGCAACTTTGTATTTCTATCACGTTGAAAACGCACGTTGAAATCAAGCAAATGCATCAAGTATTAGCTCCCAAATAAGATTGAAAAGCTGCTCAGTGTTAGATTAAAGTTTTGATAAACATCATGCATCATTTTTCCAGAGCATGCCTGTTCTGGAACGCACTTTAGCCCCTCTGATTTTTTCTTGTCCCCTTCACCTTTTCAAGCGTTACCAAGTATGGGTTCGATTGGAAACTTGGAACAAGGATGGGGTATTTTTTAGTGTTTAGCTAGAGTTTTGTGCCTATTTTTCCCATACAATGGTTTTTCTGGAGCTCACTCTAGCCCTACCTTTTACTTCTCTACATTTAAGACTCTGTAACTCTGTATAAGTATCAACTCGGAACAAGATTGGGACGCTATTCAGTTTCAAAACAAAGTTTGAGCTAATTTGCATCCTGCCATGACTGTCCTGGAACTCACATTAAATTCTTACATTTTCTCAACTCGTTCCCCGTCAAACATTGTATCTAGCATCAGTTCGAGAACAAGATTGGGGAGTTTTTTCGCATTAGCCTGCTATTTTTAACTATTTCTCGATGTTCTTGGTTGTTCTGGGACCCACCTTATATTCTGCCAATTTTTTTTCTCAACTATTCTGCTTCAAAGGTTTTGTATAAGTATTAAACTAAAAAGCAAGTTTGGGAATCTGCGCAGAGTTTAGATTGAAATTTTGAGTTTGAGTACAAGATTGGGACGTTGCTCAGTGTTAGATTAAAGTTTTGAGCTAGTTTACATCATTTATGGATGTTCTGGAAGTCACTCTAGTTCCCCACCTTTCTTAACTCCTTCACCTTCAGAAGCTTTTTATCAAATATCAAGCTCGAGAACAAGATTGGGAAGCTATTTAGTGTTCAGCTTGAAGTTTCGATCCATCTTATTATGCTATGTCTGTCCTGGAACTCACTCTAGCACCTCTCATTCTTCTCAACTCTTTTGCCTTTAAAACCTTCGGATCAAGTATCAGCTCTTGAACAAGATTGGGAGGTTGCTCAGTGCTAGATTAAAGTTTTAAGCTAATTTACTTCATGTATGGCTGTTCTGGAAGTCACTCGAGTCCCTCACCTTTCTTAGCTCCTTCACCTTCAGACGCAAATATCAAGCTCGAGAACAAGATTGGGAGGTTGCTCAGTGCTAGATTAAAGTTTTAAGCTAATTTACTTCATCTATGGCTGTTCTGGAACTCAATTTAGTCCCTTCTCATTTTTAACCCCTTCACCTTCAAAGACTTGTAACAGTAACCAGCTTCAGAACAAGATTGGGAACTTTTTAGTGTTTAGTTAAAGTTTCATGCTTATTTTCCCCATGCTATGGTTGTTCTGGAACTCACTCTAGCTCCTTCTCTTTCTTTTTCACTCATCTTTATACAGATTTAAAAATCTGTATAAAGTAACTCGGAACAAGATTGGGAAGCTGTTCAGTGTTAGGTTAAAGTTTTGAGCCAATTTACATTATGTATGGCTGTTCTGGAAGTCACTCTAGCCCCTCACATTCTTCTTATTTCTTTCACCTTCAAAAGCTTTTTATCAAGTATCAGCTCCCGAACAAGATTGGGAAACTATTCAATGTTCAGCTTGACGTTTCCATCCATCTCATTATGCTATGTCTGTCCTGGAAGTCACTTTAGCCCCCCCCCCTTTCCATTTTAAACTATTCTTGCTTCCAAATCTTTGTATCAGTATCAGCTCAAGAACAAGATTGGGAAACTATTCAGTGTTTGGTTTGAAGTTTCGATCCATTTTATTATCCTATGGCCGTTCTGGAACTCACGTTTGTCCCCTCTCATTTTTAACTCTTCTTTTTTCAAAATCTTTATAACAGTATCAAGCCCGAGAACAAGATTGGGAAGCTATTCCGTGTTTCGCTTGAAGTTTCGATCCATCCTTTTATGTTATGTCTGTCCTGGAACTCACTCTAGCACCCCTCATTCTTCTCAACTCTTTTGCCTTTAAAACCTTCGGATCAGGTATCAGCTCTTGAACAAGATTGGGAGGTTGCTCAGTGCTAGATTAAAGTTTTAAGCTAATTTACTTCATGTATGGCTGTTCTGGAAGTCACTCGAGTCCCTCACCTTTCTTAGCTCCTTCACCTTCAGAAGCAAATATCAAGCTCGAGAACAAGATTGGAAAACTATTCAGTGTTCAGTGTGAAGTTTCGATCCATTTTATTATGCTATGTCTGTCCTGGAACTCACTTTAATTCTCTCTCATTTTTAACTCTTCTTTTTTCAAAATCTTTATAACAGTATCAAGCTCGAGAACAAGATTGGGAAAATACTCAGTGTTTGAATTGAAGTTTCGACCAACCCTATTATGCTATGTTTATCCTGGAACTCACTTTATCGACCCTCTAACTCTTCTTAACTCCTTCACGTTCAAAAGTTTTCCAGCAAGGGACAGTTTGACTACAAGATTGAGAGGTTGTTCAGTGTTAGATTAAAGTTTTGAGCTAATTTACATCATTTATGGCTGTTCTGGAAGTCACTCTAGTCCCTCACCTTTCTTAACTCCTTCACCTTCAGAAGCTTTTTATCAAATATCAAGCTCGAGAACAAGATTGGAAAGCTATTCAGTGTTCAGTGTGAAGTTTCGATCCATTTTATTATGCTATGTCTGTCCTGGAACTCACTTTAATCCCCCGCATTTTTAACTCTTCTTTTTTCAAAATCTTTGTGTCAGTTTTATGAGTTGGTTTCCAATTTTCTCCGATTTTTGATATTATATTCGGAATTTGCTATCATGCTCGATGGGGCAGTTTTTCAAGGGTTAGTTGGAGATGTTGGAGAGCTGATTAATTTGTAAAAAAACAAAAAAAAACGAAATTTCCGTTGTGTTACGATATACTTGGTGAAGCGGATCAGGAAACTGGTTTCTACGAGAATTCAGCGAATCAAAACAATACCACATTGACTTAATTGAAATGTTTTCGGTTTTTCGATTTCTAAACAAGATTGAAAAACTATTCAGTGTTAGATTAAAGTTTTGAAATTATTTACATCATGCATGGCTGTTCTGGACCTAACTCTAGCCCCGCTCATTCTTATTAACTTTTTGACTCTTCATGACACCTTCACTTCAGTTTTGTTTTTTAATTAAATGGAGAAGAAATGGGACTAAAGCGAGCTCCAGGCCAGCCATATTCTGATGCGATAGATCAAAATTTCAATCTAAACTCTACACAGATTCCCGATGTGGTTTTTTTAGTTTAATACTTATACAAAGCTTTTGAAGGAAGTAAGAAAAAATTGTTAGAATATAATGTGGGTCCCAGAACAATCAAGAACGTCGAGAAATAGTTAAAAACTTCTGGCTAACGCGAAAAAACTTCCCAATGTTGTTCTCTAACTGATGCTAGATACAATATTTGACGGGGAACACGTTAAGAAAGTGTAAGAATTTAATGTGAGCTCCAGGACAGCCCTGGAAAGCTCAAAAATTAGCTCAAAATTTGTTTTAAAACTGAATAGCGTCCCAATCTTGTTCCGAGTTGATACTTATACAGAGTTTTAAATGTAGAGGAGTAAAAAGAAGGGCTAGAGTGAGCTCCAGAACAACCATTGTATTGGATATAAACTTTTAGTGTTTTAGATTTTCGATTTGTTGCAGGTAAAGCTATTAAATGCACTAAATCCTTTTACACGTTCTGCCATTTAGAAATCACTGGTTATTGTTGTTCGGTAGACTTGTGTTACGCTTTTTGTCGAACAAAGCGCGATAACATAGTTTTAGCAACTCATCAAAGTTCTGTATTCAGTCCCAAAACGATAAAAATACAATCAAATTGACGAGATTTCCCGCTTGAAAAAGTAGAAGCAGGAGAAAATGCTTTGCGAACAGAAATTCCCGCAGCCTTTCCAATCCACTTCTAAATGGTGACGAGTTTTATCTTTTTGGATATAAAAACTTACAATGTTTTTGTTTTTTCTTCTTCTGCGTCCTTTTCACTTATGCTGACAACGAAGACACAAGCGGCTGAAGTGATGAAGACACAAATGAGGACAAATGTACCTGAAATTAGATCTCTGATTTTTGGGGTCTATCTCGAAGCTAGATTTTTAGTCAGATTTAGTAACCTAACATTTATATAATTATTTTTAAACCGTGAAACCCTTATTACTCCAAGAATACATTTAAATTATAGCCTTGAAAAGCAAAAAAAAACTTGAGTGACCTGTTTTAATCAGTCCCTGTTTTATCGTTCAACACTCTACCTAATAAAGGAAAATCGTTGGTCTTGGGCATTTGTTGGGAAACCATATCGACAAATGTTGTCATCGACATCATACTTGTCAAAGCAATTGCCAACTGAAAGACTTTATTTGATTTTCCTCAAAAAAAAAACCGCGCAGAACCTTTTCCAGTTGACGCTCTTTCACATTAGTTGTCCAAAAACATCCAACAATTGATAGAAAAGTCAAGAGAAAGCAAGGGATTGTGATTGTTCTCGCTTGATTGTGTGATCGGTTCTCGCTTGATTGTTATAAAATAAATCACCAAAAATAAGTAAATATCAATTTTCAAGCACAAATAACCCACCCCAGCAGAACCTTGATCCAAATTCGATCCCTGCACAGGCACATGAAACATTGTGACATTTTTCACAACAAACTCCCCATTTCCGTACTAATATAATAATTATAATTTATTCATGAAAAAAGTGAGCTCAAGATGTATGCATATGTTTTAGAAAAGGCTCAGATTGTTGTTTTTGTTTTTCCAAAACGCACCGCTCCCGAATCACTTTCCGATGTGAAAAGCCCTGCTCGCTGATCGACTTTAAACCATTCATAAGTCATTGACGCTATCTGAAGATTGCAATTTTGTGTGTCGAATGGAAACTTTGCCACCTAAATATAACTTTAACGATTTATTCACATCTCCTCACATCCAACTTACATGTCAAATCCGCATTGTAGTCATTGGAAAATTTGACTGTTCCATTCGAATAGATTCTGCATTGCTAAAAACGCTCGGGGGCAACCTGATCGATTGCGATTCTGAAATAAGATTCTTTGAGATTTCAATCTTTTTAGATCACAAGTTTAGCAATCCGTTGAATTAGTCGCATTAGATTTTCGAGTTCGATAATAATAATATTAGGCTAACTCTGGAAACGCACGCATTTATCACGAAATCATCCGGAATCCAAAGAGAATCGCATTGAACAACGATTGCAGAACGTCCATCAAACTCTTCGGGTTCCCATACAAGACGAGGATCTTGCCAAACGAGATCCATTACCATGTATGCTCTCAACACTTGACTGCTTGCATCCTAGATTTTAAGAGTTTAAGTCCAAATCTCTTACTCTCGGTTTTGAAAGCGAAGACTTTTGGGATCTTTTTTCAAGACTATTGAAGAACCAAAACTTAGGATTCTTATATGCCAACCTACCAGGTCGATAATGTAGAGCAACTGTAGTGTGACAGCCATCATTAACCGTTGTTCCACTGGAATTTTGTATAAACAAATCAAAATTTGTTTAACCTATCGAATTTTCCGTCAAATCTTCGTTTATTGGAGCTAAATCCTTGAAATAATTTCGATTCTGAAACAATTCAATGTATAACCGATTAGCTGCATTCAGAGTTGTTGAGTAACTGGCTAAAAAGTGCTTAGTTATGTATTGATTTGTGGAATGGCGCAATAACCATCAATGCCAAATCTCGTGTAATCGATTGAAGTCCGATTGAATTGAGTGCGTGAAAGTCGGAGATGAATCAGAAGCAGAAATAATAGAAATAATCTATGAATTCTCATCGTTTGCAAAATGAAACATTTAAAATTGGATTTCATTTGGAAAAAGAGTAAAAGTAGGTAAACAAATAACAAGAAAAGAATCAAAAAGGAATGAAATTTGAGATTTTTGCTTGCTATTGTTATTAGTTAAGCCATCATTTTATCGTTTAACTGAGGAATTCTTTTGTAGATACATCAAAATTGAAAAAATTCATTGGCTTCAGTCGATTGCAAAACTCAAATGAGACACAATGAAAACAGTAAAAGAAATTCAAAAGGGAACAGGAGAGGAATCGAAAAGAAAGTCCCCAATGAACATGTGAAAACCATTGATTGGTTAATCTGTCAACGACAAATGCTCATTTTATGCTCTGCATTGATTTGTTTTGCAGACTTTTGTGCAATAAAAAAAGTTATTTTTCCCTTCAAGTATCATTGTTTTTTTATTGACCGATGAAACACGAGTTGGTGCTAAAACATAAGTGTTTAATCAAAACAACTTTCTAATAGAAAGTTAATATGGGCTTTTTTTTGAGTATTTCCCCTTTGAGAGGCTTCTGTTATGGTTAATGTGGTCACTAGAACTCACGTACAGGCACGTTACGTTCACACAATCACAAACATGCTCGTCATGACACCAACGCTCGCCGGTCGTAACACGACTGAAAATTTGTCTCAATCGGTACGATTTTCAGATTATACCAAGAATAGCCCATTTTCGTTCACTTAGTGAAAGTTATGTCAATTGAAAGAAGACTGCTAGATATCAAAAACCTTTAAACACACGTCCCACCATTTTTCTATCTCTCAGAGGCTGCTTCGCACATTCACAACGAGATTGACTCTATCTCACTGCGTTGTTGAGCTATTTAACTTGATTTTTCTGCTTTTTTGGGATATCCACGCAGTAAAGTATGAGTTCGATTGGAAACTTGGAACAAGATTCGGGAATTTTTAGTGTTTAGCTAGAGTTTTGTGCTGATTTTGCTTTCTTTTGACTCCTCCACATTTAAAACCCTGTATAAGTATCAACTCAGAACAAGATTGGGACGCTCAAGAAGAGTTAAAAATGAAAGAAGGGCTAAAGTGAATTCCAGGACAGACATAGCATAATAAGATGGATCGAAACTTTAATCCAATCACTGAGCAGTTTCCCAATCTTGTTCTTACTTGATAAAAAGCTTTTGAAGGTGAAGGAGCTAAGAAAAAAGTGAGGGGCTAGAGTGACTTCCAGAACAGCCATACATGAAGTAAATTTGCTTAAAACTTTAATCTAGCACTGAGTAACCTCCCAATCTTGTTCAAGAGCTGATACCTGATCCGAAGGTTTTAAAGGCAAAAGAGTTGAGAAGAATGAGGGGTGCTAGAGTGAGTTCCAGGACAGACATAACATAAAAGGATGGATCGAAACTTCAAGCTAAACACTGAATAGCTTCCCAATCTTGTTCTAGGGCTTGATACTGTTATCAAGATTTTGAAAAAAGAAGAGTTAAAAATGAGAGGGGACAAACGTGAGTTCCAGAACAGCCATAGGATATGGGATGGATCGAAACGTCAAGCTGAACACTGAATAGTTCCCCAATCTTGTTTGGGAGCTGATAGTTGATAAAAAGTTTTTGAAGGTGAAGGAATTAAGAAGAATGTGAGGGGCTAGAGTGACTTCCAGAACAGCCATACATAGTGTAAATTGGCTCAAAACTTTAACCGAACACTGGACAGCTTCCCAATCTTGTTCCGAGTTACTTTATACAGATTTTTAAATCTGTATAAAGATGAGTGAAAAAGAAAGAGAAGGAGCTAGAGTGAGTTCCAGAACAACCATAGCATGGGGAAAATAAGCATGAAACTTTAACTAAACACTAAAAAGTTCCCAATCTTGTTCTGAAGCGTGTTACTGGTACAAAGCCTTTGAAGGTGAAGGGGTTAAAAATGAGAAGGGACTAAATTGAGTTCCAGAACAGCCATACATGATGTAAATTAGCTCAAAACTTTAATCTAACACTAAACAACTCCCCAATCTTGTTCCGAGTTTACACTTACGAAATTTTCCTCAAACTTTCCCAATGCAAAACTTTCTCGACTTCCGATCGCATTCAGGGAATCCTGATCGATTCAAGTGGATTTCTCGCCTTCAGTTATTCTTGTGCCCGTTTCGGCTACTGGGTCTCGTTTTTTGCCATCCAGGTTTAGATTTTAAAGATTTGGAATGAAAATTTAAATGCGATTTTCCAGCTCTACAGTATTTCTTTTGTTATGTCTTTATTGCTTTTCACGATTCACTGTCTTTATCGCTATGTGAAAATCTCTGGGTATCTAAAATTTTAACAAATGGGCCCCAAAATGCGGCCACTCCATCATAACCCATTGTACCGTAGAATTTCTTTGCCTTCTCCACATCACGTTGATCCAAATCACGTTGTTTGTAGCTGAGAGAGGATCGCTTCTGTACAAACGACTTGCTTGCTTTTTGTTTCAATTTGCTTTCCAGTCCTAGTTAAAGTTTCAATTTGAGTTAAAAACAGTTCAACTATCATGTCTCAAAAAAAATCAGCTACATCGCCGATCGGCTCTGCGGTGAATGGTCAAATCCGAGCTCGTGACCGATCGCATGCAAACTTGCAAAACGGAGATAGAATGTGTTTGCGCTGAAGCTCTTGCTCTTGTTTTCTTCATTTTAATTCTTTCCCACTCACCTATTCTTTTCTGGTGTCCCATTGATCCATTTTGTGTCACTGTTAAAAACGATGGTTTTCCCATTGTTGACCGTTTGAACAATTTTTGGGCCTAGAGATTGAACCAGCCGTTTCAATTTTTATAGTAAAGTTCAATTACGTATCCAATCGTCACTTTGAGCGATCGTCGAGAAGTGGAACTGCATTTTATTGTTGGCAAAAAGTTTATTTGTATGATAGAGACAACCTCTTGTCTTTTTAAATAAACTAAAGATTAACATTAGATATTTTAGTAGGGAATTGTGTTTTTGAGAAAAGGTGCACTTATTTTTGTTACTAAATTTGAAATTATAGAGTCAAATGCAGAACGGTGACAACAAGAATAACAATAAGTATTGGAAAATGTATTATAAACATATAAAGTATTGGAAAATGAAGAAAACGTGAAATAAACAACTGAAGAAAGACAGCTTTCTGCAAATTTTATTGTTTTTTTTCTGAATTTTCTCAAAAGTCACATCTTTTTACAGACATTTAAAAAAATCAATGTGAAAATGGCAAAAATAAATTTGAAATCAACTCCTTGCACTCACCGAACTTAATAGAAACTCTCTTTGATGGGTGACAAGTTGAAGGCGACGATGATCAGACTGAAGATTCAATTTCTTCTTGTTTTTTCATAGTTTCAACCTCATCGCACAATGACCGATCATGGGTAATCCCTTCAAAAAGAAGAAACGACCATAGCCGATGAAAGGCCAATACCATGCAAACGTGTGAATCGTTCCATCCCACAGCCAGATCACACCGGTCAACAGCATCTTTAGCAATTTTGAACTGTTTATCTCGGATTATCTTACCATCATTGACAATTTCTTGTCCTCGATCATCGTTCTCGTTATCGCTTTCTCTCTGACGGGTTTGTTGAACTGCAAACTTGCTAGAGTTTTAGGAAAAATATATAACTTATCACTTCTCATTCAGTCATTTATGCAATCGTTCACAATATTCATCAACCGAATTGGGTCCTTGGGATGTATCCGATTAAATTCGAGCTGAACTTGCCCGATATCGATGGAGATGTCATGGCACAGACTGTTCTCATTTTGGTGCAATGATACGTTGATTGAGTGTTTCGCGGGAGGGGATAGGGCTTCGTCTTGGAAAGGTGAAAATGAAAAGACGAAATCTGGAGCTCGAGTCTCACAATGATTCCCCTCAACTTTTATGGGCAACAGGTTGAAAAACGAGGAATTCATTTATGAAATCAACGAAAATGTCACTGATTCACCCAAACTTTGAGGCGTATGTTATGATACAAAAGAAAAAACTTTTAATTTATTTCTCGTTAATGTCTACAAAAAGTTAAGAACACTTATTGTTCGTAAAGGGGACTGGAAAATGGAATCGTTGGTTTTCAAAGCCTTCCCCGACTCTTCCATGCACCAACATGCAGCGAGGTGGCCATTAGCAAGCTGTAAATTCCCATAGATTTTCAAATTTACAAAACAAACATCGAAAGAGCATTTGAGTAGGCCGGAGCAGCTGTCCATCCAATGAATCGGTAGATTGGGTTGATTTGTTGGTTGGTTCGTGGATTGACGTCGATGGGCAGAGTGAGATAATCATCCAGATAATACTCTGGCAGAAGGGATAGAATTGACACAAGACTGGTAATGGATTGCTAAAAAATGAAAAATGAATAAAAAGTACAAAGACTTGCCGCTACAGTAAAGGGAAAGAGCAATTTGTTGGCTTTTTGATCAGATTTGTCAGCACTTTCCTGGAATTAAAGAATAAAGAACGATTTTCTTATTTGCTTTTTATTGTACAAGTCAATTAATGCACCATTCTCCGCGTTTTTACAGCTGTCATCAAAGCCAAAACTCCTGTCAACAAAGTGACCAAGACACGAATTCTCCAAGCAAAATACTCCCAAATTGTCTCGTAAAGTTTCTCTTGCGTTGATTCATAATAAACATTCGGATAATAAGAGTAGCCAATGAAGAGCTTCACTTTCAT